TTTTTTTTTTTTTTGGTTCAAGCAGACGGTAGGTTAGATTTCCAGGGAAAAAAAAATCAGCCCTTTGGGATTTTCCCCTCTTCTCGACCTCAGCTGGTTTATCTCGGGCGGCAGGCTGCCCCAGCTTCGTCTCCAACGCTCGGAGATTATTCCTGCCGATGCGTCTCCCACCTTGCCCATGCATCCATCACACCAAAAGGAAAAACATCCCCAAGCAAAGAGAAAATATGATATATCGACAACAAATTTGTTGCTTTGCTTGCTCTTGTGTGTCATTTGGCATGCAAGCAAACCCATGTAATGCTGTGCAGAAAGGAAGTAACCAAAAAAAGGAACGTGCAGTGCATATGCAGCTTCGACTAAAGCTCAATGATCGAGGCCGAGTGGTTTTGGCAGCATCCCGCGAAAAAGATCCAACATTAGTTTTTTTTTTTTATACATGATAATGAGGAGATAGTTACTGGTCCAATGCTTGGGCTTGCAGGGAATAAGGATCATACGGGCGGCCAGGCCATGGGTGGAGGCGAAACGGAGAGCGACCAAGCTTTAAAAGATAGTAAAGAGCACGGAACCACTCGCAAAAGCAAGTCACCAGCCGACGAATCAGATGTTGAGATGCAACTTTACAGATGCTTTGCAGCCAACAACCCCGCACTGGGAGAGACAGGGGTGGGCCGATAGTGGATGGATGCATGGTGGCAAGCAAGCGAGGACTTGAGGCATTGATCGGGCTATGAAGGCGAGTTGAGATTCGTGCAAAGTTACAAAGAAACAGCCTCCAATTCAACCTAAATCGGGACCAAGAAATACTATGAAATTGAGAAAACTGTTGGAAATTGTACTCACCTTCGTCTCCCTTGGCTTTTGGGACCTCCTTTTTGTCTGCTGCCTTTTTGGGAGGCATCTTGTCGTATATCAAGAGGGTAATTATTAATCCTAGTTTCAAGGAGCTAGTGCAAGAAGCAAGGGCCTTTGAAGGCCTGCACGGATTATTACGTGATGGTAACTTGATGTAAGCGAGGTTGTGGATACCGATTTCCGATGAAGTACTGGTGAGAATGGTGATATAAGCTTCTTAGTGGTGAAGTTGATTACATCGATTGTAATTTGAAGGTTGCAACTTGGTACTTTTTTGGGATGCATCATGATCGATACCTATTAAAGGAAACAACACAAAAATTGCAACATATGCGGTCACGAACGGCCTCAAAAACCAGGTTACTTAGTTCTACGATAGTCGAAGTCGAGGGCAACGTATTATGCCGGCTTTCAGCCTATATCCTTATCCTTATTTAAGGTTAAAATTTAGTATTCTAGCTCTGCTAAACCTATAGTACTTTAAGTGTAGTTTTACGACCCATCAAACTACTGTAGTAGCTCTTAATGTTAATAACTTTAATTGCCTGCATTACCTCTTGCTTGTGTCAAACCCCCTCTGTTTGCAATAGGAGACTACACTGTTTGAAGGATTAAAAAAAAAAGATTTATGGCCAAGGACTGATTCGAACAGTCATCTCTGGGTACATAGAAGTAACTGCCATAAACCCAGATCTATGACAGCGGAGCTACTAGCACTCTATCTGGTGATCAGCCAGAGAGTATCCCGGCGTTTTACCACTTAAACTACGAGACCTTTTGTTTAATACAAGCGCCGCTGTCTAATATTAGGGGGCATATTAAGCCAGTAATATATTTAAAATATTTGGACATACTGACTAGCTAACGGGAACAAATATTTAAATATATTGAAAACACTCAAGCCAAGGATCACGGTCAGCTAACTATTGTAAGAAACTTGTACATGTACGTATATATATCTGATGTGTTTACCTAGGGGATACTTAAGTACCTAAGTAGATAATTACCTGTAACCATTCATACCTGTGTGGTTTCGATGCCGCACAGGAACGTGGAGTACTTTATAGCCAAGTTGTTGGACTTAGAGGCGGATCCTCAAAAATGATATACACAGAATTATCTCGAGTGTAGATCAAGTCAACGATCTCAAGGCCTATAAACCTGCATGTAAATTCTAAATAATATGTGCATAAATCAAAGACAGAAGCTCAACGGCTTAAAGAGCTACGTATACGGTGCCCGATGTTAATCTTCTCTTCACCTCCCTACATCCTCTTTGAGATTGTATCTCACATCTTCCTTCCTTCACCCTTTCCCCCTACCTTTTGTACGTCCGTATATATTGCCTCGAGTAGACATATACAACAAGACTATGTGGCCACAAGACTCCCATCGTAAGCCACTGAGTCCGGTCCGTGAAGAATCTATCTCTGCAGGGTCAGGTTCAAGCCGTCTACGAAATACCACGGGTTCCCCACAACGTGGAAATTCATTCGAAATGGAGCGAGTCCGGTCATTTATCAGCAATGTGATGAACTTAAGATCACAGTTCGGTGGAAGTGAAGCTAACGAAAGTGCGCCTACGTCATTTATGGCTGGCCGTCGCCCACGGTTCACTGGCGATGGCAATGACGAGCGTGATCAAGGCCGTGGTCCAGCTCGTGGTGCCAGACTCTTCAACCCAGAGGACCCTCATACTCCCATGGCGAGCCCAACTATTGGAGATACTGAAAAGGCCGTTGAGAATCAGAGGTATAAGATGTATCGAAACTACGTTTTTATGGCAGCTTCCATGAGCACTGCTGTTGAAGGATACGTATGTATTAACCTTAACTTCGTTATTGATCTTAGTGGAACGAGTCTAAAACAAAGTCAAAATATATAGGCTATTCTTCTACCAATCCTTCTTATTACGCTTTTTGGGTTAGATCACTGGAATCCAGAAGAATATCTTCACCATGCACTCGAACCATTTTTGGGCGATATTTGGACTTTCTTGGTCTTCAAGCTAGCAGTTTTCTTCGGGATTCCGATTGGCAGCATTTTGTCCGCTTCTTTGTCCAGGAAATACGACCAAAAGAAGCTCGCCTTGGGTTTCCTAGGGTTGATGCTCATCGCTCATTTGGCTATGGTGTTATCTGGGTGGGGCCCAAGCATCAACTTTTATGCAATACTTATCTTTTGGCGCTTTCTTGTCGGTGTTGGGATTGGCGGCTGCCGTAGTGTCAATGCTTTGACGTCTTCTCGGTAAGCACATACTCTTCATGCATCAATCTCGGAAGAACCCTAGTGTGCAATATCGAAGTTGGAGCTAACAAAAATATCAGGATCACAACCCCAAAGTGGAGAGGTGCCCGTTTGGGATACATAAACGCAAACGCCGCTTTGGGATACTGCTCTTTACTATTGGCAGGCATTAGTAGTATTTGGCTTTTCAAACATCATCTTGACAATGTCCGAGATTGCACCGAGAATTGTAACAAAGCCTTGGATAGATCTTGGTAAGTTGAATTTTAAGCTTCCAAAGTATCGTTTAATGGATCTAGTATCAGCAGCACTACTCTCCTATTTCCTTCTAATATATTGAGCTTGGGCTGACTATGTTAAAATTTTACACAGGCGCCTCACCTCTGGTGTTCTTTTATTGTCAACTTTCCTGGCTCTGATAGCTCGTTGGAATTCTTCCCGGGTGGCTCCACACCCAAACAATACTTCCCGAGTTATCTTGACTTTTTCTCCGTCATTTGGCCGCTTTGCAAAATCCTACCGCAACGGAAAATACGTCTATCCATTGATATACATCTGCGCCATTCAGTTTTTCGGCTGGGCATGCTTTTATGCCATCTTATTGAACGCGACAACAATCCTTTGGGAAGCGGGATACACCTTTGGAAATGTTGAGGGATATAGTTTGTCAATGCATATCTCTCGCATTATCAGTGGTATTGCAATTCTGGTGGGGGGAGGAGTTGGTACCGGCTACATTATTCTTTGTCTACTCGTAGATAAATGGGGTCGAAAACGACTTTTTCTGCTGGCGAATACGTTCCTAGTAGTTACGCTTGTCATCCTTGCGGGACTTTGGGAAAAGATACCTACGTTTGGAAGGATGATATTGATAACATTCACGCTAATGTTGTTAGTTGCTGGGCCGATTGGTTGTGGGTATATCTTCACGGCTGAGATTTTCCCGCGGATATATAGGACTTGGGGCTTTATGATGACAGACATTATTGGCAGTCTCGGAGCTATAGTTGGAATTGTATGTGGGGACTTTGCCCTTCTCAATAGGTCGAGGAAAGTCCCGGGTCAGGACTGGATCCTGACCTTTGGAGGAATTCGGATTCTGTGGTGTTGCTTAGCTGCGTTTTTGGTTCCCGCGTTTCTAGCGGGCTTTGGGATGATTGAAACTGCTAGGAAGGAGGTTGGGGTTATTGAAGGGGAGGTTTATGGGGATTGGGGGAGGTGGGACGATAGAAGAAGGATGAGACCTGAGCAGGGAGTTGCCGAAGGTGAGGATGGGAGGTGAGGGCTTATGAAGCCGTCTTGTTTCCACTTGCTCTAGGTTTTTGATTGGTGTCTCCTTTGGGATTAGCATGGGAAGCAGGTACTTTGTCGGATTGTATTAGTGAATTGGTTGATGGGTTTGCTGTTAGCTCTGACTAGAGTTTAGTTTTCTGGAGTAATGGTGTTACTGTCTTGGGTTACAATAGACACTATTATGGAGTTTGCATTCGTAAAGCGGGCACGGATAGGTACTTTGGCATGCTTTGAGAATTAAAATGTCGTAGAACTGTGATACTTCTATATATTCCAAAAAAAACAGCGATACTTTAACAAGGGACCCTTTTATCCCGGGTATCATCTTCCTAAACTTGCTACAGCACCGAACATCATTCCTACGAGCCCTTCGAGCCCCTTCCCATCTTGAGTAGTACTGCCTAATCGACTTGAAGAACTTCCAGCAGCATTCCCTGCATTAACGCCGCGGATCACACAGTCCCTTAGTCCGTTTCTAACCTTATCCCTACTATCTCTTAGATTCTTGGCTGCAAGTCCGCCCTTAGACATTATTTCTCGAACTCTAGGATCTAGATTCGATGCCAGAGTCCTGAAAAAATGGGTGGTAAGGGACGGGGTATCCAGAGAAGAAAGTAATGGAGTTAGGAGGGTTTCTTGGGGTTCCTTTTTGTTTCCCGAAGAAGAACCACCTATTTCTGTTATTTCGTCTTCTGAATCGTCATCCGAGCCATCTACATTTGTGGTGTCAGATAATCCAGATGTTGGGTCGAATGCAGGGGTTGAGAACGTTAGTTGGGATGGATTTGTAGAGATGTTTGCGGGTATTGATTGTAAGATTTTCTCGAGAGCTACGATATTTGCTGCTCTAGTAGAGACTTCGTTTAGTGTTCTGTCGAGGGTGGAGAGGGTTGTTAAGCTGCGGCTTATGGAGGCGAGGGAGGTTGTGAGTTGAGATTGTAGGTACGATGTTATGGTGGAGGTTAGGAGACTTGTTGGAGATTTGGCGTTTGATGCTGAGGCGGGACCTGTACCTGGGGTATACGATGTTGGGGAGAGGATGTGGAGGACTAGGATTGCGGCTGTAGCCCGAGAACGGGTTTCTGAAGTTGTTGGTTCTTTGTCCGTGCTTGTGGAGAGGGCAGAAGATGATGACGATGAAGAGGAAGAGGAGGCGAAGCTGAACTCTTTGATTGTCTGCTGAGCTCGGGCTTTGATTGTTCGGTCTGCTGGGGTTATAACCGTGTTCAGGAGAGTTTTCATTACATCTAGAGTTTCTAGACCGGGGGCTTCGCCAGTGGCATTGGAGTACATTCGTCGCAATTCGACGATGGTATATGCCGCTCGTATCAAGGCCTTTGGATCCTCCTTCCGTGGTCTACGAGGACCCCTAGGATCATCTGTCGCCCCCGTGGGGATAGCTTCTGACAATTGAACTTCCAATTGCCTTCCGAGCAAGAGACATCGCGTACATCCTCTGAGTAAACGTGTTGTTCGCGCCAAGTTCTCGACTACAGTGTTCAATGGCTTTGCAACATCATGACGGTCTAGAACCTCTTTCGAGAGACGTGCGTACGATGCAGACAATTGTGTAAGTTGTTCACGAATGCTGTTGACCAAGAGCTTGGAGTTATCCCGTGAGACTTTGGCGTGGGTTAGGAGGGGTTCAGCGGATGATGTGGTTAAGGTGTGAATATGCGTATCGATCTCTTGAAGGTCGAAGAGCACACGGGATAGAGGAGTGCTTAGGTCTAGTGTCGTATCTGAAAGGTTGTTCGTAGCGTGTATAAGTGTATTCGCGAATGAATAGGGTGAGAATTCGGAGTCGAGGAAGATGTCGAAGTCGATGTATGATGGGGCAGCTTTGTTATCGAGGCCATTGTTATCGTCGTCTGGAGCGGTGACCTCCACTGTGGGGTCGTTCATTGTGGCCGCTTGAGCATTGGCTGCCAGTCGCCAGCAACTTGGGCTCGCCGGAGCTGATTGAAGCTCGAGATTGTGGAGTTTGGAATGGTGGCGTGGTGGTTGAAGGAGGTGAGGTTTGGATTGGGGGAGATGTCGTGAAGCGGGTTTAAGCGAGGCGCCGATAAACTTACCCTCTACTAGATCTACCTAGCCCCCGTTTCCCACTCGATCCACTTGAACCGCGGGTTATCACTTCACAACTGAAGATTTTGTATCAGTGCCTGCAGATAAGGTTAGTAGGTTATAGAGATACTAGCGTTGTCTTTAAAATGAATTTTAGTTAATTAGAGTATATATTCAAAGGCGCCTCTTGGGTATCTAAACTAGGTCTAAATTAATGGGCTGGCCGCAGCATTGTGGCCATATACACCAAACACCATAACCCTAACAGAAAAAAAGTTTATATAACTAGGATGGCCCTCATGATCCATCAAGAATAGTAGGCGATTCCAAGCGGAGAAGATCTTGGGAATAAAAGATAAGGGGCCATTTGAAGTGTCCTTTGAAATATATTGCATAATCCACCCGCGATTTCGAGCAGCTCAGAGTACTGACAAAGGTGCCTTCGAGAACATCTTTAATCATGAGTTGGCCCTGGTGAATAGCGGCCAGGTGGTGATATTGTCGGATCGGTCTAAAGCGCGCCGCTCATATCGATGACGTCATATCCAGAAGGTGGTCTTGATCCAGCCTTCAAACTCCAAGCCCACCAAAAGCTCTGTCAAGCTCTTCGCCAGGGCTCGCAGCTTGTCTCGTATATCCATCCGATACAGGAACTCCGAGAACCTTAGGCTCTGGCATCGATAAGGGTGTACCAGCAGCCCCACCAGTAACCGGCGTGCCAGCCTTTTTTGTCGGTTCCAACATCATAACCCCTGTATCTAGCCAACCCGGCGCCACTCTCCTTTTTTCCATTAGCTCTCGTTCTTCGATGCTTTTAACCCATTTCTCAATCTCCTCTCTTGCGGTCTTGGCTTCGTTGGTCAAGTGCGCCGCTAGATTTCCACAGTCGACGATCAGTTGGTCGGGAGATATGCTGGATTGGCCTGAAGGTGATACGATTTGATTGGATGACGGAGGGGGTAGAGAAGCTGGAAGAGAGACGTAGTCGTATGGGAGGGTTATGGAAGTTGGGAGGCCTGCGAACGGCGAAACAGTGAGGGGAATCTGGGCGAGGAGCTTGTGAGCTGTAGTGGTTAAGAGGCCAGGTTAGTAGGTCAAACTAACAGGAGATATAGGACTAAAGGTATTACCATTATGATCATGCATCTTGTAGGCGATTTGACTGTCCTCGAAGAGAAGAAGACTTCGGGGCTGCAAGGTGGGATGTTGCGAAGATGATTTGATTGGAGGTGATATCGATAGTGCAGGTGGTTGACGTTACCTATCTTGGGCTAAACTGTGGTAATTTCCCTCCTCAACACAATCTCGTAGTGGTACAACAAATACAATTTCGATAGTTCCATTAATTCGCTAGTAGATGATTGGTTTGCGTAATTGTGAACCTAGACATATCGAAGAAACTCCTCGTATGCTCCCCATTCTTTCTCTGAACCATCATCATACCGGTATACCTCATCACTATAGGCCATGTATCTTCCAGGTTTCTTGCATTCTGAAATTGGGAGCCGCCAGGAAATTATATGGGCGTCATACAAAAGCGGCATTCCGGTGTATCCCGCCAAATAATCCGGCTTCTTTGGGTAGCTTCCTAGTAGCCTCTTTCGGAGCTGGCTTATTTTACTGAGGGCAGGAACAGTCGTTCTGGCGTATGGCCCAGCTCGGACCTCGAATATAATATCCAAATATCTTTCCTCCAACATGCCTTCCTTCGGCCGGCCTGTCCATTTCAAGATTTGCCATCTTGAGTCCTCGGCTTGTAACTCGGCTGCTGGCCCACAGAAATCGATGTAGATGGTCGAAAGCTTTGAGCAGGTTGTCGATAGGCTATCGATCATCGGCAGTATGTGATTCTCATTCCGACCCACGCGAGTGGGTTGCCCAGGAGACGAAGAGCCGTAGTAGAAGCAAATCTTTAGTACTTCTAGATTCTTGCATTGAGAAAGAGCTGCCTTGACTAGGTTTTGAGGATCATCTTTCCAAATCCATGCGCCGTCATCGTTCGCAAACCGGGCGCCAATTTTCTTCAGCGTCGCTGCGTATTTTGGTACTACTTGCTGCCAAAACAAAGGTGCCAATTCTTTGTTCGTTTCTGATATGCCGAATAAATCGATATGTGTGATACCACTTTCATTCCTTAGGAAGAAATTGTGAATTGCTTTGCCATAGTTCATAACACATACCCGTTCTAGTCGAACATCCGAATTTAGGATTTGTTGGAATAGCTTGTTTTGATATGAAGCTTCGTCGTCGGGATCCCAGGGGTCGTTTGTTTCTGTATACTTCCCTTCGGCGAGTTGCCAAACCTTGGTTTGAGCGGATGCAATATGCACCAGTTTCTTCATGTTTGTGAAATCTAGATCGAGTGTGAACCCACTCAGGGCATATGTTTCTAATGATCTGAGCTCTGTTGCTTGTTCTAAGGCGGCAAATAGCGGCCTATTTGCCCAAGGGGATGTTTGCACACTTCGTAGATCTAGCATGAAATGCTGCAGGCTATCCTTGGATCGCAAAATAGCATGGGCTAGGCATTGGACATGTTCCGGATCTAAGCAATTATATATATTGGCGGTATCAAGATTTTCGATAAACCTGATGGTAAACCGGTGTAGATTCGATAGTTGGGGACAGTAGTGCATCAAATTAGAGACGCTATTCGTAATCAACAGCACATGTAGTTGGTACTGTCTTTCCGTTACCGGAGAGCACAAAATCGAGGATAGGCTTGCATGAACATAGGGGTAAAGTGAACCGCTCGTTAACCAACTATATATGATTAAAGTCTTGTTAGTGATCATACACAAATACTCCTAGTCCCCTCGAGCGAGTGTAGTGGATTGAAATATGTACCTTATCTCGGTAAGTCGGCAGCCCGTGGCAATTATTTTCTCAACCACTTCTATCAGATTTTCTAATCCTTCGAGCTGTTGGCGCTCTACGTAGCTAGCCAATTTTGGTAGGTCCTGTCTTAAGAAATCCCGTCCTAATTTTATAGCCTCTAGACCGCGGCCATTATTTGAGATAATCGGATATCGAGTGTCTAGTACGAATCGCCTCATGTTGGCGAAAATACCACAATATCCACTATCAGTGTCCGTCGGCTCTGACAAGGGAGGCTTGTAATTTAGAAGCTCTCCCAATCTCATAGCAGACCCTGCTGGGGTTGCCAAGCGGATGGTGAATTCCCGGAATAGGATTTGCGCGGTAAAATTCAGTATCCTGCGGCATGGTATTGCTCGTCGAAGGAACTTCAGACCTGTTATACCAAGATAGGACAGGATCTCGGTGAGGAGCTCCGGCGGGATTGTTGAAAGTGTATGAGGCATCGATCGTATTGCCTAATGCGTGCAGGTACCTAAGAGGTATTTATGTGTGTATATGCCTTAAAGCTTGCTTGTTTGGAGCCTTGTTGAATGAGTAGTTCTTCACACCCTGCAGCTGAAGTTATCTCCCTACCGGCTACTCAACTAATACCTAAGTACGGCTTTACAGTTAGTAGAAGCTTAAGATACTTAGGGATAGCGATACTGGTTGGACTCAGCTACGCACGTGGTATGGCTTCTCCATTTATGTGGGAGCTTGGCGACAAGGTTCTGGGGCCGACAAAGCGTGCTAGAGCATGGATATAGATTGCAAGTTGAGTCTGATGTATATGTATGCATGTAGCAAGGCTAGATATATATTTCTAAGCCTATCAAGAGCCTAAATTAGTTAATAAGAGGTATCGGACTAGGAGCACCACGCTCCATGGTACCATATTGACTTATAAGTCATCTATAAGCTCTCAGTAGCTACTATATTAGCTATATTAGAGCTCAACTGTGAAGCACGTACCTTAGTCGAGTCTCGACACTTCGTACCTCGCTGCGGGAAGCATCTACGATTTACCACATTATCAACACATATTGGTTACTTTTAAATGCCTTAGATTTAATTTAGACTGTTTGGGAAATATTTTTTGATCAGTATGCACGGTTCTGGCTCTGAGACTAGGAAATATTAGTATATACCTGCTTAAGAATGGCTCTCAGATATTAAAATGAAATTGGAATTGAAGTTATTAGTAGATTCGCAAAAAGAGAAAAGGCAGAAGTACGAAATAGTCAGTTGTTGACATCTAGTAGGTCACTTATTACTCGCTAATTAAAGCTTTAGCTATATGGCAGGCCAATCACGAGTATAGAAGATTAGATTGTAGCCATTCAAAGGTCAAGGGCTGTTGAAATTTGTGCCTACGAATTGGCATCATATGCACGCCCACCGAAACAAAGATAATGTAGATTTTTTGCGTGGGGCTGGGTACGAGACAAAGACAATGTCATTCTATGGAAAGATATGTACTTCAAAAAATGTTCTGGCCGGGGTGCTTACTAGTCTATCTTAGAACTATTCTTAAGTTCGATGGATCGATTTAAGCCTATCGAAGTTCGTTTTTATACAGGATCATTGATATCCCATGCTAAAACTAGACTGGGAACGAGACTAAAACTAGACTACTACAACGCTAGCTTTTTCACTCCGACGAACTTTAATATTATAATATTACTGCCCATGAATTAGCCCTTATGATTTGAAGACACTAGTGAGTAATGGCAATATGGATTCGAGGGTAGGCATTAATTATGGAGCTATTGATTCTTAAAGACAATTGTAGTCAGATTATAGTCTCGTATTAATATTACAGACGCGGTCCACACTTTTATTAGACTACCGCATCATACCTAAGAAATTGGCGTAAAATATTGTTAATGTCGGTTTGATTAATTGTCAAGGGAGGGCGCGGCTAAGCTCTGTAGGCCATACCGAAGCGTTTTAATACAAATCAGAATCATGAGTTAGGAAGGGTTTAGACCCTTAGCTTCTAGTGCTTTATGACGCATGCATCACTAGCCACTCTAGGGCTAAAAATTATTTACCGTAGGATTAATTGACCCAATCCTCAAACACCTCAGCTTCACCTTTACAACCAATGTCATCTTTTCTATACCCCCACCTCCTTCCCTTCAACCATCACCACCCCCTCTCTGGGCGGGCATAAATGCCCTGCCCTCACGCGACCCAACCTTGAAGTTATTAACGAGCTCCACGAAATCAGAAACTCAACAACAGACGGCAAGGTGCGTCAGCTCTTTGGCCTATAGCTATGCCATCGCGAGATGCTAGCTACTTCTGAGGCCAAAGAGCTAAACGCGTTCAAACGCTCCAGCTAACCGTGGTCCCTTGGTCTTCACTCAATCAACGGTCATCCCGCAATACTCTAGGGTATTGTGGGCTCTCTGCCACTCCGCCCTAAGAGTGCCCGCCAGATTTGAAACTAACAATCACTAATGGAACAACTTGATGCTTCCACGAGTACTGTCGTTCCCAGTACTCGGCTGGGGCTCGAGGTTCTATAAACCGTGCTGGACGAAGAGGTAACTTTGCTTCACCCACTGTCGAACCGCCCTTCAATCCGCCCACAGCCTCCTGCCCCCTGATTTGTCCACATCCCTCTGTTTGAAGGGCTCCGGCCACCCGATGGTTAAACCTCGTGAGCTTTCATAACATCGAGGACCATTATCCTAAAAATCTTGAATAACGAAAATCGTTCGGCGTCACGACTGGTTAACGATGTCCGGCAATCAATAGCCTCCGTGGCCAATAATCTGGGAAGAGATTGCGGCTGGCGCTACCTCTAAGAAGGCGATGAGACTATGATCCGGTTTGATGCTCAAGGGGTTCCGATTAGTCGAAATTGTGTGCTGGTTGTGATCTTCAAGTAAGTTTTTTACTATTGCCCCAAGTTTCACAAATATATAAATTAATCACCACTTCCAAAGCGCTAAGAAAATCACTTGTTCTATCTGAAATCACTTCCCTCCACCCTGCCAAGTGGCGGCGGTACTAAAGTTACGACAGCCAGGGCTTTGCCACAGGTGCAAAGCAAGGACAATTCTCCGTGGTGTAGTCTGGGACATAAGGAGCCAAAAATTCTCAGAGCCAGAGTTGAAGGTATCTAAATCTATAGCACGCACATCTATCATTACATTCGGCTTCTACAATAATATGCATACTAATTCTGTGCCTAGAAAACTACAGCACGAAGAACAGCTGAGAAAGAACAAAAAGGAGATACTAAAATTGATTCAATCTTATTTCCTCAAAGTATATGCTTCTACAACCTAGAGGCCTCCGGGCCTAGGACTAGGAATGGAAACTCATGATGCCGGGCCTGGAGGATGCCGACCCGTACAGTGGCTATTATGAAGAATGACACGTGCCCTGCAGTACTCCTGGGTAAAGCTACCCATGGAGACACCCCAGGGTCGCGGAGCACTAGAGAAAATATTTACCGGGTGGAAGTTAGCCCCCCAGGTAGCTCGAAATCCTATACGGCGGACAGGTTATGACCCTCTACAAATCAACTTTGTAAGTAGACGAAGGAATCCTATACTCTCGACTAGATGAGTATTTAAAGCACAGACTAACTCGAATACATTCCAGGAACTAGTAGGGTATGGGCGATAATTGGAAGGGTCGAAAGCAGATAACCGATATCGGTTTGCACTACCAGCCATGTGGTGGGCTTGTATAGTACCGCAGCAAAGTACGGATATGAGGATCTAATGCCTTGAGGATATCGAATCTTCATAGATAACTTCGTGCTTTGTTGTGATGGACGATCATTTCTACCTTGGCTCCGGCCTATCGTGATCTTACCTCGACCTGGGTATACTTTACCATACATCGCCTTGGAGGACTTTCTCCTAAGTTTAAATATGTAAGTACCTATACACCCAGAACTGAGACTACATTAATACTTATATTATTACTAGTCTCGTTCCCAACAAAAAATGGCCGCAAATTCAAGTTGTGGCTTGATGATTGCACCGAGAAGATTGGGCCACACCCTTTCCGGTCATGGTCAACAAAAATAACCCAATCGTGATTATAGTCCCGGGCTCCGGCCCCTTCCCTTCCTAAATTTATCGGGAGGAGACGCCTCGAATGTGACCATATGGCCACGATGTATCTATAAACTTTATAAACTTAGTCTCAGATATGTGTACCCTGAAATGTGTTACAGCCCTGTCGTCATGGAGAAATGAGGTAGATGTGAGGTAGTTAAAGAGAATAATAAGAAATCATCGATCTTTCATACATCACTTCTGGTGTCTGGTACCCGTATTAACAAAATGTCCTATCGATATGAAGGTTTTAGCACCACCATGTCCAGTCGATAGATATGGTACCATGATGCTTCCAAATAAAATTACTATCTGTATATACATTAGGAAATCACCGTGATAGTACAGAATGTAATGAGGCTTTAAATCTTTATCGCTCACCAACATAAACCTATTTTTGATTATCTAACTACGATGTTTCATCGGTAGACTTTGATAATAGATTTGAGCAATACTGATCTTCTTATAGTTTTAAATGTCTAGATATTTATATATTTTCAATGTTAGTGTTCTTAATGTCTGCATGAACCTCCCGTTTGAGTACATCAGCATAAATAATCTCATCATGTCAACGGCTGTTTCCCCATCCAGCTTTTCGAAAGACAAGGTTTGCGGTGTATTGATATTTGTGAAAATCATCGACACGCTTGTGACCTTGATTGTAACCACGCATCTAGCTAGTTTTATGTCACTGTACTTGTACCGCCGGCCGGCCTGTAGCATCTAATGATAAAAAAAACTGCACTCATTATATTAGCGATACCCAAATGTTTTGGTCAACTCTTGAAGCTTGGCGGTAGATCTGAAATTGAAATACTAATAATTTATGTAGCTGAGTGCTTACCTTATATAGAGATTAATCAACCGACTAACCGCAATCTCGTAACTAACCAGATTAATCGCACAGTTTGCAATTGGTTACGAGACTGTATTCATAAGTTACGAGACCGGTATTCATCGACTCCGAAATTCTCAGCACAAGTCTCAACACATTATATTCCAAAATACCACATTTGCTCTTTCTGGGGACTAACCGCTTGCCTAATGCCTAATGCCTTCCGTGCAGAACTAGATGAGTTTTAGAAGGTACCGAATCATTGAAACTGGTAAACCGGGATTTAATCCGTCTATTCAAAACATATATACAAGCTTTGATTATGACCTTGCTGGAACTACTTTAATATTTATCCGCCAAACGAATTAATTAATGACGCGGAAATCTCCGTGTAGCCTGATAAACATGCATCAACTAAGCCCTGTCCATATCAAGGCATTCAGCTACACAGCATATCGACTGATTAATACCCCAGCTGCAGCCAGTATTAGCAACCGAGGGAGTGCAATTTTACATCCAGAGGAGGCTTAGAAGCCACGTGCTTACAAAAGTTCAAACTTATTTTGGCTATGTATCCTTGTTACTTTTTCATATATGCAACCTCAGTATCTCGACGAGTCCTGACACCCAAGATAGAGAGGCATGCACTCTATCATGCAGTCATGATCATGGCATCTTCAATCGGAACAGACGATATACCACCCGCTGGGCAAGTTTTGGTATTTCTAATCCCCGTCATTGCTTGTAGGTAATTAGCCGACACGGGTTACACAGGCCCACAATCCGATCCAATGTCAGCCCTTAGCGAGCCTTAACAATTGAATCGGCCGTATAAGCTCGGCCGATTAAAAGATCATGAATATGCGGATAGATTAAAAGTGCTATATAATCCAAGGTTATAAGGCAAGGCTAGATATCTTATGGTGGATCATTAATGCATTGATGTCCTACCTAGCCTCATAAACATCATTTCGAATATTTCCAGATCGATCCCATATATAGATATCAATTACAAACTTTATATCAAGCGCTCAAGCATATAGAAGCGTTAGCTACGTATAAGTTAGCGTTTTATTAAGAAGATGACAGTCAATTTCGGAATAGTGATTGGTATTATACTTGGGGCAGCGTCTGCTCAAGTGACTCCAGCCCCGTCACAAACCCTCTGGGGCCAGGTGCGAATACAAATCCATCAAGTTATCGTGGTATCAATACTTGCTAACGTCTTTGTTGTAATTAGTGTGGTGGTATTGCTTGGACCGGACCTACAACATGTAGTCCATACTATAGCAATACTCCAGTAAAGTGCACTACCTACAACCCTTACTACGCACAATGTATACCGGATAACGATAAACCGACCACGGCTCCTCCTCCCACAACTACTATCCGTGATTGCATGCCCATGCTGTCATGTACAACTTCACGTTTGTACCACTTGTTCCAAACGTTTAAACACTCTATGTGAACTTCTACTAACCAAAATTAAAAACGGATTCGGATACCATACACAGTCTGTGGAGCTAACTGTCCAGATAGAACCCTCACAGCTTGTGTCACTCATAATGCTTGCGCTACTACAACCCCAGGTCGCCCTACTTTCCCCGTTTGCGAGTGTACAACTTCGTCTACTAGTTCTCGATGCATCAGTAGCTTGTCAACTTGTGGCTATTTTCCCGGTACGCTCATTTTTCGCACATCCCTTCTTGAATATAAAGACTAACATAATATACTTAGCTTGCTGTGGAATGAGTCAAGTTAAATGTGCTAACTACTGCGAGGGTGCTACACCACCGCCAATACAAAGTCCAACGACGATGGCATGCGTGTGCCCAACGCCGACGACGACTCCGATAGATACCTGTTCGTTGACTTCTAGGACTTGTACTACATATGATGGTGAGAATGGGGATACCCCCGCAATACCTTTTACTTTAGGAATCAACTAATAGTTTGATATACGTGATCAGGATGCTGTGGTAAAACTTCCACCGCTTGCGTAAACTTCTGCGGGACTAGCTTTTCTGGCAGGATTCCATACACTAGAGCTACTTGTACGGCCTGCCCTACGAGCAGTACCACTACTTGTATAAGGACGAGTAGTTGCTATGATGTATCTCGTAAGTTATTTCCTTTCTATGACCCCCTATAGCTTTTCTCCCTTTGTATACGACTAATAACCGTCTGTAAAATGTTTAGTCTGCTGTGGACGCTCGACTAGCAGTTGTATGTCATGGTGCAGTGGCACGACACCACCACCTACATCAACTCCAACCCGCTTAGTCTGCACCTGTCCGCCAAATACAACAACAACTATCAGAGTTACAACCCCGACGGCTATTGTTAAGAGAGTTCATACCGTACAGCACGAGAGAGCCTGGAAAGGCAAGGCATACGGAGACGTGAAGGCCTAGATCCTCTTTAAGTTTACGTCATAGACAAAAGACACCTAGTACTTTATGCCGAATATTCATTTTTCTTTTTTAAAAAAAGGTTAGACTTGGAGGATAATGTCGCAGAATGACTTCAGAACAAATGTTATTTCTCATTTTCTTATTTGGATTATTGTTCTCCTTGGAAAATAACACAAAAACAACGCATGCTTTTCGCCTCGAATTCCCGGCGCTCAAGCATCCTTAGCAGATAAATACTTCTCTCTTCGAAAAGTCGCACGAATACTTTCTTTCTAAAACCCATTAGTGGAGTTCAAGAAGTATATAATTCGTACGAGTCTCTTTCACAAAAGGATTTTCTTCACCTAATGCAATCGCCTAGCCACACTCTGCGCCTGAAACCGCCCTTGCTACGTCAAGCTTCCGCCAAGATACGCGAAGTTTCCACACCAAAAAAATAAGCAAAGAAAACATTCTCCATGATCAGACGTTCTGCGCAACATATCTGCTTCATGACCAGGATCAGCGAAAAATTCGGATGGTCGAGAAGTATTCTCGTATCCGCCGAAAATTTATTAAAAAGTTTATAAGATTTATTAATTTTTTAATATATGAGAAACCGAGAGAAACAAAATTATGACGTAGGATTCTTAATGATACTGTACAAGTCGCAGATGTGTTTTGGTGATTTGGAGGAGAAACACTTTTACAGGGGAGTTCCATGGAGGAACCTTTCATGGGAGAATCAGGAGGTAGGATCTATTCATGAGCAGGGAAAAAAAAGTTGGTATCATTCGACTTCAGAAATATACAGGAATCGAGACAGAGAATGCAAAAATAGACCAGTTCCATCCACTAAGAATAAGATGTAATTAAACAAAAAGTATGGCTTTCTTCAAAAGTAGTTTTTCGTGTCGTCCAATCCAAATACATGCTTTTGGATAGACAATGATGGTGTAGATGGCAACCTTCTTTCCAGCACTAGCACTCCCTTTTGCTTGTAGAATCTCTAAATATCCCAGGTCGTATCCCTTTAATGAAAAGGAAAAGTGTAAAAGGTTAAAGAAGAAGAAAAAAAGGGCGGGGTGGTATTTGCCCATAGGTATCCGTCCTAGATAAGTCAAAGAAAAACTCCGGAATCGATGCAAAGAAAATTATATACCAAAGAAATCCAAACAAATGTCGAAAGAAACATTCGAAAGAAATGAAAATGTTATCGTAAAGAAAGATTATAAGGAAAGAACATCTTTTCGAGATAGAAAATTTCGACTGTGGAAATCTAGGCATCGGCGGGTATCGTAGAATTCGAGGCACCTACTTCCTGGATTCGCTGACGTCGTCCGCCAGTCCGTTGGTTTCGGTTGCCTCCTTGGACTGGACGTCTTTGTCCGTTTTGTCCGTTCCTTACAGGAGTTCGACCTAAAGAAAATAAAAGAAAAAAACAAATGGAAATAAGTTACTTATCTTTTAAAAAAAGTGATACTTGTTGAGAGAGATGGAGAGTGCTGGAGTTTGGGGAGCGAAAGAGAGCGAAAAGAAGAGGAGGAGAAAAGAGGAAGATTAGTGTTCTGAGAGGCTTAGTTACGGCCCTTGCGGAAGCCATTGCGGCCTCTTGTACGACCGCCCTTGCCGAAACCACCACGTCCACCACGGCGACCTCCATTCCCGCCGAATGGGTTAGTGCCAGTAGTGGGTTTTGTGGGAGTGGCGGCCTTGGATGATTGTGCAACTGGGGCGACTGTTTGCGAAGGGGTGCTTTGATTTGTGGGTGTAGGGTTGGATTGAGGTTGAGGATTACCATTGTTTCCACCGTTCTGACCGTTGTTGCCTCCATTTTGACCGTTGTTGCCTCCGTTTTGACCGTTGTTGCCTCCGTTTTGACCATTGTTGCCTCCGTTTTGACCATTGTTGCCTCCATTCTGGCCGTTGTTACCACCGTTCTGGCCGTTGTTACCACCGTTCTGGCCATTGTTACCACCGTTCTGGCCGTTGTTACCGCCGTTCTGTCCATTGTTGCCACCGTTCTGACCGTTGTTACCTCCGTTGTTTCCACCATTGTTTCCACCAGCGCCACCGACGGTGAATTTTACACAGTCGTCCTGAGCACCTCTCTGTGCGACAGGCATGAGCACTGGCTGATGGTTGGAAGCGGAGTTCATTGTGCAACATCGGTAGTTACCAGCTGGAAGACCACCAGTAACAGTAGCCTTCAGGCGGCCCTGGCCGTTACCGGCATCATTGATACCCTTGAAGAAGGCAAAGGTACCCGGGTTTGGTCTTTCTCGCGACGTTAGGAGTATATTCTACATAGGCAAATGGGTGAATATCACTTACGGTTGGTTTGGGTTCAAATCGCCACCCAAGTCCTGGCATGTGATGTGACAATGGCCGATAATGTTACCGGCTCCGTTGAGTGTCTGTGGAGCGGAGTAGTATGTTGCTTGGGCATTAGTGAAGGCACCAGCCTGGAGGTTGTTGACCTGAACTTCGACTTCAAAGTCTGTGTTTGGAGCAACGTTGTCATTGTGCTTTGGGAAGATGAAGATAGATGAAATCATATTATTTGCACTGGGGATATCACCCATAACAATGCCGTTACAGCTACCGCCTCGGTTTTGCTGACCATTTGTTAATGCTTTGCCTGCACAGAAGTTGATGAAGTTGGCTGGGTCACTATTGGGGATGTCAGTAAGGATTGAATGGAGAGACAGAACTTAATGTCTAAACATACGTAGCGGATTCGACTTGGCCTGCTGTGATTTCACCCTGCTGTCCAGTAGATTGAGAAGCGGTCTGGATAAGCTGGGGTTGCAATGCCACAGCATTGCCTCCGTTGTTCCCACCGTTGTTCCCACCATTGTTGCCTCCGTTATTGCCTCCATTATTGCCTCCGTTATTGCCGCCATTGTTTCCACCGTTGTTCCCGCCGTTGTTACCACCATTGTTGCCACCGTTGTTTCCACCACCGAACCTATTGCCGTTGTTTTGACGAGCTTCGATAATATGGCGAGCCTCTAGATAATTGTGGATGCCCGAAGGTATTATGCTAGCCTGAGCAATACTGGAGAAACCAGCAGCCAGTACTAGAAGAGATGAAACGTCCTTGACATACATATTGACTAGAAAAATATCGAAAAAAGGCTATCAAAGCTCTGTTAAAAACAAATGAAGCAGATTGAAAGAAAGGACGAGATCTACTCGGGACGAAAGGGGAAGAAAGCCAGTAACTTCTTGTCGAAAGAAGGAAAAAGAATGGAAAGTGTGATCACGATCGACGTGATCTCGACCGGCGAGGGAAATTACAAGGAAAGGAAGGGTCTACGCTGAGCGAATTGCTTGGTAGAAGAAAAGAGTAGAAGGGAAGGAAGAAAAAAAAGATATCGAAACGCCAAAGAGGGACAGGTCCTTATATGTCTCTTGGTTTCCCGGCGGTGCACGGGTACCTTGCATTTCAATCGACCGTTAGCTGCCTGCAGCTTGCAGCTAGCTGCGTTGCACACATCCTGGCTGAATTAGGCCTGTTCCTTGTCCAGGGCTGTTTATCCCGTGGAGACGGAGTTTGGAATAGTGCTACAAATGTTTCTGCGGACCATGAATCTTTCAGCATCGAATGTGGGTAGAGTGAGAGTGAAACGTTGGAGGCTCCAGGCAAGGATACCCGTCCGGTGCGGCTGTCATCCTGACGTTGTTTGTGCCATCAGTCCGTCAGGGGACCTCGAATCCGAATGTTGAGTGTGAACGTTGGATTGCCGGTTTCTTCGCTTATTCCTCCTTTTCGATATTGACATCGATCCAGAAAATATAGTCTTGTCCAATTGCCGTTTTTTCGCGCCCAACGTGAGGCTGGTTGTGCACTCGCCTTGCCATGGAGAAACACTAGCTACCATCAGCCTAGAAGATCTTTAATTTGTTCTTCACAGCCCGAAGTTGGACGAAACACGACTGGAACTTGTTTCTTGGCGCCTAGTGTCTTGTCGTGACAAGGGTTCGAGGCAAGGCTGTGCACAATTGGCCCAAACTGGCGGGCAGATGCACAAGCGAGCATGGCGCCGAGGGTAGGGGCCTCGATCTGAAGCGAAACTTGTTTACACCTGTGTCTGAAGCTTTCCCTGCCAAAACGCTTACAGCTTCGGAGTGTAGCATTGGAGGATATGTCTTCGATCAATCAGCTATTATTTCAAATCACATCTAATATCTACCAGGAAAAATAATATGTCGATGGCATGTTGATTTCGATATACTGGGGTAGTAGTAGTAGTAGTAAATGGTACCCGGCAGATGAACTCCGATTAAACGGAGAATAACACTCTAGAATCTTCAAATTAGTAATAGGGCTCTTAGTGGAACTCACCAGCTTCGCTTGAGCCGGCTACTCCATGCGAGAAAACGGTTAATCGGCACTTTTCGGCGAGCTTCGTCCTTTCTTTTGTTAGACAATACATGAAAAATTAGATGCCATCGCATTGAATGCAGGTCTCAGGAACCAGATTGGCTGTGCTTGCCTTTCCAGATGGCAATCAAATCTCAGATCTATCCCCCACCGGATTCATCAAATCACCGCAGAGTCGTAACAATTTTATTATAGATTCGATTTGATAGCTGTCTTCAAACATCTCGCTTGAGGTTTGTGACTGTGCCGCATAATCAATCGTACCTTAATTTGCTTTTATTTAGATATCCTGATTGCGACAACCAACAGAAAATACAGATTACGATAATTCGGATTTATCCAGCAGCGATACCAACAGGTGTCCTGTAGGAACTAGGAACCAGTCTTCGAAACATAAATTAATAATATTTATCTAGGCACGGTCCAGGTTGATGGGGTTTGTATTGGATCCAGGAGCGTTTAGAGGCGTTTTATTTTTGGTTCCGTCCGAACCGTTAAATAACCTCTATACGAATTTATCCACTTTGTTTCGACAGCTTCTCAACAACTACCGTTCTGATCTTGAACAGCGAAAGGGACTGTTTCACGCCACTTTGTTTCGAAAAAACTTCCCCACACCTGTCATCACCATCCCGAACTTCACCTCCCCAGCCTTCCCTGCCGCCACCCCGCTCGTTCCATCTCTAATCCATTTTGGCAATTTGCCCCAAATGTTATCCCGACTAAACCTCTTATCCAACAAAAGGATAACTGCATAATCGTTTCGGTGGCGTATCGCTCTTCCAATGCTCTGATTGACGGCCCGCATACATGCATTTTCATAATAACCTTGCGCAGCAGCTTTCGCTTCTTGTTGGAGTTTAGTCGCATCTAAGCTAGTACCTTCAGCGACAGCACTTTCGCTGCGTGTGATCATTGATTGTTCCACAAACTCCAGTTTTGCTTTCCATTCCGCGCTGTGAATGTTGGGAAAAGGTAATCCAACCATGATGACTCCTCGACCAAGATTATCTGAAAAATTGATACCTTCGGACATCTTGCCACCAACAACGCTGAGTAATAAGGCTCCCTTTCCTTCGTCGACCGCCTTTGCATAATCTCGTAGGATATCTTCGACACTACTGCTTCCCTTTGCCTCTCTGAACACGGCTTTCCTTGATTGTAGATTTTCGTAGATACTTGCGGTTCCTTCCGGTCCTTTCTCTTCCCAAACTTTAACCACGGTTTCCAAATACGCGTAGCTTGGGAAGAAGACGACAACCCCATGCGGAATAACTTTACACAAATTGAATATAGTTTTTCCGAGTTCCGTTATCAATTTCGGACCATTTCGTTTCTCAAATGTAAATTCGAATGCTTGATTCGTAACACCCATTGGCACCGTCATCGCCAGCATGTTATCTTGGGGTATCACATGGCCGCAGGAGACCATTCGAAGCCTCTCAGAAGGTAAATAAGGAAAGAGATGATTGACGTAATCCGACATTGGTTCCATAGTACCACCGGCTAGGACAACCGCTCGCGCGTCCTCAACAAGATCTTTGAAATGATGGGTGGGATCTAAGAGCATGTATCTAAACCCCACCGCGGCTCGAAAATCTTTGGCGCCTGCATCATCTATTGGGCCATAAAATACCTTCCCTTCTTTCTCAGGATTTGTCAGAGTAAGAAGAAATGCGTACACATGGCTCAGCACTGGAAGTCCGCCTGAGGTGGCGACTTTCCTGGCTTTTGCCGCAGGAATCTTCTGCTTTTTCGCTTGATCTGCAAGCTTCTCGTTCTCTTGAAACATAGTATAGCCTTCGACCTTTCGTGCCAACTTGCTTTCTTCTAGATATTTGCCGAGTTTCAAGATATGAATTTGATCAATCCCTTTAAGTTGAAGCAAATCTCCTTGCTTTACGGTCCCATCTGGAATTTTGGGTGGGACCTTCGGATCAATTGCATTGGGCTGAATAGAGAACTTGTCTTCGAGCCACGTCTTAAGAGTTTTTACTAGACGATGGCATTGAGCGACGTAAACTCTATTACCGCCTTTCAGTTTCTTGCCGAACTTTAGTATGTACGCTGCGAGGTTGTCCGCACATTTTGTAAGCTGAGATAGCGATATCGAAACTGAGTGAATATTCGAGACAGCATCCATGAGGTTGTGAGCTTCGTCAATGATTATGATATGATTTTTCACACTGATTTTCAGCGCCTCGCGAGAGGACTTTTGAAGTAGCAGGGGATAAGGCAGGGTAATTATCTAAGGGGTTCAGCTGTTAGATGATATAGGGGAAGATGAGCTCTGAAAGACAGTTTGGTTGGTAATAGAACGGGGACTAACCTCTGTGGGTTTTATAGCTTCACGAGATGCATAGTATCCGCATATTTTCAACTTTTCGCCAACACCACGAAGGTCTTCGATATCTTTGATATCGGCCAATGCCAAATCCCTGAACTCTCGATTTAAGACATTTCGTTGATTGTCGGCTTTTGGCAATAGAAATGGACATTTATTCTCAGCTGACTTTGATTGTTGTAAATCCAAACACCGGTCGTTGACTGTATTTGCAGAAGCTGATGGAGTATTGACTTTATCGTTGATGCAAAGCAGTTTGCGAGATCCGAGGGACAAATGTTTTACCACCTCTTCGGGTTTCTCCTCACTTTCCTCGGTTAGATCATCTTCATATGTCGGGGGGAGATGTACCCGTCGTAACTCTGCTGTGAACTGCGACAGTTGAGAGTGAGTTCTTGAGCAGTAGAATATCTAACCCAGTAGTTAGAAAATAGGCGTTCGGCTAAAGGTAAGTCTATACCGGGATAGATACCTTTATCTCGTCTGGTACTTCCTCCTCTTCCTCTTTTGATCTTAGAGGACCATATCCCACCCTAGCAACCGTTAGAATCGACTTGTCAATCGAAAGGAAGATCAACATACTTCTTCATCATCTCAATTGTCTCTTTCGATAAACCGGCAAATGCAGGGTCATTTTGATCTCCACTCTCGTCATCACTATGATAATCATCAAGCTCAAATTGTGCTTCTAGGACTTCAAGGTCTTCTGCATTCCGACTGCCATCGGGTTTCTATGCATGCTTCGTCAGCGATTCACTCATAGGAAGGCAAGCAAGAATTATATTTCGGGTATACCTGTCTCTTCACCCCAAACATTCGAACCTGCTGCTGCTCATTCATTTTTCGCATATATTGCTCCCGTTCTCTTTTTTCTTTCTCTCGAACCTTTTGAAGTCTCGCTTCCATTTCTCTTCGAGAACGAAGAGCATTCTCTTTCCTCTCCTTGCGAGCATGAGCTAACACCCAACCAGGTGTTTTACCATCTATATTTACGATTCAGTAACTGGCCGGAGTGAAAGAAACCACGATCAATTCCATACCATCAACACCTCGTTCTAATTCATCATTAAGCTTCCGCCTTTTATGCTCTCGGAGCCAAGTTAATGAACCACATATTAAGCTCAATGATTTGCCCTTGTATTGATTTGTATAAGCTTCCATACACTACTAAAGATCACCCTTAAACTCTCAATTGGCGTAGTATACCGTTCCTAGATTTTATATCAGAATAGGGCATTCACGATTGAGATCTAGAGCTCGCACCTGTAGGTGACTCAAATATACCAACAGAACCGTCCTCGAGAACCTCATATAAAGCGTTCATGAAATCAAGCTGGATCGGGTAAGGAGTGTATGGATGATGAAAATCACGCTGAAAAGCTGCTCCAGCTGCGAGACTTCCTTGGAGACTGTCTGACATATTGTAGAGCGAGCTCGAGAGTTGTACGTTGGTCGATTTGATAGCTTACTGTCAGGTATTCGGATTGAATACTCCATACACTAGCTATAGACGCGCGTGGAGGACCAAGCCAAGAAACCTGCTTGTCTTCCTGTTACGCCACCAGACAGTCGGCAGTTCACGTGATACAAATAATGTTTTCTTCCGCAAATTCTTGGCGCACTTATACAACGCACAACGCAGCGCCGCAAACATCCAACAACACCAACACAAAGATGTCATGTAAGCCGGCACCAAACGTCAATTCTGAAGAATCCTCAACCACATCACATCGTCACGTTTTCGACGCCAAAGAGCTAAGCAAGCTCAATTACCACTTACGTTCCCCCCCATAATTTTCTTTGGCGTGTTGGTTAGCTGGGAGTCTCCAAAATGGATATAATTTCGGGTCTTCCCAAAGAGACCCTCTCTGAAATCCTCAGCTACTTGCTGGTAAGCTACAAGTAGCTCTCATCATGTTTAATCTTTATTCTTAGCCTCCATTAAGACTAACTTCTTTCAACTAAGATTAAACATGCTTTTGGAGATATCAGAACTTGCTGCCTTGTCAGTAAAACATTTAATTCTGTAGCCAGTCGAATCCTCTACCACCATATAACTCTTTCTGGTGTTGATCATATAGGACCAGCGCCAGAGCTCGAGGTTTCTTTGCTTCGACCTGGTCATCAATCGCTTCAGCATGTTAGATCAATTACCGTGGATATTCGCGATCCAGAACTTTATGAAATTGTGTGGCCCGACGAACGATACTTTTATGAAGACATAGCCCTGTTACAGATGGCAGGACTCTTGAATCGCTTGGTCGAACGAGTCGGCGAGGATAAAATCAAGGCGTTGGACGTCTTCCTCAAGGCTTTTGGTGACGCTATTAAAAACGAACCGCAAACTTCTCCAGTCGACATATGGTCGCCGAAGAGCGTGACAGCATATAATCAAGATTTATCTCTTGAGGCCTTGACAATTTATGGGATCGGAACGATTTCCATCAGCCCCATCCCGGCTTGGGAGATGTGCCAACAAAATTACCGAATGCTCAAACGTTTAAATTTCCATGGATTTATGGGACCGTCGGTACATGGATACTACCCCAACACCATCCCTGGGAATGATCACTTAGCTCGAGCCATTAGCGGGCCGCTCCAACTTGATGCACTTGAGAGTCTTAGTTTCAAGGACCTTAAATGGGATTCCCGTCCAGAACCCAACAATAGCCTCGATGCTTTTCTCTCAGAGTTAGAAATGGGGGTTTTCTCAGCCTGTGCCGGGCAAAACATCAAAACAGTCAGCTTTTTAGACTGTGGTTCAACAAAGATGCTAACTCTAGGATGCGCCCGATTTTTGAATCACATTACAAACCTCACCATTGAGATATCGGGCACCTTGGAATACCTAGAAACTTTGCTCTGCAAACTCTCATGTGGGCTTTCATCGTTATATGTCAAGTGGTATCCTTGCCCCGAAAACAGAAATTGGAACCACAGACTCGATCGAGATCCAGCTCTGGGAAAGGTCGCGTTCGTGAAGCATTCCACTACGCTGAAAAGTCTCTACCTGAACAAACAATCAGGTCATAAGTTTTGTGTGAAGGGTCCAGTCAGTGCCGAAGGCGGTGATCCTTTGGACCTGGAGACAATATCAAAATTTCCGTTACTAGAGTATTTGGCTCTTCCACTAGACGAGCCCGACTCATGGAACCCTGGAGTAGTGAAAGTAAGTGTTTTCTATTTTAGCCATAGTATGGTGGTTAATATTAAATATGTTCCTTCGACAACTATCTTTGTCGATCTTACAATCACGTATTTTCCCTAAGCATGCCGCAAAATCACCACGGATCCATTTAAGAGCTAACACATGAAAATTCTTCTGTAGTTTCAAACCCTAAAATTTATTCACTTCTTAGAGCCTTTCCCCCTTCGCCCAGGAACTGAGAGTGGTGCCATAGAGAATTTTCTTCGTTGGTTGTCACCTTCTCACGAAGAGCCAAATACGGGCACCGTCTCAAAGAGTGTGAAACTCAAGGCTCTTGTAACCCCCTCCAATTGGTCTCCTTACGGTCGCTCCACGCCGTATTTGGTCTATTTTCGGAGTTGCTCTGAACCATTCTATTTCGAGTCCCCATGCAGGGCATTTAGGGAACTATGTTATTGGCACCCTGACATTGAGGAGTTTTGCATGAAGGGGGATACCTCATTTTGTCCATTCAAACAGGATGGAGGATCGCCACCAACGGGTCGGGGTGAGGAGTTCTGCATGGAGGGAGATATCGATACCCCATTTTGCAAAGTTTGCCTGGCATTGCGGCCAACGAACGGTGAACATTCTGAGTGATTGCGGTACTCTATATATATATATACATGTACATACTTAGATAAACACAAATGTGTTTATACAACGGCCCGTCGGTATCAGCTTGTGAACCGGCCATTCCATGGTCGTGTACTGGCTAGTAATAGTTATAGCGCTGCTCTTTGTGACGTCTGGGAACGAGACCAGTTATAGCTAGTTTTATATTTTAGAATCAATTAATTAGAATTGAATTCTATTGAATTTGCCATATGTTGAATTCGTACTGCTATCAGTCCATCAGCCCATGTGAACCCTGGCCATGTACTGTAGCGTATTAGCATCTATACTGTAGTTGCAACGAAGTCTCAATATGCAAGCGCTTTCTGCAAACATCTAAGGATCGATTTCTAGAATTCTAGATTCAAGGCCGAGCCATATGCATGGCCATCAGAGCAAACCCCGATACTTCCCGTCTAGCTCTTCGCGTCGGCCGTTCGGGGACTTCCAAACTCATATGAAACGTCTTTGTAATCCATGTTATGACAGGGGTGTCACGAACCCTTTAAGCGATACAATCAGAGCTTGCCAGCGCACCAAAGCCCTAACATGCAGCCTGACGTTCATGGACTGCATGACTGGATAAAAAACTTTTCCCTTCCTTGTTGAAGTTGAAGAGTATTTGCCATTTAAGGGAAAATAAAATTTCGTTCAAATCCTCATGATAACGAGAACGGTCAAATGACTCTTTTCTCGAAAAATTTGTCGATGCCGATGCCTAGCATTGAATCCTAGAACCAAAGTCCCTCAATTTGAGGCTTAGGGATAGCTATGGGTCGTGAAACAATCGATGTCGCGGCAACACGACCATCTTCATAAACCGAACGGCACGGGCTGGAATCAGATCGAGTCGAATAAGCCAGCCATGGCATCTAAACCCATCGGACGGCGCCAACAAACACAGAAGCCGTCTCATTTTGCCACTAACGGCCATCAACTGTTCATGGGGGATGCGGCACGTATCGACGTGTACGACCGTTGATTTCCCAAACTAGAAATGTAATTGATCAATTGATCACGCTGGCCTGAAGGGTTTCCCGCCTGGGTCCACAAGGGTCTCTCCTCCCATGGCCCATACGATAGGAAGCAAAAAAAAAAAATATGTAGCTAGGACGAACCAGTGAAAACTGTGTAAAGGAATTTTACTGAAAAGAACGAGAAAAGAAAAATGCAATGTGCCCTGGCCGTTTTTTTGATCATGGAGGCATTCCGCCCGACCATTCGCCATCGCGCAGGGAGCAAAAGTATGGACTATGATGACATTGCATCGTGAATTCTCTCTCCAAGGGCTTCAAACCCTGGTCCGCCCTCCTCTTTATACAACACACAGAATGCATTCGCTGGCGACCAACAAGTGAACCCCAACCACCCTGCCCTTTCGAACGCCAGGCGTGACATTGAACGATCGAGAAACGTTCAAACATATGTCAAAGCCGGCGACAAGTATCCGCAATTGGGGAGGCAAATTTTGAATTTTAATTTTTGTGGTTTGTCTTGTGCATTGAAGAATTGGAATTGGGAATTGGAAAGCGGGGTTTCTCGAAAATGGTGATTCGACTTATTCTCGACTGGCCTCATCACGGTATTCACAGCAGCTTGAAAGCTTTACTTGCATGAACGAACATGTGGCATAGCTCAGGCTTGCCTATTGTTAGTTAGTATTGCCGCGAGAACCAGAAAATGGACTTTGCTTTGCTTGCTTCTTTCTCGCTGACCCAGAAGTTGAACAACGAATGAATCGCTAAACGAGTACCAGGCTGGATGATTACTGGAACGCAGGCCTTCCCCCTCTTTCTTTTTCCTCCCGAGTGTACCCGCGCGAGAAGGTCTCGAATTGCGTGTCATGTTTGTTAGATCCTTTCTTTTTTTTCTTTTCATTTTTTTTCCATTTCCCTGCGCATGTATGTAGGATAGAGCAAGCATTGTTGGCGGCGGGGCTTCTGGCTTGAAACACAGCCTTATAGAGCAACTTTAAGATCTATATAGGCTGCGCATGCCCCAACGTCGTCTCCACCTACAGAGATCTTTCCTAGTTGCTTGTAACTTAAGACGCCAACGAACCTTAACGACCTGCCGGAAAAGTGCCTATAACTATCAAACTGGATTTGATACCTTCGAGCTAATTAACACTAGTACTAGCTTGAGCTCTTGCAGATAATATTTTTTCCCTTCCACAGTCGCAGTACACCAGCTACAGTGCAGTGCAGCCCAAAGCCTAGAATTAATTATAATTGTGCTTAAACCGCCCCTCCCCCCTTCAGTTCACAGAGATCAACTTTGCGAACGACAATTGACTCTTGAATCCCCATCGCCATCTCATCAGACCAGAATCAATATATCAATTCCCCTCCGCAAAACCGGTTTATAACCCGAGATCAGACAGTTGCTGTGCTGGCAGTCGAGCTAAACCCTGTTGATCGCCCGAGACAAAGTCCAACAAGAACAACGCGAAGTCGATCCAACAATCCCACATGTCTTCTGGTACCCCTCCAACTCAAAAGCGACGGCTCCCCGCCTCGCCGTCTCTTTCCCCTGGATTTTTCCAACCAAAGCCTCAAATTCTCTCCTGGGGTCCTTCTAGAGCGAACGGTGGACCGCGCCCTCAATCCCCTCAAGAGCCCTTCCTCACTGCCCCATTTGGTTACCCTTCCCCAAATACAATGTCCCCAACTTCACCCATTACAAGGCCGCTTTCATTTTCACCGCATCTGCGACATCTCTCTCCAGCTCCTAGCAGCGGTGTTTCCACAGTTAAATCTATGAGCGAACACGATAGCTCTGACGAAGAGGTCTTTTCTCCTACGAATCAAAATCTCCAGGTTCATCTACCAGATCCGGAATCGGATTCGGAAAACGAGGGGAACGATAGCCTAGACATAGATATTGACCTCATGGATCCTTCTACTATCCCATTGGACCTTAAGTCCGATACTACTTCTTTATTCTCTGAGCGTATCTTTTCCTCATCCGGTCAGAAGAAATCTGCAATAATTACAATCGAAGAACTGCCAGCACTCCCAATGTCGCCCGCCCTGAGCCGCACATACTCCTCCCAGTCGGCTGCATCTAGCATTAGCGCTGCTACTGCAGGCCACGTCAGCTGGCAGGATTCTGGGATCGAGGTCATCCAAGGAGAATACTCTTCCTGTGCTTCTGACTCTGAATTGGACGATACTACCGACGACCCACAGACCGAGGATGACGACGACTTTGAATGGAACGTCGATGTGTGTTCTAGCAGCTACCCAACTGACGATTTCCTGCTTGGAGGCTTCCTGGGACTTAGTACCGGTGGTACCAATGCCGCAATGATGGGAATTGGTATGGCTTTCCCTAAGGCAATTGACAGATCTTTCAATACCAACGTTTCGACTCGCCCCGCTACCCCATTCGCCCCAAGAAAAACCAGAGGCTACGCAACCATTGCTACCCCCTCCGTTCTTACCCAAAACCTGGAGAAGCCTACTGTAACTGGCAGTGCCAACAGCACCCTTAAGCGTCGCAGCCTCAATACCCCAAATACCAAGAAGAGAAGACGCATCTATTCCCTCTTCGATGATAAGGGTGGCGAGGGCGACGACGAAAGCGACGAAGCAGAAAGCCCCGCTAGCCCTGCCAAGCGAGTCAAGAGCAGGATGAACATGGACTCTGTCCTGAACGGTGGAGCTTTCAACCTGCAGCAACAGCAACATGCGAACCCGAGGCGAGGTAGCCTGAGTCAGATGTTTGGCGTGGTTCTCGGCGACGACATGGACGTTGACCTTTGAACGAATGAATATGCCTTTGTCGTTTTTACTGTATATTGATGATTATATGGGTTTGTCTGGGGCTATATTAGATATCCTTGCTTGGTTTACGACCTTTGATTTGTCTATTTGGGTTTTTTGATAGAGTTAGATACCATTCTGTCTGTCGTTTTTTCTTCTCTGACATCTATCAAATGTATAGATAGATCTTCTCTTATTCTTTCCGTTTTTGTTTGTTACGTATTTCCCAAAGGGACACGATATCATCATGGCGTTTTGTGAATCACTTTTTCTTTCTTCTCCCTGCTCATAGCAAATATCATAGCCAGCTTACGTTTTACTCCATACTCTCACATTTTTTTCTTCTTCTAATAAGCATGCAGCCGTTAATCACCTGCTTTTTGTGGCCACATTTACATATTTCCTAAACATTTTTCTATGCGTTCTTCCTCTGTTCTTCCTGCATATCCAACGAATTCATACATAAAACTGCATTTGCCTAACTCTACTGACTTACTTGTTCAAATCGAAACCTTTTTCCCGTTGTCATGCATACAATTCGATCGAATCTTCTTTCCTTTTTTCCTTTCTTTTCTTTTATCTGTAATCTGCAACCCTAATTATAGGTGCATAATATTGTTTTTTCTTCTTCTTTTTTGTTATATGATCATTCGATCTGTACGAACACGCTGTATTTACATGGGGATCTTATCTCTCCCTGCTGCATATATGTGTAATACAATCACACGTTATTCTCGGATTTTTACGAAACGGTTTTATTTCATAGTTTTCAGTGGTTGGGTGATTGTGGACTTTTCTTTTCCAAAATATTAATAACTGAGATCCTTTTAATTGTGAGAATGTATGAATAAATTTATTGGATTGTGGTCTGCTTTTTTGGATGGCGGCTAGTGATGCTTTGGTAGCCGCTGGGAGCTCGGGCTTACTATGAAGATTGCGTGATCGATTGGTGAAGTTTATTGAATCGGTGCTGGGTCGACTCCGGAGGCTTGTAAAACTTGGTCTGTTCCATCAGCCCGGGGGTTATAGTAATCCTCGAAATAGAATGTAGTATTTGGAATATGAAAGCTGTTGGGGAAGATAGATTCCTATTTTAATTAGCTTTGACATCTTCCCTCGTGCTATCCTTCGAGCTTGAGCCACCCAAAGTGCTGTGCCACATGTTACAAAAGAGATTTTCTTAACCGGTCTGTGAGCTTGCCATAATCACCGTCAACATGGAACTCCATGAAAAGGTTCTGGTCTGGTGTGACTCTTGTGCTAGTAATACACGCAACCCGCAGAAATCCTTCGTAATACCGCCTTTCATGGCCGCGCTTTTAATCCCTACATTATTTAAGCCTAGAACCTAGCAATCCAAAAGGCTTAGACAGTTATCACCATCCCTAAAAATGTTGGAAATCAAAGCTATCTTCTCTGCTATGCGTAGCTATGCTACCCACGGGGCTGTGTACAACAGATGTCAAGACCAGGATCGAATTCACTATCCTAGTAGTAGCAATCGCCCTGCTAGTATTCCCTCAGTCCTGCAATAGCAAAACTAGGGTAACAAGCGAGGGCCTTCTAAGGTGGAGGATCAGACCTAGCAAAGCTTGTGTCAAGTACGGCTGAAGGCATCATAGCTATGTGCAATAGTAATGCTGGCAGCCTAGCAAAGCTATCAAAAAACGGCACTGCTAGATCTACTTGATCTGACATTTTGCATATGTACACATGTATATACTGTGCCGTTAATACCCGCAATACCCTCAAGAAAAACGCAAGAACAACAGGCAAGAAAAGTATTAGGGCCTATTCAAGTATACCGGTATAACCGCGGAAACATTCCGATAGGCCTATCTATCCCTCCTCTCTGTATCAAACGCAAAATACAACGCTCCCCCACTATCGATATCGTGCCTACAAATGTCCCACCAAGGAATCGCATGTGGTATCACGAACCACGCGAAGCTGTGCAATTAATTGCCCTGCTGACCCGGAATACAAGCTTCCTTCAAAATGCCACAAGCAAAAAAAACTTAATTCTGTCGTACGTCCCGACTGCGACTTGTGGCTCCGTTTCGCTTTGTGCTACTATGTGGCCACCCGTTGACGGGGATGTAGAGAAGAGCTCCGATGAGATGACGTTACTTTGAAGGCGGAGGCTTAAGATCTCATGATTTAGTTATTTTGTTAAACGGAAAGTGGGTGCGGGTGAAGGCTCGGGCCGTTGGGGAGGATTACGCGGCTTGGTGTGTCTGGCCGAAGATAGGCTCGTAGATTTAAATGATTCGGCTGCTATTATACGCATTTTATAAAGTGTAGTTTGTATCCGAAAGCTTAAGAGAGATAAAAGTGTATTTTATTTACATATCGAGCTTGCGGATATCTGAATTCCCAAGCCGCGTGTACTTTGTTTAGAATAAACTAGCTCTATACCATTTCCCTCCATTAGTAGGAGAAGATCATAAACGTTTAATGCGGAACCTTGTAGATTCAACGGCTTCATCCATCTGTTAGAATTTTTGATGGCATGACGCACACAAACACTAAAGCAAAAGAAGAACACGAAATAAATAGCAGGATCGATAAGCCCGTGATCTCGTTAACGCGAATCTCCTGACGTAACGCGAAAAGCCAACAGCACTCCTAGCTCCTGGGAAATAGTGTAGACGACACCTGAAATATGTGTTGTGTGTGGAGTTCCGTGTTTCCCGATTGGGACAGACTTGCAGGGGTTAAGTTAAAAAGGCTTGGCGTCTATCAAAACCTCCCAACACTTGCAACACCAAAAAGTCCAAAATCAATGAAAGATTAGAGTGTGGGTCCAATTCCCTCCTAGCAAGATCCCTGTCTCGCCACAGAAAACAGAGCCAAACCTCAAGGCTGCCGAATGAGCCGTGGTTGTTTACTAAGACAACCAGCGCCGCTGCAAAAAGCTTAAGCTCCACATGGAGCTGTCGAATGCGGGGTTTGCGGGGACAAAACAGAAAAACTAAGGCTCGATGCTACCCAAACTTAATGGAGCCGAGGCATTCGGATGTTGCAAAAGCTAAAAAATGAAGGGGAGCTAAGTTCATTGTCACCTTATTTTGGCGTCGATGAGGGTGGAGGGACGGCTTAAATCCAATGGCTACCTCTGCGCTCCGGTATTAAAATGCGGGATTGGAATCTGGGGAAATGCTTGATTTTTTCGAATTCTTCTTCTTCTTGCGCTATTCTTCAATTTGTTATTTTTCAAGTCCGGTAGTCACGTTAGTCCAGTCAAATCTTTAGTCTATAGCTAGTCGATTTTCAACATGGCATCCGCAGCAGTTCTTCCAACCCCGGTCAACGGCACTTCTGTTGCCGTCGAAGAAAGACCAAAGATGGAACAAGGACAGGCCGTTAAAATGCCAACTATCGCTGATATCGGTCCTCCAAAATTTGACGACCCTTATAAGGCGCGAGAGTATTATAAAGGCCGACTTACACTTGCATTCAGAATCTTTGCGAAATATGGATTTGATGAAGGTGTTGCTGGTCATATTACCTTCAGAGTATGTCTTCCTCCATTTTCAATATTATACTACGACGAGAGCTATGAAAACTAAGATCATTACAGGATCCCGTTGAACCAACATCATTCTGGGTCAATCCTTTCGGCGTCGCATGGCCAACTCTAACGGCCGACGACCTTATTCTCGTAAATAAGGAAGGAAAAGTCGTCGAGGGCGGTAAAGTCCGTCTTCTCAATGCGGCTGGTATGATAAACCTACTCCACACCCGAGTCCTTACTGCTTAAACTAATATCGAAACTTCCTGAAAATAGCCTATATGATTCATCACGCAGTTCACGAAGCTCGCCCCGACGTCATGTGCGTCGCACACTCACATTCCCTTTACGGCCGTGCATTCTGCGCCCTTGGAAGGAACCTCGATATCACAACCCAAGATTCTTGTGCTTTCTACAATGATATCGCTCTTTACAATCAATTCAAGGGTACCGTCCTCGCCGCCGAAGAAGGTCGACAAATCGCCTCCGCTTTGGGATCTCGAAAGGCAGCATTACTCCAAAACCACGGCCTTTTGACTTGTGGAAAAACTATTGAGAGCACGATCTTTTGGTTTATGAGTTTGGAGAAGAGTTGTCATGCGCAGTTGTTGGCTGATGCTGCGGCTGCTGGAAGAGGTGGTGCTACAGTGAAGATCGATGATGATGATGCTTTGGAGACTTATAAGACTGTTGGAACGGAGATGGCTGGGTGGTTTAGTGCGAAACCTGCTTTTGATATTATGGAATTGGAGAGTAGGGCTGGGTCCTTGTATGGGAATTATTTGAAGAAGTGATTTTGAGGGCATTTTTTGGTTTGGATTTTACGAGTGGGTGTTTTCGGTTTGGATAGCTACTGGGATTTGGATTAATTTCTATCATATGAATGTGTATATCAGATTGCAGCTATATATTAATATATTGAGAAATCAAACGAATTTTATTGGACAGACAGAACTCCCTGTTGATATTATATTGCTCAAGTAAAGCAAGGATTCTAGACTGTCAGAAATCTGAAGCGAAGGGGATGTTGTAAAGTCATACGATTATGAAACTTCCCCAGATATCACAAGTGGGCCCTGCAGGCCTGCAACAAGCTCGAATACGAGGATACGAACTTAAGGACCCTGTTTTGGATTCGGCTCAAATCGGTTAGATTTGGACAACCCTTGCAAATCATGACGACTCTTCATTCAACACTCTTTCATGTTGCATATTTATATCCTTGCTGATAGCTAGAGCAATATGCGGGACAAAACCTTGAATGTTGTTGGCTAGGTCGTGATTCGCGATCGGTGGAAGATACATCATGAGGAACTAAGTATTATTTTCATTCCCATAACTCTAGAATGCTCCCAATTCGGGCATCCCAGATTATAAGACTCTACCTAAACTTCCTTGCCTGCTGGGCTATTAACTTAATTATATTTTGTTTCTGAAACGACCACCGCCTAGCTTCTAGCGCGGCCTTAAACGACCTGTACAAATGAGTGGTAAGAATGTTGCTGCATCAATATTACTATATTATATCGACAGACCTATTTCACCCTACAATTTCAAACGAGAGGTCCCACGGCGGCTCGTCTGAAATATAGGCCAGCATATTAGCGCCGATCCTTACCCATGAACTCTTTCGATTCGAGCTTAAAGATTAAATCGACGTCATTATCAAAAATTGTAGTGATAGAAAACAATAAAGCGCAGATTTGAAATAAGGCTACTCCGATTTATATATAAACTTATTGATTCTATTGCCATTGAGAAGACATCAAGAGCGCAGTGTGGTTTGCACATTCGTTTCGCTAGTGGCTTTCATGAACACCGACCCCGCAGAGGGACCAAAAATAGCTATGAAATTTAACAAGGTGTATAAAGACTAAACCGCCAGCTCGAGGCTCGAGACTAGAAAGAAGCAATAAGTTCATAATTTACTGTGATCATGACATACGACATGTAGCTAAATGACACCATATGTAGTTCCCTGTATAATTATGAGTTACAGATGGAAAGAGGTTGAGCGAAGAATCTCAATTCAATTCTGGGGGGGAAAGATTATTTCTCCCGCATCCCTAGCCTTGAGGTCAGGCGCGCTCACACGCGCTCGCAAAGGTGTGCACCGATCGTACGGATCCTGCCGATGACATGCATGGTCAAGTATCCTCTGGCGGATATGGGTTGGTCCGCGTGCAGGTGCACAAGAAATTTCGAAACGAGCCCGAGCAAAAGCATCTGCACGATGTATACCTCTACAAAACCAAGGGGGGGAAACTATGCCGTTGTACCGGTGGCTCATTTTGTGAGGTAAGTATATATTACGATGCTGGAATTGAAAGCCTTGTATGCTCGATTCGAGCCGTCTGGTCAAGGCCAAGGCTACGTACCCTGCAACCGCATCGAGCCCTGAATTTGTTCCATCAGTTGGCGCCACAACGACATCTCATTGGTGGAGAACAATTCTCGTTGACTACATTAAGTCCAGACCCCTGTCGCTGCTGTCACCGTCCTACATTCTTCAGATCTGCAGGTTCGCATGCAAAGAAAATTTGAATCGTAGCCGTTAGGACTGGCTGAGTTCTCACTTCAAACTTTATTCATCATGAGAGAAGTATAGTAGAAAAAGCTAGTCTATTCTAATATCTACTATGATAGCGCTGCCAGCTGAGGTGCCCATTTCCCTCGATCTCGGGTATATAAGACCCAAGAATCCGCCCTCGATAGCTTTTAAATTTTTTGACATCACCATCACCACAGCTCCTTAGCTCTCTCTCGCTAGAATTATCTGATAAAGAACTTCAAACATATATTTATATCCTTCTTCATCTACATAACTTTGAATATTGCGCACTAGAATAAAAATAGGGGATAGCTTGTCAATAAAGCTTCTCTCTCACGTACGACTGTTTCACCACCCCCGCGGATCAAATCCTAGGCCAACTTCAACAAAGTTTTGCAACATCATTTCTCAAGCTCCTTGCTACCAATGTTTCAGCCAAAGAAACGTGCTCGCCCATGTCCCATGCTTGACGATAATGGGATAAGAGAGGAAATGCGACTACTGTATCAATTGCTAGGCTGGACGCCCAAAGAAATTGCGGCAGAGATTAATAAGAACCACAAGTTGACAGTAACGTGAGTTTAAACCCTCCCTTGGGGTTACTGCACATGAAATACATACTCTCCAAAATATGATCTAATAGTAGTCGGTTTCGCAATAGGGGGCCCCAAGTTCGCGACAAGCTGAACAAACTAGGATACAAAAAGCGGTTCTGTCCCAAACAGACTAAGGCGATATTCCGAGAGATGGTCAGACGCAAGAATATGGGTAAAGAATCAGAGGTCCTCATTGGCGGAATTATAACTCTTTCTGGGAAGAAACTCCAAAGATCAATAAGACGGAACCTCACTCTCACTGAGCAAAATCATATATCAAAGGGTTCGTTCTATGGGTTTCCGCGCCGGCCATTTTTAAAACCAGGTTTACTGGCGAATTATTTCACCCTCAAGATCAAGCTAACGATGAGTAGGGATTCAAGTTGAATTAGCAAACGAATTGTCCGAATATCTTCAAGTTTGCACTCCACAAGCGCATGATATGGATTTGGTCCTTCTAAGACCCCAAACCATTCGACATATTCCACTCCTCATTTTACATAATTTACCAATATGGCAATTCGTCTCTCAGCTTATCGAAAAGCCAACTCTTCGGTCCTCCAAGAATGCACACGATCATAACAATCTCAAAGTCACAGCTCATGGGTCAATTCCGCATTCCCCGCTTCTTCGCCTAATTATCTATAAAATCTCCAACAATTTGACAAATGATTTGGATTGGAATGGTGAGATAATGAAATATTTGGACGGGATTAATGAGTTTGGGTTGCGAGAAGCATTCAAACGATTACTATCGAACACAAGCCTCTCGATCGCCGCGGCTTCGGAGATAATAGCACCCTGGCTCTATGTGAGGCAAGATCTTGAACTGCTAGAGTTTATCCTGAGAATTCATAACGGAATAAAATTGCGACCGTTCAGAATCCTCGGTATGTTTGGGTACCGGAGACGGTTTCTCACTCTCAACACTAATTGGATAGAAATGGCCCTCAAGGATATCGAAACAACAAAGGATTTGCCAGGATCGCATGAGGATCTAGGTTTACTATTACTCGCATGCAAACGCGCCCGGGGGGATATATCGTTATTTCAACGTCTTTGGAATCGAAAAGCGTTTCCCGAATTCATCACATGGCCAGGATTTAGCATGGGAGACTGCCTCCACGAAAGCACCCCACTGTTGGCAGAGGACGAAAGTATATTAAGACTGTTACTTAGCCTGGGGTTTACCAGGTTTAAGTGGGCATTGGCGCTCAGAGCAGTGTTGCTCGACAACTACAGCATCACCAAGGTGTTCTTGGAGCATGATGGCCTAATACCGAGCGACAGAAGTAGTCTGCCAGGGCCTGGGGACTCATGCGGTCACAGCCATGTCTGGGAGATGTTAGGGATCCCTATGTTTTACGGAATAGTGGCCCAGTTCGTGACTACTGAGATTATACCTCGTTATGCCACTTCGGCGTTCACAACTCTCAGTCCAGCTGACTTTAAGCTGGCGCTTGAGTACAACATAAATAGAGTGCTTGTTTTGGCGGCCTGCCTCAACCCGGAAATAACGGAATATGTTATTCAGGTGATGGGATGGGCCAATGCTGCGCTCACCGAGTCCGAGGTCGTGAAGCTCGCGATCGAACTGCTCCCGTGTTGCCGGGATGAGCCGAGAAAACACAATTATTGGGTGTATTATAACGTCAATAGAATCCTCAATCTCCGCAGCAACTTTCGCCCGCTTGTGGTTTTTCGGAAACTTTTCCGGGCCGACATAGATCTAACACAGACAGAGTTGTGGCAACACCTTATCTGGAAATCCTTATATCGGCGCTATTTCTCCGGCGACAAGGAACCATCAGCTGGTGGTTCTTTAGAATACTTGAGAATATTTCTCCAGTGGCCAGGTGCCGTCGATTGCGAGCTTGATTTGTACCCACTGCTGGGGAACGGATACTCAAAGGCTCACGGCTTTTGCAACATAAGTAACCCCATAAAACCTATAGTCGCAGTATTTCTTTTTAGAGAGCCGGCGCCATTTTTGCTGCTATTGGAGTCAGGTGCATCCATAGTTGATATCCCTGCAAAAAAGGACGCCCAATCGAATTTAATCATCAGCAAGGAGTTCATAGAGGCATGTCAAAACCAGGATTTACGACGAGTTTGTGATCTTTGGGATTATCGAATTGAAGCTGCAGATAAATTTAGAGTCGGCTTTTCTGGAGGGGATCAAGCTGCAGCCTATCTACACAGATGGGAGCCAGAGGCCGTTAATAGCTTACTGCCGCACTTAAAAGATCCTCTTTCGCGTTTTGAAGTGTTTAAAGTCGTTGTAGAAAGAGTTATGCGGCTAGAATCGAGCTCTGGACACGCCATGTTAGTTTATCGTGGTATAATTCGATCCCTTATTGGTTCAGGCATACTACCAGACATAAAAGACTCTGATGATAGGGGCCACGGGGAATCGTTTAGCAATTTTAACTCGGAATACCTTGCTACACTACTTAAGGCAATCATAGGTGGTGATTTTGAGTTTGCTGAAATACTCTTTGAGATTTCAGATCATTTAAATCTATATGTACAGGAAAACGGAGACGAAGCTCTCTTTGGTGTGGTGGATGGAATTTATGATTGCAGAAAATACTTTGTGTTTGTGTTTTATGCGGCTGTCAATGGTATCAGTGCCCTCAAATTCCTGATGAGACAGGGCTTTGATATCAGCGTACCTGCCGAAGACCCCCAAATTTCGGACCGAGGTAATTTTACAGCTCTACACGGCGCATTGTTTTCTGGAAATATGGACACACTCGTCTTTGTTCTTCAAAGTGGTGCTGATATATATGCACCTTGCGGTGATTGCGAGTCAGCTATCGAGTCTGCCGTCTGCGAAGGCCGCATAGATGCGGTAGCCTTGATACTTGCGGTGGATCCAAACTGCCACTATCTCGCATTAAAAGCTGCGGAGAAGACAGAATATGAATATATTGCAGAGTATGTTCGGAATTGGACGCCTGAGTCGAGCAGTGTCTTTCAAAATCAGGGCGGCTCTATAGAGAACATATCGGAGCGTCCTTCGGTCGCCTTCCCGGTCGAGTTACTCTAAGGCCTATTTTTTCTCGTACACAGAACTAGAAGTTCTATGGTCCAGATCACTCTACTTCGCTCTATCCTCAGCCTTTCCTTAACACTATATTTGTTCATCAACCGCAACAGAAATAAACATTTTTTGCTTCTTTTTTTTGCTTGTACCTTCTTTACTGTCATTTATTCTGAGCTATTGGTGCTACGCGGGGAGGGAGTTAAATTTTACGAAAGAAAGCAAGAAAAAGAAGAAAAAGAAAAAAAAAGAAAAAAAGAAAAATCTATGTATTCTTGTTAGCCAAGGCTATCCCACATCTTTTAAGCTATTGCAAATATCTCATGTCTTAGATTACTTGTATTTCTAGAGAAACAGCGGAAATGGTCCCGTGGAGCGCTGCTATATCATGTCTGCAGTAGTTTGTACTCTCGTATATTAAATTTATAAACACAGCCGCTAGCCGTCTGCACGAAGCTTTGGGCAGCCAGGTATCAGGGAGTCCAGGTTTATATAGTTAATCGTTGAGAATAAATGATAATAGCTTAGCTCCGGAACCAGAGGAAAGACGATCCCGGAGACTACCGAAACTTACGTAAAGCGCCAAAGCTCATGGTAAACCACGGAACAGAGCTATCCAAACTCCCTGAGCAGCTACTATGAGGGTTCGGATCAGCAAATTTGCGCAAAGCGTTGAACATGTGGTATTTTCCTTTGTATACCCAGCCTCTTTGGGCGAGTCTTGGCGCCGGATATAAATCTCTGACTTTAACCCAAACAAACATCTCAAACCAAACTCTTCTACCTTCACACGACACCTCATCTCATCTTTCTCTTCTTCACAATTTAATACCATAATCTTTCAATATCCGCCAGATACCAGATACCTTCACGATCCCTTCACAACTGCTTCTAAAAGCTACTAATTACTACCATAAACATGTCCTCTCCTTCAGAACCACTCAAGAAGCGTCCACGCACCCAATCCTGCCCACCACCTCTTCCCACAACCGTCGCGACAGCCGCGACTCCAATCCCTACCTCGGACAAATCCACAAAACGACTTATAGTCGTCCTAGCTCAAGCCTGTCTTGAAACCCACAAAGTCACCACAGGAAGTGGTCCTAGCGCGGGAGAAAAATATGTTCTCTTAAACAGCGATGATCATATCGGTGTTTTGAAGAAGATGAATAGAGACATCTCGGATGCTAGGCCGGATATTTTACATCAGGTTCGTATTAGAATCCACGAGGATATCCAACATCTCCCCGTGCCTTATTTTTTCTGTCTCTCTCTCTTTATTTTCCTTTTTGTTACTACTCATGTATTCCCCTCCATTCAACATGGGAGAAAAACCAAGTTCTTACAATGTGTGTCACGAAATTTACTCTGGGACCATTGTACTACCCCCTTCCCCTCCCTTCTCTTACTTTCCCTTCTAGGAGAGTGAGCGAGGGACTAGGGGTAAGGGAAGAAGTACAGTGTAACAGGGTACAATTTTGCATGACAAACTTTTTCAAACCACTATAGTGCCTCCTAACCCTCCTCGACTCCCCCGTCAACAAAGCCGGAAAACTCCAAGTCTACGTCCAATCCACCAAGGGTGTTCTCATAGAAGTCAACCCAACAGTCCGTATCCCCCGAACGTTCAAACGTTTCGCCGGCCTGATGGTCCAATTACTTCACAAACTCTCAATCCGTTCTACTACTTCCCCGGAAAAACTTTTGAAAGTCATCAAAAACCCCGTCTCGCAATATCTTCCACCGAACTGTAGGAAGATTACGTTGAGTTGGGATGCTCCCGTTAGGAATATGAGGGAGTATGTTGATGCTCTGGGTGAGGATGAGAGTCTTTGTGTAGTCGTTGGTGCTATGGCCAAAGGGAAAGATGACTTTGCAGATGAGTGGGTGGATGAGAAGATTGGTGTGAGTAATTACAGTTTGAGTGCCAGCGTGGCGTGTAGTAAGGTCTGCCACTCTGTGGAGGATTGTTGGGGTATTCTGTGAAACAGTACACCATGTCACCTTCATTTGGAATACAGAGTACTACTATAGTACCAGAATACTATTGGTGGAGAGATTTAGAAGGAATACACACATATATCCGGTTTACGGAATATCCCTTTCATTCTATTTTTATACGACTATCGTTAATAATGTACCCCCATCGCATCGATGAGGTTAATGAAGAATTCCACTCAATATTATCTCTATCATATCAGTATAACATCCAACTTCTAGCCAAATCCTTAGATTGATGATCCAAAGTGAGGAAAATATGTGCTTTTTTTTATTCACAAAAGGAATAAGACTACATTACTATGAGCTATGAGATACAGCGTATAACAAGAGGCATGCGCAAAGAATAAGAAACTCGAACGTCGGGACAAGTAGAAAGTGGCTGAACCTCCAAAAATACATAAGAGAGGTAGGTCAGAGTGGGTCACGAGAGGTTGTGGTACGGAGGCATGAGATCGGAGTGTATCAAAAAGAAAAACGACAGAATAGGTGACTGAGCCTCCCGCCAACATATCGGAAATGCAGTCCGACCACCCTCAATTCAAGACGAATACGGTGGTGTCTTAGGATTGGTTTACCTAAAGTAGGCCCGAGTGGTTAGTTCATAAACTCTAATAAGATATCCATCCTTAAGCAGGTGGGCTACCAACCTTTTCCCTTAGTCCCGTCATCCACAATCCCATTCCCGGTCCTCCGTCGCTTCTATCCTCAACCAACAACGTTTGGGCCCAAAGCCTCAAGCTCGGCTCCCCATCTGCTTTAACAACATAAAAGTTTGGTACCGTGATACTGCCCACCATTTGTCCCTTGTGGCTTCTGCTCTTCTCAATCACGTTCCTAACCTTCTCGTTAAACTCATTATCAACAGCCTGCAGCGTCGTCTTTCCGACTTTGACGTGTTCAGCAGAAGGCAGGCCAAAAACGTCCTGGATGAGTTCTGGCATAGCATCACGACCAACCCAGAGGAATTGGTTCTGTGTATCATCGATGAGATAAAGGCCATATGATTGGAGGCGTTCTGAGGACAAGTTTATAGGTTGAGGGAGTACGATCTCGCCAGTCTCAGGATGTGGAAGGCCACATTCATCGGACATGTCGTGAAGACTATACATCTTAGGGTGGATGTACTGCATCAACAACTTGGCGGGTAGTGTTGACAGCAAGCAGAGTGCAGATGACCGAAGATCAGATGGGATCTGAGCCGACTTTCGAAGACCGACATGCTTGCTAAGAGCCAAGAAGAGAATAGGAAGGGACTTGAGGTTGCTGCAGAAGCTAATACCAGCCGACATGCCGGAATGTGTGCCTTGGAGCTCCTTCTTGTAGCAGATCAAGAGTTCTTGGAGTTTGGTGTAAAGGGCCTCACGGGCAGACTCCAAGCTACTCGACAAGGCCTTCTCGACTGCTCGGTGTGAGTAGAAAGTGGTGATCGCAATTGGGTCTGCGGACGCGTATATCTCCGACAGGCTACCGGTGGTTGGCAAAGACAGAGTCATGACACGAATCCTCCGCTCGCCATTGCAAGTAGTATGGAGCACAGCCGTTTGGAAGCAAACAAAGTTCTTTGTAAGAGTTTCATCAATCGCAACTTCAACAACATAACCCTGATCTCTTGGGAAAGCAGGGAAAGCACAAAGGTCGCTGCTGCGGTTGAAGAAATTACCGTAGAAGGTTGACATCCTGAGGCCAGTAGTTGCACGGACACGCATGACAGCCTCGAGGGCGATTTCGGCGGAGAGGTGATCGCTGAACTCTTTAGCGAACTTGATGGCATCCTCACTACGAGCTGCAGACCAACCGGGGTAAAAGTACGTCTGGCCACCAGTGTAGCGGGGCAGATTGGAGAGGGAAGCGACGTCTTGGTAAGATGAAGAGAATAGGAACATGTCGACGGAAACTTGTGACTTAGAACATTCAACGGCGAATGACTTGTAGAAGGCATTTCCAGTCTGGAGGAGTGACGATTCTTTGGAGGTGCCCAATAACTTCTTATCTTCACGCATATCAAGCTTACCGGCCCCCAAATTGGGAAGGGTTGCTGTCAGAACCACCATCTTGCCTCCAATCGAGGAAATAAGCTTGTGACCGGCCTTCAACGCGCTGCCCATACACGAAGCTGAGTTTGTGGATGTCGAATACATATCCTGGAGCTTAGAGAGCAGGGTTTCAATTCCCTCTCTGCAGGCAGATAGAGATACCAAGAGATCAGTAGGCACTGGCAGGAACGGCTCTTCAAGGTCAGACACAACCAACATGGCTGGTTCGTTGGTTTCAGCATTAATCGAGAAGTAATGCAATGCAGAGTCAACACAGATGAACCCGAGTCTCGTCCTCTTATCCTCATTGGGGATTCTGTCCAAGCTCTCTAGTATAGTTCGAGCAGCAGTGGCAAGCAAACCGCTAGTAACGGCAGCATAACTGACATCAAGCAAGAACAAGTAGACTAGTGGCTGTGGTGGTCGCACCATGTACTCTTGTGGCGCAACGAACTCAACAACTGCGTGGTTTAACTCTGCTCGCTGCCACCTATCGGCCTGCTTCTGATTCACGTGATCCCAGTCGAAAGCTTGAGGGACGTCATTTGTGAGATTACACATATTGCACCTCCATCGGTGACCGTGATCAAGGAAGCTGACATAGGGATTAATGTAGGATCTGCATCGACGACATCTCGAGATGACAGTATCTGTAACAAGTGGTACCGGAGATTCGGCATCGGTGAGGGATGTGTATGGTTGGATGACAAGGGCGAAAGGAAGTTTAGACTTCTTAAGGAGGTTGTGAGAGTGTGGGACTGCGTTGATAGTTGATCGCATGTACGTTGGAGGACAGTTTGAATTTGGAGATGGAGTCGCAGCGGACTAGTAAATGAGATTAGTTTTGTGTTCCCTAAGTGCCTTGGATTATAGAATAAGTTTACATTTGGAGGGAGATTTATGGCCGGTGGCGGATGATCGAGTTCTGCAACATTGAACGGCTGCATCAAATCGATAGTCTGTAAGAAAGACGATGGAGGACCTCCCTGCTAAAGTCACTAATTAGCATTGAACCGCAAGTTAGAAAGTTGCTATACATCTAACATACCGCAGGTTGACCATATGCTGGCTGTCCACCCAACGACATACCACCCATTTGGCCTGTAAGCCCTCCCATATCGGGTGCCGCATAGCCAGGGGTCGTCGGCTGACCGTACATAGCAGGCTGTCCATACTGTTGTGGTTGCTGCTGCTGCTGCTGCTGTTGAAGTAATGGCTGAAACTGTGGTTGAGGTTGAGTCTGTCCATACGTCGGGCCGGGATCATAGGAAGGAGCCGGCGCAGGAGCACCAGCTTGGTATCCGGCTCCCAAGCCATAACCCTGATCTGGAGGATATCCACCATGTGCCGCTCCTCCTAGGGTCGAGTTTGCTCCCTGAGCGAAATCATACTGTTGGGTAGCGTATGATCGAGTTTTCTTCCCACCAGCGGCTGCCGCGCCGGGTCCCTGGGGAGGAGGAGGGGCACCGGTGTCCTCTGGTGGAGGTTGTTGCGACGGATCGCCTTGTGGCTGGTAGCCGTACATTGCGAAATAAGAACCAGAAGATGCGAAATAGGAGCTGCCAGAAATGATTGAAGCCTAAGATGGAAGCCCTGATGGCAGGTGATGGCGTGGAAGGTGAGAGTTATAAGGCGAGGGCTCTCCAGATGTAGTTCCGAGGCCGTTAGTCTGGCCTTCTATCTCTATGACGCGGGCAGCTTGTCTGCCAAGCTTCATCAAAAGGCCACACTATATCACAACACTGGGGCTTCATGACAGCTCTTACCTTCAAAGATGCCAACGGTAGGTCTCAAAAGTGCAAATGGTGATATTGAGTCACGCCGGATGTAACAATGGTCCAAATATGAAAACTTTCAGCTCAATTTCATCGATTCAGGGGCAGTTAATATACAGATCTCAGCTCGGTTCTCAATATCATATCGGCGGCATGAGCTCTTATATCCGCCGTGCTGTTGTATTTTGAGCTTGCAACACAGAATTTTGCAATCATATGCCACCCGTCGAGGCTCCCGAAATTTGAGTTTCCGAAGCGGAACATACATGGGTCGCCAATCTCGGTCACAAGTTACATTTACGAGCATTAGATTCTCTATTCGAATCTCCATGAAGGAAATATCAGATCTGCAAGGTAAGTTCCTAGTGTAGCTTAGGCAACAGCATAGCCTCGAATATATAATATCATGATTCACACTGTATAGCGCTCTGAGCCAAATCAATACGGCTTGAAATATCAGAAGCATGAGCAAAAGGCTGTTTTTCGTAAAAAGTCGGATTAGTTAATTCCGCCCTATGAATATTACGAAGACCAATACGTCCCATTGTTGTTGATACTTACTAGCGGAAGTGTTTAAAAATGAAAGTTTTAACTATTTGTAGTTCTGCATTAGTTTCCCCAATCTCAGTTTCGTAACTAGACTGCCCTAAGTTCATGAAGGACTTAGAGATATAGAGCAGACGAAAGCGTTGCTACTAAATTTGGTGACGTTTCCAGAATTCCCTTAATTAATATTGCTTCCGACGGCCTTGTTCTATGGTTTCCAATTGTTAGAAATTATAAATGAAGCACTCCGGAACCCAAAGTCTGTAGCATTGTCCTAGCAGAGCAGCCCTATATTTAGATGACAATATATATCTTTGGTTCTCCACCCGCACCAGCTACCAATACCCCGTGGATTGTTCTTGATCACACTGGTTTCTAATTTTGATACCACCCGCTTCTAGGCTTCGGTAGATACTCCGTTCACAAGCCTAATATAATAATGCCAGGCGGCTCCTTTTTATTTCACGGAATATTCGCTTGCAGGTTGGACAAAGGTATAGAGACCATCGTCGTCCTGTAAGATTATTTCGAAACTTCCACCGAATTTATTTATTTATTTTGAGTGGTATCTTGTCTCGTAGGTGGTATCTCCTTTACTAGGATGTCAATTCTACCCGGTATACTAGCCTTTCACAATTTTAGCCTGGTGAAAATATTCACATACTGTGTATATACATATAGTGGTCATGATATTGTCAATTTTTGACTCCATACAAAATCATAATTCAATACACTGCCTCGGAAAGTGGCTCTGTCGTCCCTTTAATGAAAAAAAAAGAACGCTCCAAGGGCCATACAGATCTATAACGTTCGTACCTCAAAATATAAAACCTGACCTACTACGAATCCTCCCATATTGATTCAGCGTGCTGCATCGTTCGTAATACGTCCTCTTTTCGTCATTTTGGTCATTTTGATAAAAAATAATTTTGTTCATTAGTCAGCTCCTGAGTTTAACTCCAGCTCTCTTTAAAAAAAAAAAAAAAAACAACTCATAAATGATATTTTTATGTGCGTCATCATCGATCTCAGTGGGTGGCATGTTATTCAGGGTGCCATGAAACCAGTGACCTATCGTTCATGACGTTCGAGGCTATCCATCGGAGTAAATGGAAAGCTTTGGCCAAGGTAATCTCTTCAAGGTGGAGCGTTTGCACGCCACGATTGAAAATCAGGCAAAACACTGAATAAATCAACAGAGCCTCAATATTAATATCAATACAAAAGTATCGAGCATATGGCGGGCAAAATGTGTCGAACTAAATTATAAAAGGTGGGTCCTTGCGGCTGACTAGCTAATGCTATGGCCTCATAGCCAGGGAGTGGGGCCCAATTAATTTGTTATCGATCCCAAGCGATTCGAATCATGCCTGGTAAAATGGACCCTAGATTTTGCCAACGACATGCAAAGAGTAGTTTAAATCATCGACAACTCACACAATACCCGAATGAAAAAATCGCATTACTGTTTTTGCTTTTATGTTTTTACCTAAGAAATGCTCCTTAGAGCGTTATGCATACGGGAAAGATTACCTTTCGAATATCATTTTCAATTCCTGGTACTTTCTGCATGCCCATGGATTCGTGGTTTACCAGATTCAGGTCCAACAAATCGATAGTTTTTTTTTTTTAAGTTTGCCACGGTCCCAAGAGCTAGCATCCAAACCGGTTCGCATACTCGCTTCGAGGCTGGGCATAACCAAAAGTGCTCAAGTTAGGCCTTCGAACAGCAAAATAAAGGGGGCAAAAGTGGAGACAAAACATCAGGGTCAAGAGCTGATCTGATAAAGGAGGTATTCGAAGGATTGCCAAGTGCGCAGGCGCTCCCAATGACATCAGTAGCCTCAAGCAAATTTGAGCGCCCCTGTTTATCAAAGCTAATAACTTCTTAGCAGATCATTGAGAAGAGGATCAATCTTCTTTTATTTAAACACTAGATTCCGCAATGCTGTGGAGGTAGGTACGTAGGCAATCTATATACAAATTCGCTGTAGTCACCTACAATTAATTGTCTCCTCACCAACATCAATCTCCTGCAGTTGAATCCTCTATTGCGTACGCTCTCGACTACCAAAAATCAGCACTCAATTTGAAAATTTACCAAAAAATGCGTCCCTCTACCTATTTCAAGCTTTTTCTTATTTCCTTTGGAGCGTTCGTCGAAGCCGACAGGATCTTCGTGATCTCCAACCCTGTGTCGTGTGGCGGATCAACTTCATGCTCTACGTGTGGAAAAGAAGGGTATGGATGTGGGACCAACCGAGAGTGCGGCACCTGGGCTGGCGAAGAAAATGTCTGCTGCTATCTCCAGTCGTCTCCAAGAGACGGATGCGGTCGGTTCAGTAGCAGCTTAAGAGACATCAACTATTCGTCCGGCTCTGATACTGTCAAGACTCAGAATGGCGACACATGCGATTTTAAGAAGGAATTTCTTGCATTTGTCAGCCCCGGCTCTGGGTCTTCTGTTGGGCACTGCTGTGCGCTCGGACGGGATTCCATTATCAGGATTACTTTCTCTGATGATGATGATAATACAATTTCGTCCATCGGGAACTCGAATGATTACACTCTCGATCAAGCGAAATGCTTAAGTTCTCTTTCCAATAGCCAAAAACCAACCACTTCCACTTCCGAAAATTCTTCCCCAACCACGTCAAATACCCCCAATTCAGGAAGCAGATTTCAAGCCTCAGCTTTCTTAGTTGCTGTTCCGGCTATAGTCTCGATGCTATTTTTTTAGATCTGCCTCCGACACCTATTCTCCTAGATTTCGCGAGTTATAACCCAAATATTTTGAATTCAAATTTAAAGCGATTGTTAGGGTGCACGATATGTATACGTTCTTGAATACTCTTTTGTTTATATCCACTGTCACTACCTCATGAACTCGGTAGAAGAATCCCTCGCATTGGTTTAGCACTATACGAATATAAATTAATAATTTGAATCGTTCTGCGAGCATAGTTAATGCTTGTATTTTCATTCCTATATTCCAAGATAATTAGTAATGCATGCATGTTGTCTGGTATCCGAGGGTGACGATTCACTGGTACCTACATAAAATTAAAGTTAATATCGAGGAAAAAAAAGTAAAAGTAAGGTTGTCATCAGATAAGTGTCTCTGGTCTCGAGGCTAGTAAAAATAGTTAAAACTAGCTGATGTCACACAGCATGGTTTATTGTGTATGAAATCCATACTGGGGACTCCACCGGAAAGACCTGTAACTGCCTGCCTACATATGTGATAAGGTTGAACCTGGAGCAGGTAATAATGTGTTGATTAGTTGACTTAGGTGAATTCATGAAGCTGATATCATGATGTATCAATGGTCTGACTTTTTGCACATCGATACTATACTCCTGTTCTTCTTCATTTGCAAGTAAGGCTGGCCATATCCGACTGTTTCTCGGGTACTTCTACCAATGGTACCATGGTGTCTGTTACAAGGCTAGTGGTGCTATATACCTGCATATGCCGAGAACCTGGTTTGTGCATCAAATAAGATGGGTCAGCGCACGATAAGGCTGAGATAAATCATCAGAGCAGAGAATCCAAACCCAATTGATCCCGGCCGACCAGACAGCCCGAGACAGTTCATATATCGATCGATATATTTATAAGTTTTTGCCTTTTACTGCCATTCTTCTCCTACGATATTATCCTCGAACCAAGTGGTCAACCACTCGTAACTACCTACGAGAAGTCCTAAAGACCTCAAACTCCTTTTTTATTTCGGTTTGAGGAATTCGAAGGTCTCACCCCGCGGGCCCCGCACCGGTTAAACTTGGTGAAATGGCGTACGAAAATGCGGACGCTGCAGATATGCGACGGTACCTCAATAGCAGGCAAGAAAGGCAACTCTTAGGGCAAAGCGACTTCCATCAGGAACATTCTAGCCCAGCGGCCAAAAAACGTGCTTTAGCTACTGAAACATCGGCGTCTTTGGAAAGGCATTTTGCAAGAATTGAGATTCAGTCTACGCAAAACCCACGGAGTGAAAACGCCTCATTCCATCCCGCTAGTGAAGGACAGGCTGAGAACACAGCTTTAACCTCCAGAAAATCCAACAAATCGGAATCGCAACCTGCGATCTCGAATCGTATACCTCGCACTACTGAAAACTTGAAAAACGAAAACAACGAGTCCCAAGTCCCTGGTCACTTTGAGAGCTCGGAAGATGACGACTCTGATCTTGATGATGAAGCCGACAAAATTTCCTTCCATAAAGAGGAGGTACGGATTATTTTGGACAAAGAGCCTCTGGATATAGCATTATTACTGGTTCACCTAAGGTGTTTAGTAGAAACATACAAGGTTTTAGATGATCCTACAGTACTTGTCTTGCTATCCGGGTTATACTTGTTAGGAACTACACCCTCTGGCGCGAACATGGAGGAGACCGGCAAATGCCTTGACATCTTATCGACCTTCAAGCATAGCAATATATTGACCCCATCCGAAGTTAATCAGGAATTAGAGCGAACGCAGGGTACACAATGTACCTTAGCCTACCTTATTCGCGCCATGGCTTATTTTCGATTGAAAAACTACCCAGCTGCGTACAAAGACAGCCGTCGCGCAATCAACTTGAGCAAGAAATTAGATATGTCGATATCTAAGTGGTGGGGTCCCTGGAAAATGTACAACCAGTGTGCATATGAGATTGCGGCTGCTTCGTCGAAGTTAATGGGCAACGATGGTAATATGCTCTACTACCGTTCGCTTTGTAAAGAGAAGGAAAGTAGGATATGTCTACATGTTTCAATAGATTATGAATCGCTCGAACTCCCCACAGTCTCCGAGTTGGGCCGAGATATTCCGAGAATTGCAAACGCGACTCAGATTGGAGAGGATTCTGGTCCATCGAATCGTGTTTCAGTACCGGAGCCAACCCAGGGATTGCCTAGTCATATCAGGAAACGGGCTGCGGACCAGTCATCGAATATACCACGAGATGGCGAATCAACAAGGAAAGATGCTATAAATACATCACAAACTAGTGATCTAAATACATCAGCACAAATCCAGGGGGCTAGCCATGGAGAAAGTTCGGCTGCCCAAGTTAGCGAGGGTCCGGAAGTCTATAGACTCCCCACCCCGTCTTCTCAGCTCCTCGATAGCGCAATTACCGAACGGGGGAACCTCGAAACTAACAACAGGCCTGAAGGTCTTCCACGGTCAGAGGAGGAACTCGACTTGAGCGTAATAATACCGCCATCTCTTCCCAACAACTTCCGAATGTCTTGGTGCTCACCGATACCAGCCCATAAATCTCAGGCTGCCATTGCCCACAAGGACACAATGAATTGCCAAATATTCACAACATTTAATTTGAACACAAGCCTAGGGACCCGGGTCGCATCTGTCTGGCTAGACTTAGTAAATGAGTTTGATGCGAGCCACATCCCCGACGCCTTAAAATTAACTTTCCAAAGTTATGAAGATATCATATGGGTACTCGATTACTGTATCAAGAATAACCAGTTGGAAATTGCTTCGTCTATACTTACTAAAGGTAAGCTTATCATGCAATAATCTTTCAAAAGATCGCCTAAGTCTATTTGGGCGAGCCTATCAGCTTATTCATTTTTATAACAAGGGTACCATTATCACCGAGGAGAGTGGTTACAAGTTGGATATGACTACCAACTCAATTGCCTTCCCTGGGTTCACACCAATGACAGAAAAGTTGCAAGTGTTTGGCACTTTCTACCCGCTCTACTTGCCTCGGAACCAGGCATTGAGGACAGTTACATCTCGGAATGCGTATCACTCCTTTCTCTGGTTCTCGGTTTTCCGTTGTCTAAATCTACCTTTGAGTCGAAGGCAAATCTACTCCAAGAAACTCTTACTATCTCACTGGCAGTCGGGAACACCACAATGGCGTCAGCAATAGCAAGACATGCCACGCACTTGCTTACAGCACAGCCACTACGGACCCTTCCAATCCTATCTGGAAAGCACGGGTATCTCATGTCCCCTCTTCCTTTATCGGTAATTCTGGAGAGCAAACGGGGATATAAGACCAAAGGGTCATTCCTTTCTTTGGTAAAACGATCTTTTTGGGAGTCTACCGAATTGAATTGCAAAATATACGGTCTGAACCTCTTTCATACAGCCGCAAGACACACAACCTTTTTGACATCGCCGCTATTATATCTCCTAAGGAATCATAACTGTCGGAGCTGTTTTACCAAGATAATTGAGGACGATACCCCCGGCATATATGTCACAGCATTCGATATCGTTCTATCACGAGCTGTGACTCTCAGAAGTTTTGGTCAACAGCAATACGGAATTCTAGCTGAAATCGCCAATTTGTTCTATCAATTCGGAGCCGCCTACATAAACGACTTTGCATTGCGCAAAGAAGATTTAGAGATACTAGACTCGACAGGGTTTCCATCTTTGTTCTCTGTTAAGAGAATACCTAACTCTATTGGCAAATCATCGTGGGCTGAATGGGAAAATGCTTGAACCCCCTTAGTACTCAAGAAATATACGAAACCGATAATATCCGTAATACGCAGATCTCACTTTCTGTCAAACTGTATGGTATACATCTCGTAAATCTCCACAATTTAACCATCGTGGTGCTAGATATTCCCCCCTGCGCATGTATCCTCCTAGGTGCTACGGTACACCTAATTCGAATATTCTTTACGCTGTTGTTAAAGATCTTTTGGCCGCGTATTAGAAGGGGGCTCTGGAGTGGCGTTGCTCAACGTCCTGTCAGCGGGCTGTACTAGTAGAGATTAGCTAAACTCTTCGTTTCTGATTTTAATCGACAGCATACTTATTGAGGTCTCCATCGTTGTCTTTTCTTGCGTCGTAGATGCGGTGGGTGATTTCTTTGAAGACTCAATTGATGTTGTAGTGATTCCGCTGGTTGGTTTCCTCGTGCTGCTTGCCTTGAATGTTGGTACTTCTCTCCCAGTTCCTCCGTGGACTGTCGTATATATCACCGTCATAGTAGCTCCGTTGTTTTTTGCTTTTGGTGTGTAAGTTATAGCATGTCTACGAGTCGAAGTGTATCCCCTGAACCTATTCGTGCTCGCACGCAACATTGATTTCTGGTCCAAAACAGGTTTCTGTTTCTCCGCGGGGCGTGGAGCTGGCTTTGCAAATCCTTTTTGAGGAATACCAACATTTCCCGCCATCATTGAACCCTTATCACCGACACTCGGTGTCGGGTTTGGTGTAATAAAGGTCTTCACTGGCGGGTGTCTAGAGGTCATTTGTACAGCGGCATGTTTGGTGCCATCCCAAGCATCTGTATAGATGAGTTTTCTTGTCGATTTAAAAGTTGACGTCTTTTTACGGGTCGGCTTTGGGGTCGCTTTGGGAGTAGCAACGACGCTGGTAATATGCATTGCGACGGTAACTGTTGACCAATATGAAGGTTGAGCTGGTGGACCTGGCGTATCCTCTTCTTCCTCATCCTCACAATCTTCCTCCGCATCAGGGTCCGGGTACTCTTTATCATCCAGGTGCCCTTTATCATCCGGGTCTATATCGTATTCATCATTATATTCGTCTGTGTCATCAAATCCAATGTCATCGGATCCACTCCTTGGCGGACCCTGGCTCCCTTTTTCGTCTCCACCGTTCCCAGAACCGCTGCGGGTGCCATCTTTACGACGTCTGAGTCGTCGCCATGTACTCTTACTAGGGGAGCATCGTGGCTTTTTTGTTTTTCTCATGGTCTTCTTGTCTTTTCCAGCACTCTCACCTTCCTCGTCCGTCTCCCCTTTTCCAGTATCTTTATCTCCCTCATCCGCTTCATCCTCCCCATTTCCCCTACCATTTCCCCTACCATTTCCGCCCATCTCGCCCTTCTCAGTCTTTTTATCTCCCTCACTCCCCTCATCCCCATCTTCAGATGTCGGCCAACTTCCTGAAGGTTCACTCCGTTTCTGCACCTTATTTATAGGTCCAACCCATGCCATTTTGATATTTGAATCCTTTTCATAAGGGTAAGCATCTTTGTATAGTTTCTCGACAGCCTGGAGGGGAGTCCATGTAGGATTCTCTGACATGTGGCTAGCTAGGATCCCACTTATCATAGGAATAACTAAGTGTATTCTTCTGTCAGTGTTCAAACATGCTCCGCCGACGGGCGTAGTGACGTCTGAGCCCTTCAAGACCCTTTCGATGTTAATGTTAAACTTAACTTACCAAGCGAGATACCAACTTCTTCAACGTACTCTTCGCGATGAGTATTTATCTCTACAGCCTGGTTTGATCTTATAAAGGGTACAGTTATGTAGTTAGCCACGCCATAGACCTTTACAAACTCGGTCTCAACATGGCCACTCAGTCGACCTTGTTCGTCTGCCTTCCCAACGACGACTAAATTACTGGTTTTCTTCGTACCACGCTTTGCCGGCCAGTCGAGAATAGGGCGTCCCTACGTTTTTTGAGAAAGGTCAGTTTGTACACTAGTGAGCGAGAGCAGCTCAAAAAAAAACCAAAATTTCTCTAATCTTTTGATTGTATTCGTCTGACTAATAATGACCGGGAAGAGATTTATTAACCGTCTACCTACCACAGGTTCATTTCCTGTACCTGTCACAACGATTACGTTGTCTAGCTCCAGGATCTTATCCAATGCTGCGTCAGCATATCTCGAAACCAAATCAAAATACTCCCTCTCAATCTCCTTCAAAAAAGGATACCGCCCGAATTCGTTTTTATCCTTGCGTAGGTGCCCGTCGAAAACGACGCTCAGGTTGATAATAGACTTTGCCGAGATGGGTTTCTGTAAAATAGCTTTTCGTATGCTGAGTAATATATCGACATAAAAATGTCCGTTACGGTTTCTTTCGCCGTCAGGGTTGAATATCGCATTGATAACTCTTGAATTGATCGCGAGTCCGGTAGTAGAGCCGACAATCTTCGATGTGACATCTGTACCATGATAGGTCAGAATATCGTAATCTGCAAGGCTACGTTCTTGAGGATCAATCCCACCTGTCTTCATCCACTGCCCAATATGGCGGCGATGACTTGGACTAGCAAATGCTTGATGGTATCCGGCAGCAGCAGAGAGCCCAGAATCGACAACATAAACGTCTATACCTTGGCCTTGCGCACCACGGAAGTATTCTGTGCGTAGGTTCCACCATGTCTCCCAATCGAGATCAGCTCGACCGTATTTTCCGTTCGGGGGGGTTGTGAGCCACCGGATATCAAAAAATCGTCCATCAGCGGCTTCTTCAGTATCGCTACCACTACCAGACCCTGTCGACGGTCTGCGCCCTTGGGAATACCTGCGTGATGAAGTCGAAGACCCTGCCGAATATCTGCGTGACGAACCGCCTGACGAGGACCCAGAATCAGAAGCATCTTTCTGCAGCCTACCGTCCGCTTCCATCATTTTATCGATCAGCCGCCGTTCAATGGGAGCATCGAGCCATGCACCGAGCTACATTTGTCACCAGAGTAATTAGTATAGAGTTCTTACTTTCTAAGGTTTAGGGTAGCTATTACGCATATATAGTAGCGAAAGAGAAGCATACTTACATATTTTCGGAATTTATTCAGAATCAAATCTGCGATCACATGGTATTCAGTTTGTACCACGTAGTATGCTCTACCGATTCCGTCGTTCCACTGTCCAAAATATACCGTTTCTTGATTCACCTCGTCATTTTCAATGCCCACTACATTTGGGTCTGCTTCAAGTATATCCTTTATCAGGGTACTTCTTATCAAGTTATGTGCGGCAAGGTCATTCCAGTATTCCTGTTTGACAAATAGAACACATTCTATGATATCCATGCTATCATATGGCTCTGACCAACCGAGGTCTCTGAATGGTTTTTCTTCATCGTTTTCTCCATTGGTATTGTTCCCTTGACAGGCCGTTGCCCATAGAAGGCATAACAGCCCCGCCAAAAAGATGTGATAAAAAGATTTTTTTCTCATCGCAAGGTGGGTAGATTGAACGACGATATGTTTTGGACTTTACGAGCAGTGGTTTCTAGGAACTCTGAGGAATCATTGATCAACCTTAAAAGAAACTGGGGGTTAAACTCAAGAATATATACGTGGATCCATACATACCGTGCGTCGGAATTGTTCTAGGATTTTACTGTGCTTGAGTACGTTGATTTTGAGATCGATCTAGACGCAGCCTATCTTCTTATTCAAATGATTAGCACAAATCTATATATAAGTCTTTATACTCACTTTTGGTATTGGTAGGGCACTGTCTGTCTTGCAACTAGCCAACGTTTTATAAGATTTCGAAATCGACGTCTTAAGATCTTACGGAGGCTTAGCTCGGTATATATATCCCTCTACCACCCCAGCTGTTCCAACGATTTTTCCGGGGCATCTCAATCTATAGATATATTAGTTTGTGGCATAGATAAGCAGTGCCTGTGCAATATGAAACTCGGTTTTGGTTGCAATAATGTTATACTACGGCTACGCCAGAATATACAACATTTACCAAAGTTCAAAATATTTCTCGCCACTCACACTACCGCTACACCACACACCGAAGATCATATGTGCAAGGTACACGTTGGTGGAATAGTCTGTAGGAATCAGCTACAGGGATTTCAGTCATTCGACTTAACCGGAGTAAAATTTTGGGAGACAGGAAGTGACGTTGACGAAGTGTGTACGTGTGTACGACCGGCCTTCGAAGAATAGAACCTGAGAGTCCTTGTGAAAATTTCCAACAAAACTTTGCGTTGGTTTTGAGCTACGTCTTTCCGTGGGAAGGCTATAGTCAATCTCCTAAGCAAGGAAATACTACGATAAGTTGGCAGGCTAGAACGTAGAGGTGTCCAAGGGCAATATTCATCACCAAAGTGATATGAATACGGACAAAACTAGTAGTACGTAGTGTATTCACAGTAATCCGAAGTATACAGCCCCTTGGAGATTGGTGGTTGCCATAACGATTCTACATCCAGTCTCGTAACCAAGCTGTGTAAAAAGAACACTACCAGCGACTACTCAATGACGGCGGGGAGATAGATAGCCACCTTTAAGAGTCAAACCCCTACGCCGGGCTTCAACAATCACGACATGTCAATTCGATGGAAAAAAGTGAAAAAAAGTGTAAAAAAAAACTGGGCGGAGAGATGGGTCCGTGACTCGAAATGGCGCCCCGCCAGAACGCCCCAACACCCGCTAAGTGGCTAAGTTTTAGATCAAGTCGATTCCTTATTGCTTGTTACCAACCAACTAGGCCATCTCTCCTATGAAAACACATCCCTCTTTTGCTGTATATATACCCTTCTGCAAGTTAATGAGTTGCCTGCGGCTCTCGGCCACGAAGACGACACTGTATAGAACTCACACACTGGAGGAAATTTTAGGCGTCTGGCTTCGAAACTAAGCTACCTATTTGATATAAATTCACCCTCCACGTCAAATGGAATCTACTGCATAATTAAGATAGCAAACAAATCTAGTGTATTGATATCAGTAATCAGATCTAGAGTATTGATATCATTAATATGGAAGGACTTTTAACGTTGGGATCCGGCAACTGGTGCCGGTGGGCGCGTGAGTTACGGAGATTCAGGATTTCTAAAAGTTATTGATCATTTCAACTTGGGTATATTGGTCGGGCCTTTCCATAGCTGGGCCACTCTAGACTCCCAGAATTTGAATTGAATTTATGAATCGCGTCGCATATAGAGAGCGGGTACAACTAGAAAGCCTCCGAATCTTCCAATTTACATACATTAGGCCTATAGTTATCCTTCCCCACTCGCCAGGCAAAGACCCTCGCTGTTATTCACATATGCGGCCCGCGTCTGCGGCATGGCTGTTTTCACATGCAGCGCAATTCAAACAAGCAATATAAATATGTCACGCGCGTAGCTTTTATTCAAAATTTAATAGATCAGCGATATCAATTAATATAATACTATATTATGAGGAATCGATAAATTTATAGACAGAACGAGTGCCCCACAATTGCACAAATGCTGGTATAACATAAAATAAGATAAACTAGCGCAGGAAAGCTGCAATGCAATACTACCTCGAGAAATGGTTGTTGTGCGGCACAAAATACAACAGCTTAACAATCAATGCCTGCTATAGCTGCTTGTTTTGTTTGGTTTCAACAGGCCTCACAAACGGGACGCACAGCCACCGTGCCACCGATGAAGGCTGAAAAAGGTGGCCCCGTATGTGTTTCGGTGTGTTTCAGGGCGCTTAGCTCGAAATTGGATTGATTGGGCAAGGTCCCCATCCGATTTCTAAATTGAGGCACGAGCCAGCCAAACAGAACAGCTCTGGCAGCCCCTCCTCTGGATCTATGCCGTCTCTCACGGGACAGCTCGTGAACGGGTCTTCGCCCTGTTCTTTTCTTGTTCCCTTTCTCTACGACGTAAGGAGAACTGGATTTGGAGCTGAGAGTCGATAGCTTCCTTCGGGACACCTTCGAGAAGAATTCAAAGACAGGTACCATACCAGCGCCATTGCAAGGAGATATTGATCGGGTATAGCTAGAGCTTGCAGCTTAGCTTCGGTTGTGCTTATCGTATCGGGAGCTCGAAACGTCGTCTTCTTCCCCTCTTCCCGTACGCACGACTCGATCATTGATCCTGAAAGATTACATACCACCCTGGCGACTTCTTGCAGCTAATTTCGTTCATAAGAGCTTGTGGGTGTCGAAATTAGATATCCGTTTGAATCCAGCAGATTTCAACCTCAAACGAACGTGCTATTTAAATTCACATCCCGTTCATCGCTCATCGAGGACCCAGCAGCCCGGTTCAGAAGGGACCCCAGTTCAAAGCTATTTTTAAAGGATCAGCCTTAAGCGCGTAAGTTTCAAAGGTCTTTTTTTAAATAAAAAATTAAAAAATCAGCAGATATCGCATCTTCTTTCCCTCTTTTCTGCATGTTATCGTGGTATCGTGCTGGTGTTGTAAACTTTTTTTTGGCAAGCATCACGGTATGCAAGCAAGGCCGGTTTCAGACGGGAAGGCCCATGCCCGCCCACGGCGAAGCCTTTTTCCATCCCTTGTAAATGTTCCATCTGGTGATTTCTTCAAGTGTCAGTGATGATGCTGGCAAAAAGGGAGGAGCGTGATTGAAATCATGTAAATACCGAGCTTTGTTCCTACCCAATCCTTCCCTTTTTTCGTTTAGTTCCTCTCACCAGTATTCCGTATCCTGTGCTCTCACTCTTAGGGCCTTGTCCATACTCGCTTCTCAGCTTCTCATTCGGTGTTTCCTTGCAAACTGCATTTCTGGTAGAATCGGCTACATCATCAGCATCAGCATCATCATCATCATTGCAATTTTCTTGACCCAATTTTAATACCTGTTGAAGCATTCATCCTTCTTATTTAACCCAAGAAGGTCTTTTCGAATCCGCTGAGCGGTCTGTGGTGTTTTTCTTTTAATTCGACAGCTGTCATATTACCATCAACAACGCCGGGTGCCAATACCAATAGCAAGCAAGCATACTAACTAATCCTCGTTCCCCTCACCCCACTTTGGCCCTCCAGACCACCTACTTCTCTCTTTCTCTCTCTCCCTTCAAAACCACCAAACCACTCCCACTCCCAGCCAAAAAAAGGTCCATTCTCTTTAAAGGAAACCGGATTTCCTCAGAAGCTCCTCCGTACCGATTGCAAATTTTTATTTGGAAAAGGCCTACGTTCGACAAGCAAGCTGCACGTCTAACGAAACTCCCAGCTCCCCTATTTTTTCTCTACCTATCAACCAACCCCCGAAACCCAACATCCGATAACGAGACCGCCTCTGGGGTAGTCAGTAGTAGCCACCATGTCTCGCCAGAACTCGAGCCGAAAGATCTCGTTCAATGTTAGCGACCAGTACGAGATCCAGGATGTCGTCGGTGAAGGTGCCTATGGTGTTGTTTGGTAAGTTTACTGTGTGCCGAATCTATGATAAACGAAAGTATACGGGTATTAACGAGTCAAACGTATGGAACAACAGCTCAGCACTGCACAAACCATCCGGACAGAAAGTCGCTATCAAAAAGATTACCCCGTTCGATCATTCCATGTTCTGTCTTCGTACGTTGCGTGAAATGAAGCTTTTGAGGTACTTTAACCACGAGAACATCATTTCCATCCTCGATATCCAAAAGCCCCGGAACTATGATAGCTTTAACGAAGTCTATCTTATTCAGGTACCTCCTTCCAATCATTTTTTTAGGCTTCTAATAAGGCAAAGAGTTTGTACTAAAGCTTGCTTGATCCAGGAACTTATGGAAACCGACATGCACCGCGTGATTCGTACCCAGGACCTCTCAGACGACCATTGTCAATACTTCATTTACCAAACCCTCCGTGCTTTGAAGGCCATGCACTCCGCCAATGTCCTCCACCGAGATTTAAAACCCTCCAATTTACTCCTAAACGCTAACTGCGATCTCAAAGTCTGTGATTTCGGACTTGCGAGATCCGCAGCCTCAAGTGATGATAACTCCGGGTTTATGACTGAATACGTCGCAACCAGATGGTACCGTGCTCCGGAGATTATGTTGACATTCAAGGAATATACCAAGGCTATTGATGTCTGGAGTGTGGGATGTATCTTGGCAGAGATGTTGAGCGGGAAGCCATTGTTCCCCGGAAAGGACTGTATGTTTCTCAATACACTCAAAGGAACACCCAGATCATGATTATAGCTAACAATTGAAATAGACCACCACCAGCTCACTTTAATTCTCGACGTTCTCGGCACCCCAACAATGGAAGATTACTACGGAATTAAGTCACGCCGCGCACGAGAATATATCCGTTCCCTGCCATTCAAGAAACGTGTCCCATTCGCTAGCATGTTCACAAAGACCTCGCCTGCCGCGCTAGATCTCCTTGAGAAGCTGTTGGCATTTAACCCAGCCAAGAGAATTACAGTTGAGGAAGCGCTAAGGCATCCTTATTTGGAGCCATACCATGATCCAGAGGATGAGCCGACTGCACCACCAATTCCTGAGGAGTTCTTTGACTTCGACAGGAAGAAGGATGAATTGACAAAGGAGCAGTTGAAGAGTAAGTTTTTCTTCAGTAATTGAATAGTGGATTCAGTGGATTGGAAACTAATTCTTTTTATAGTGTTGATCTTCGAAGAAATCATGCGGTAGATTAACGGGTTTTAGGCGTGGCGGATCCAGATGAGGGGGCTCGAGTCACTTTTGTATGCGACATATGGGAAGAATTTGGGACACGAATCGGGCAGCGCCAGTAAGATAAGGAAACTGGATAACGAGTTGGGACGGAATAGCCAGCGAAATGATACAAGGAGCGAGCGACAGGACCAGTTTCCATTTAGCTGAAATTTTTTTCTTCCATTTTTATATCTCCCTTTGCCTAACGAAATGATACATATCCCTTTTTTTATTACTTTATTTTTTTATTTTTTTATATATTTTTTTCCTATGAAACTTATGTTTTCTATGATGATGGTTGACTAGAGCCTGCATGCCTACCTAAGACTCTTAGGGCTATTAAGTACCCTTTCCCCTCCAACCCTCTTCAGGATGGCTCTTATTATTCCTTTTTGTTTCTCTTTTCATTAGTGAAATTAACGGCCCTCTCCGCGCGAAAGCATGTATAGAAGTGGCAGTGGTGTATACAAGTTCTATATATATCCCCATCTCAACTACCCACTTTCACGGGCTGGAAGTGAAGCGGATATATCCGGGGAATGATATCACACCGAATATTAAAAACAGGTCCTTTAAGATAGAGAAGGCCTGTGTATGCCTTGGCACTTCAAGAAAGCCGGAAAAACCAAACTCCTAAAACACTCACTGGATGGTAATACAACGATGTCTTTCAATAAACCATGTAAACCTGCGAACCATGTCTGAAAGAAAGAAAGGTTACCTCGTCGGTTAGGTACTATACTAGCAGATTGGGGTAGCTACCTAGGTAGTAACTATGACCCGCTCGTTCGCATTCCCGTGCAGATGAGCATACGTAACCCTCTCCTCACAAGGCGTCCTTTACTATCAACCCCCTGTAATTAAATGACAATTATGAATGGCTATTGGTTACTGAACAGAAGCCCTTGAAGCGTTTTTTTTGAAGAAATCTGTTCAGACCTTAACTTTTGGTGGAGGGAAAAGGGTAATGAGTTAGTTCTGCTTACCTAACTTCCGAAATAACCGACGGCCCCTGTTCATTTTTTTTCCCTCGTGCGGGGAGGGATCCGGATTCTAAGAATATCACAGAACCGAATGATTCCAATAGTCTCTCTTTTTTTTCCCCTTCAAGTTTTCCGTCGCACGAAGTTTAAAGATGACATGTTATGTAAGAACCAGTATGTAAGTTACTTTTGTAAGGGGGGTCTTTGTTGGGGAATGCAACCTTGGCGCCTTGTCCTCCCTCCTTGCGAAAATGACGAGACAAAAGCCGAAGGCCACGGAATCTGGTGCGATCTGGCTTTGGTAAAGTACGAAAGCTACAATGGTAGTGCAAAATGCAAGATGCAAGATGCAAAGCAATCATGCAGCGTCAGAAGGACGAGCGAGTGCGAATTTGGATGTCGGTAGATGATGCATGCAGGGGAAAGAATTTTCTCTTTAAAATGGGCTCCTCTCTCTCTCTTTATCTCCACAGAGTTTAAGTGTATTTATTTAGTTAACTACTAGTTAGTTACTGTTTCTTCTTTTTTTATAAAAAGCCGCCTTTCCGTCGAGTTCTTATTCTTGTCGTCTGAGGTAATTTTACTCTGCGGGTGCAGCTCTTCTTTCTTAAACTTACTTGAGTGCTTAAAGGTACTTTAAAACTTACTAGCTCCGGATCCCCCCATCGATATCGATCGATCTCTCCGTCGCCAACTGTCAACCGAACATTCCATCCCATTACCCTCAACACAATCAAAATCCAACAATTGTACATACAACCAACCCCAAAACCTCCCCCCCGAATCGGAAACTTACACAAGACCATCCAAATCCAATAAATGGCCCGCACCGCCCTAATCATAGCGCTCTCCACAGCGCCCATCCTAACCCTCGCCTCCTTCTTCAAATCGAAGCCAAAACCACCTCCCACATTCCTATCAAAACTCCTACCGATCATAGCAACATTAATAATCTTAGTCGTCATCGCCGTGGTATTATACCTCGTCTGGAAGACAGCGGTTTCCGTGGGGAGTGACGTTCAAAGCAGGCTTGATAGCGGAGGGGTTAAACTTAGCAAAAGTGGAGCGGATGTGGAGTTGAAGGGGCTGAGTTATGAGAAGTATAGGGATTTGACACAGCAGTTAGTACTTCCTTTCTCTTTATTATTGTTGGCGATATCGGCATCATTATGGGGTGGGGGTGGAGTGGAAGAATATGGGAAGGCTAATGAATGGACCATTTAGGGTTGTGGTTTCGGCGTGGAATACTTCGGAGACGAAGGATTTTAATAATAGGTTTTTTACACCGAGGAACAAAGGGCATAATCAGAAGAAGCCGTGAGTATTGGCTGTGGTTGTAGTTTTAGTTGCGTGTGCGTATGCTGACATACATATCATAGGGTTCCTCAAACCGTAGATTGAAGATATTTAAATTCGAACGCTGGAAGTTGGATATTTAAAGAATATCGTTTATGCTATTAGGCTGGGGTTGGTTATCTTGCTTGATAATATAGACAGCATTGTGTAACATAGTCATCGTTGGTAAACATACTGGCTACTAGATACATAAGCCACCATTTTTCTCGACTTTCCAAGATGCTTTCAAAGGGTGTCGGACTATTACATGTTGTAAACCACCGTTGGTAGCATTATCACATGAAGTAATCTAAATATTAATAATTCATCTTAAACTGAACTCGTAAAAATCGGACAACCATCAAACTAATACTATCCTGGAATTCCCTGAGGTTCCAAGTTAAGAATAGAGGATAAACCATCGGCCTTAAGTTTTTGCATGGAAACTTATGATATTTAAAATAAGAACCCCCCAAGAAAATAACCCCTCTAAGTAGAAGATATTTTATCTTTCACGATACTCATCTCCATGACATAGACCCCTGCTCATATGGTCGCTGGGGCGGTGGGTGAGACCGCATACCGAGAACATCGACCTCATAGCACAAGCCCATGCTCTTGTAGTATTTCAACCAAACAAGATCTTCATGTATTTGCTCCGGTTCTCCACCTCCGCGGCATAGATGCCCGAATATGTGAGCCAATTTCTGGTCCCATAAAGATCTATGGTTATCATCCCGCATTACCATATTACAACCGTGATATCTGCATGTCCACGATGTAGGCGCTCTCCCGAAATCGGGCGCGCTACCATGCCCACTGCTTTTTCGTCGCGAAAAATGTGCAAAATATATGTGGTCAACCCAGTCATCATAGTTAGAAGACTCAAATTTGCAGTTTATCCAGTGGAAGATGCACCGTACTTGACGTGGGGAGAAAACAGTTTCCTCAACTTCCCCAGTTTGAGAACCTGGATTCAAGCATTCAAAACGATCTAAACCTGGGCCAAAAGATATAGGCGCTGAGAACCCTCCGTGTGGGGGGTATAAACTGGAGCCGCTGGGGCGTGGACTATCAGCGAGGCCCCAGTATGAACCGTAGGCGCCAGGGGGTGGAATGCCGGCGTAGTCGGGGTATTGATCATAGGCGTGGAGGGGGTGTTGATCATAGGCGTAGAAGGGGGCATACTCAGTGGAGTATCTGGGATCATCGGCGTCGCCTGGGTATGAACTGTTGGTTTGGGGGCCATATAGGGCCTCATTACTAGAAGCATCATCAGGAAACGCTTGACTAGCCTCGCCCTCCTTTTCAAATCCGTCCCCTTCCCCACCAAAGATCTCATCTTCTTTTTTCAAAGTCTGGTCCTCTTCTCTCCCTTCCTCCCCCCCTTCGTTCCCCTCCCCACTAGGGAGGTCAGTCTCCACTGTTATCACATAATCTTGTTCGTAGCTGCCGTCATCAGTTGATTTTTGTTTTTCTTCATTGAAACTTTCGTCGAAACTATCTCTTGCAGTTGAGGTCCCCGGGGACCAGGATGCCCCGGAATTGGTGGTAGATCGATCACCACTATCAACGACGCAACTTTCTTCGCATTTGATACATTCATCATCCTGAGACTGGCATCGAATTAACCGAATCGCCAAAAACATTGAAATTTGTAGATGCTCAGCAATGTGCCGAGCCATTGAGATTTCTGGAGATTCAACATCTTGTTCATCAACGCTAGACTCTTGGGATTCTGGTGTAGCACTATAGTTCAATATGTCGCCCTCGTTATCCCGTATCTTCCGCCGTTTACGTGAAGTGGCCCCAACCTGTGTGTTTTTACCTTTATTATTCGCTAATTCCCGACAACATAGCGGGCAAATGTTCCTTGATCGAGGGCGCTTTATGTGACTATTTTTTGCTATTGTGTAAAGACCTGTTGCAAAGTTATCAGGATAGCACTCTTTCATATGCCTGTGTAACTCTTCAAGAGTATTGAAGTATTGAGTCGAATGTTGAAAACTGCAGACCCAAAAAACGGGTTTGTGAATTTCCTGTTGCCATCTTGTTGTATGGACAGTATTCATGTGCTCAAGCCATTCTCTAAATGTCGCGTAGCAGGGCAATGTCGTCTCATTCATACAACTTTCCGAAAGACAAACATAAGGCTCAAAATCTTTATCGATGTGGGCACTAGAGCAGGATATATTAGTTCCAATCATAGGGTTATACTGTAAGACCGGGCTCTAAATCAAACCTCCAACGTTTCGTATCTTCGAATAGAGAACGCGGGTGAAGTTCGAGGCACCATTCGCATGTACGATAGTCTGAATCTCCTGTTTGGGGTGGACGGGGATAGGTAACTTTGCCAACTTGGACGGACGAGATTCCACAGTCTGATTTTATCTTGGAGGGAGGGTCGAGCAATTTCTTAAGTACTTTTGTGCGGAGAGAATCTAGGGTTGAAGGTGCTGATTCTAGTGCTACTGAGTTCCCGGTCTGGTTTGCTCTATGGGGCGATTTCTGTAGACCAAGAGATAAGGGATCAGATATAATTAGAGTCTTCATCTTTTCTGTATGAGAGGCAGTTTCTTGCAGCTCTTCGTTGACAGTCGGCATCTGAGGTTCTTGAATTAGCCTAGGAGTGTTCATCCTTTGTTGGTGAGACCTTTTGTAGAGAACACCTGCACAGGTCTCAAACATTGATCTAGTGAGCTGGATCCGAAGGCTCTCGTTTGCACCAGGATACAAAGTATCAACTGCCAATCGAGCGAGGTTTTCGAAAGCACTGAGATTCGACTGCTCAGCAAAAGTACGGATGCGAGCCGTTCTACTCGTAGTAGAGTATTTTCGAATCATCGTGCCAAGATGAGAAAGTCGGACTAAAGATGTCTCGATATCTTCTATTAGATCATTTGTTTCCGACGAATCATCACTCTCATCACAGGATTCGTTGGAACCGAGATCCATTGCGTCGGTATGACTCTCAGAGAATCCATTGCAATTTGTAACTAAAGAAATAGACGATAAAAATTAGTAAAGCGAATAAGCAGTCAACCCTCTTCGCCCGCATCAGAATGTGGAACCTACGGTGATCTAAGGCCTCTTCTAGTATATCAAAGAGTCGGATGATGAGGTCACAGATATCCGATTGATCCTTTAGCCGCCGGTCGAGGCTGATAGATGTATCGGCGAAAACCCCCATATAGGCCGTCCACGCTAAGAATCGCTGTTGGTAGTCCTGAAGCAGATTATCGATAACCGAGGGCGGATCATTCGGCGTATGCTCATTGAATAATTTCTCGCACTTGCGCGCTATGTTGTATATTGGCTCCGAGTCCTCCATGAGCGAGCGTTAGCCAGGTACCAGGCCAGTACGCTTGAGGCTATTTCCAAGCTTTTTCACCGATCCAAGCTCTCGCTCTAGCTAGATCTATACCTAGTTAAGGATATTATATATTATATGCATCGATAATATATATATATATACGTCTTTGAAATTGAATTTATAAAGAGAACGTGGTTACTAAGCACGGGTATTAGGTCCAGAAGCTAGAGGTTGATTAGGTGATTATCGCTTTATATTTGAGGGGCATATGGCATCTTGTGTTCCGATCCTATCGCTATCAATAAGTAGGCGATGCATTGCATTGTTGTTGGCTGTCCTAGCACGGTTTAGTGACGAGGCTGATAATGCAACGATGCGGAGTTGATACTGTCACCCACCGCACGCTATGTACCTGTATGTACACGTACTTGAGTACCGATACCCAATCCTTACAGTACCATCATGTGACCATGCTTCTGATAACTGCGCAGTTCCGGGGTTGCACCTGATTGGGTTGGGGACAAGGATGCCAAACACAACCACAGCTGCTGCACTGTACTTCTACATGTAAGTACTAGTTAGGCGCTTAAGTACTTAGCTACCTAGGTACCGCCCCATCCACCTAGCCAGCTAGATATTGATACTGAGATTGTTTTGATCCTCCATACATACCTTCCCACAACATCTCCACCCTCAATAAATTAAGCCCAGATCAATACTTATCGTTATTGATTACCTTGTCCAGGGTTACCTCAGCTCAGGGCCTTCCGGGATATTCAGGGAGCAGGCCCCAAAACTTCATCAGTCACCGGGGGCAGGGATGTCTAATGACCAAACTCTCGAATGCGAGTGGGATCTATTTCGCAATCTTGGGTGGTACCTCAATGGAAGACTACAACGAGCAGAGTCCCCAGTTGATCACAGGGAACGGCGACACCGCGCTAGAAGGAAGTCTCGTCTCCAAAAAAAATGCCGCTTCCTCGAGATAGACTTGCGCAATGCCCTAATGCTCAAGAATTTGGACATTGGCTTGCCCGAGGATTCCGGGCTTGATACAGCGGGACAAAATGGATGCGAAAGTTTAGGGCCGATAATCCAGCTGCTCGAATCGCATGTCAATGAACACTTTGTTGCCTCACTTTCTCAATCAGAAGGCCCCGGTGGCTTTTTCTCCTCTTTACCAGCCTTTGAAAAGTACCCAAAGTTATACCAGTTGATACAATATCTCAAAGTTACAGCGGAGAACCCAACTCTAGCTGCTGGGCCATTTAATTTAGTGACAGAGGTGAACGAAAACCCAGCTATTTTCGCTATACAGTCGGTTTCCGTGACTCAAGAACTTCTGGACGAACTTATGCAGTTGAATGCCTATTTTCGCCGATTTCAATCACAACCGGGAGCAAATGCCAATAAACGATCTAGGACTTCCGCAAGGGAAGGGGAAACGACGATTGATATCTCAGAAGACCTCGGATTTAGAAAGCATACTAGTGTTGTTATCGAGGCACTGCATCATTTCCTCCCTTCATGTCGGGATTTTCACAAAGTTATGCTCCAGTTACCAGAGCGAGGAGGTGCATTGGATCTATTCTTATCGGGTTGCAAAACAAACCAGTGGCAAGAAGTTCGGTGTGAACATTATACGTAAGTTCGTATCGTAATTCGTACTGCTCATAATCATTCCCTGACAGACTCCAGGCCGAATCACTCAATTCCCCAGATTAACAACCTTTGCGAGACGCTCCAGAAGTACTCAGATCAGCAGCTTCGACTTGTTGTCAAAGTTCTTCAGGACAATTCCCAAAATATTGACTACTCGCCACATGCACATTCGACCCCCAGGCAGTACCCACATGCTTCGTTTTCAGAATCTCTTGAAAGATTGATCAAACGCAAAAGTCTTCGGAATATCAGCTTCAACGAAGAGATAAAGATGAAAAATAAAAGCGATACAGCGCCCAAAGTTCGATTCACCCTGAGAGAAAAACGCATTCTTGCGTTCAGGCTTAGTCTTTGTTTTCTCAACTTTTTCGATGCCCGGTTTATGAAAGAAAGCTGGAATCCCGATAAAATCATGTTCCTCTCCCTACCAGAATGTAGGTTACAAGAGAGCCAGCTTTATATAAGCTGTTCTTTACAAGTTGCTCGTGAGAAGGAATTGTATGGCATTGGTCACCCTGTCCTAACATCCTTCGCACGGTTGTTACTGGAGATAGACGAAGGTATGGTGTGGCCTGGCCTAAAAGAAAACGGTGATTCTGATGTCGGACTCATATGGATGGAGCTTTGCAAATACGTCGAAAGTGCTAAGAGGCTCCGAGGCCAGAGCTCCTATTTGGATGCGGTTAGAGAGACGCTCTACTTGCATCTACACTTGAACGAGACACAAACAATGAGCGATTGTGATGAAGATTTTGATAAAAGGGTAAGGGAGTTAATGTATACAAAAATCGTCAGCCTTTTAGCGCTGGAAGTTCCCCCGGAAACTAGGGAACAGTTTAGTCACCTCATAGATACTAGTCTACGAGACAGGAAACGACAAAGATCCGAGATAGCGGACGCAAACGAGATTGCTGATGGACGAAGTTTCAAAAATCCTCGGGTTCCAATTCGTCATCCGGTCAATATAGAATCACACCGAGTCGATTGTAACCTAGGCTTAGATGCCGAGGGTGAGCATAGATTCGAAAACATCTCATGTGGGCACGTTAGCCAATTATACACCCGACCCCGATTTTCGCAACATCCAGGAGCGTCCAGTATCCAAAATCAGCCTCGCCTGTCCAAATTATCTCAAGAAATTCCAATAGATAATAGGTAAGATTCGCTTTCAGACTTTTCCTACCTGGCCGAAAACTAATCTAGATTAGTAGTGACAGCCCGTCTCTTTCTCCAACAGCCCTGGAAGTGTGTCGTGAATTTCGAATCGCCATAATTTGTGCACTCCCACTTGAAGCTGACGCGGTTCAAGCTCTTTTCGACCAAATCTACGAAGATGGCAGTGAGATCCATCGAAAGCTACACGGCGATCACAATATATATACAATAGGGACAATGGGTGGGCAAAACATTATCTTATGCCACCTACCTGGAATGGGGGTGACAAACGCAGCAAGTGCAGCAGAAAACCTTCGAAGAAGTTATACGCAAATAAGACTGGTATTAATCACTGGTATTTGCGGGGCTATTCCATATTTACCAAATCATGGTCATGAAGAAGTTATACTAGGGGATGTCATTATTAGCGACAGTTTGATCAAGTACGATTTTGGTCGCAAGTACCCAGATAAATTTGAACGAAAAAATGGCAAAGAAGAGATCATAGAACCGCCTAACTCAGAGATTCGTGGGCTTCTGGGGAAACTGAAAACAAGGAGGTTCAAAGATAATTTCGAGAGAGAGGCCGCGGGGGTCCTTCAAGCGCTTCAGGCTGGGAAGGGCAATGAATGCTACCGCTATCCTGGCGCCAAAAATGACATCCTTTTTCCGGCAGCTTACCCCCACAAAGCCTACCAGTTGGAATCGCTCACCAATTGCACTTGTTTCAAGTGCACCATAGCGTCTGACAAGGTATGTGACGGAATACGGAAAAAAGACTGCGGAGCCCTTGGATGCGGTGAAAGAACAATGAGTGTCCAACGAGAGCGACTCGCGCAGAGCAATATTCTACCATCTATTCACATAGGAAAAATGGCTTCAGCCGATACAGTGATGAAATCTGGAAAGGACCGGGACGAATTAGCCAGGGAAGAAGACGTTATAGGGTTTGAGATGGAAGGGGCGGGCGTTTGGGGTAGAGTACCTGCCTGCGTCATTATCAAAGGTGTTTGCGATTATGCGGACAGCCATAAGAATAAGAAGTGGCAGCGTTATGCCTCAGCGACTGCCGCTGCAGCAACTATGGCCTTCGTAAAGTATTGGGGGTCTAATACTTACAGGTAACTTCTAATTTCATGCAACTTGAGCATAGGAGTTAGAATCATTGCCCTCGTGAGATTACGTTGAATATTTTTTGTAATTTACTGGGATGGGTTTCAGGGCAATTTTAGCGGATAGAGTTATATACCCTAACTTATCATGTTGACATTATATAATATACTAGTATCAGTCCTAGAGGGCTATTTATCATCTCTTAAGTTCGGGAATAACTAATAGATTATGCAAGCGTACCGCTTGTCTCAAACCAGACTTCGCAAAGAAAAAGAATTGCATACCGCGAGAACGAAAAAAAAGGTCCCAGCCATGCTAACTCACTAAATGCAAAATGCAACCAAAACTCCACCCAATGAGGATAAACATCCTGAAGGCATCATTAAGAAATGCCGAATGCAACGGCCGTCGGCCAAGGCTCACGCTGTACTATTCCCGGATGCCACACCTTAGTTTTATAAACGAACAACTGATTTAAGAACCGAGATATCTTGTACGCTCCCTCTACCGTCCGATTATCGCCTATAGGATGTGGACCAAAGACTCGACGGGGGTATCCCCTTTTCGCTTGAACTTTAGCATCTTCCTCGCCACTTGGGGTTGCGAAAACGATCGTGTACGACCAGTTGTATGAGGCGACTTGGATGCCGATGGATAACATGGTCGATGCCTCTCTTGATTGGTGAAAACTGATTAGAGTTTGCACTGCGCAGCTGCTTCGACTACTGGTGAGGTCTTTCTCGACAGTTGGGTAGTCTAGAATACCGTTTTTGGCTATAGCAGGCCATGTAGGTTGAACGAGACTAACTAAAATTTAAAACCATGGGTACATATTTCTAGACTTCTTAAATATAACCAAGATTGAAATCAAGATAGATCTACTTACTCTTACGGCAGTATTTAATATTTCTTTAAGAGAAAACCTAGCGATATCTTCATTCAGCCACGCTTCGGTATGATTATTTAGCGCTCCCGATGGTGATAACCCTGAATTCTATTCTAAGATACTGCTTGAGCAATTTCAGTGTCAATAAAACCGCCAAGTTGATTCGGCCTCCCTGAAGCGCAGCCAAAGGCAATGGCGTTTCCTCTGGTGACAAAACAAGTTGCTTGGTACTCCAATGGTAGCCAAACGACATGACGACCACCTAAAGTAACCCATTCTCCACTGCTACTAACACCTAAGCTCTGTGGGCTCGCTATAGTAACGGGTGAAAAACTTAAACCCATATCCATAGAAATATCGACCGTATCCGTCAAAAGATGCCAATTTATTAGTCTCCCACCCAGCCACTTTGTATTATCGAAGGCTAATATAGTTAATTTATGACTGCCACCAGTTAATCGACCCTCGAATTGTATTTCCGAGGCAAATTTATCCTTAATCTTCCAGATCTGGATCGTTCCCTCCCGTGAAATCGATGCTATAAACCTCTCGTCCTTCGAAAAGGCGACCGACTGAATCTCGCCTCTATCGTTATGGAGAATATTGAGACAATCACCATTGATATTTAAGATCTTGATTGATCCATCATCTGATCCTACCGCTAGAAGTGTATCATTGTTCGAGAAGGTTACCGAGGTGATCCAGGATTCATGTCGGAAGGTACTGAGACAAATATTATTATTAATATCCCAAACTTTCATACCGCGATAAAATGAGCTTGATACCATACGGGCGCCGTTATTTGAAAAGGTTATCAAATTGGCTAGACCTCCATGGCGTAGGGTACTAATACAATTACCGTCGAGATCCCATATCTTAATTGTGTCATCAAACGAGCCTGATGCTATCTGCGTGCCGCTCTTCGAAAGGCCAACTACCCCGACTCTATCATGATGATGATGGGGGTTATTGTTGCAACTGTTACCGGTAATGTCCCATATTTTAATATTCCCGTCACGTGAACCTGAGATTATACGTGTGCAATCCTTCGAAAAGACCACTGACGTGATGGAATCATAATGGCCGATAAGGGTATTGATACAATTGCCACTGGAATCCCAAATCTTGATTGTTTCATCACGTGAGACTGATGCTATATGTCCGTCGTTCGAAAAGGCGACTGAGGCGACCCCGCTTTCATGGCAATGGAGAGTCTTGAGAAGATTGCCATTAAAATCCCAAATCTTGATTGTTCCACCCCATAAGCTTGATGCTATACGTCCGTCGTTCGAAAAGGCGACTGAGGCGACCTCGCTTTCATGGCCATGGAGAGTCTTGAGAAGATTGCCATTAAAATCCCAGATCTTAATTGTTCCATCATCTGAGCCTGATATAATGCATCCGTTGTTCGAAAAGGCGACTGAGATGACCTCGCTTTCATCGCCATGGAGAGTCTTGAGAAGATTGCCATTAAAATCCCAGATCTTAATTGTTTCATGATCCGAACCTGATGCAATATGTCCGTTGTCCGAAATAGCGACCGATCTGATCGGACAATTATTACCACCGAAGGTATTCAGACAATTCCCGTTGACATCCCAGATTTTGATCGTTCCATCAAGCGAGCCTGATGCTATGCACATACCATTACTGGAAATAGTGACTGATGCGATCTCACTGTCATGGCCGTGGAATGTTTGTAGGCAGGCACCCCAGTCTGTTTCTACAGCCGGTTTTATGGTGACCCAATCTAGGTTTTCGGCCTCGAAAAGTTTTCGCGTTAAACTCTTGACGGGACTAAACAAGAGAGCCGATACATATATCTGCCGAGGGAATCTCTCCACTATTTCTTTATTGTGCAATACAAATCGATTCGCGTCGTATACTAGACGGGAAGTTTGTGATTGAGCAGGAACGACCTAGGTTTGTTAGACCTCAAAAGCATCTGGTCGAGGTAAAAGCTTACTGACCTTTGGGAGAAACAGGTTGAGCTTGGCTATTGCTTGTACACCGGACGTGACAGCTTTTAAAAGGCTTAAAGCCTCTAGCCAGTGAAGTAAGTGTTTTCTGAGAAAACCAAGGACACGGCCGTTATTGGATAGAAAGTCCCCGCGCCAACTGTCTTCCGTCCCACAAACATGATCAATCCAATGGAGACAAGCGTATCGCAATGACGCTAGCGGATCTGGATTAGGAGGTTCCGTTTTATCCTTCAAAATATCGAAATCTAACGTCTCTAAACCATAAATATTTTTTGTCAACGTTTTTTCCATAGCACAAATTAACCGTAGTACCATCAGCTGCTCTTGCTTTTCTACACGGCCATCTGGAAACATCTGAAGGCTTTCATTTTTAACAAGGTAGTCCTTCGCTGATTGGTGAACGAAAGAGATAACGCCATCTCGAACGGTAAGAAAAGAGCCACAGAGTTGTACTATTTCCCTGAGCGACTCAGAATTCAAATCATCATCAGATTCGAGATCGGGAATGTCAACAAGGGTTGTGAGTTCTTCTAGCGTAATCGGCCTACGCACAACCAACATAACGGCTACTACACTCTCGCAGGACTTAGCATCGCCGGAGTTGTAAATTTGTTCTACCATTCGACGGTATAGCATATCAAGTCCAGGGGGGAATTCCTGCAGCTTCTTTTGAACCCTCAATTGAGGGACATTTTGAAGTTCTTGACAGACTAAGGCCACCCAGAGGAAAGTACTTTGCGCATTTGCCAACAAATACTGACTGACAGTATCCCGCAACTTGCTACGGTAACCTAGCTTGTCGACTTTGTGCTGGATGTATGCGGTAACCGCTGTGGAGATGGAATCCGCATTGAGCTCGAGGCTCAAGTTGATGCCCTGCGCTGCGGTGTTGAGAACCTTCTCGATGTTCCACCAATTGCGGCTGGAGACGATCCACCGGAGGCGTGAATTTGCAGTTGTGGAGACAGATAATTTTTCAACAATCAGTTTGAGAAGCCAAGGCAAGTCTACGACACACTCATCGAGCGCATCAATGATCAAGCAAGTGCTCTTCAGGGCCGGGTCCTGCATGATATCGGTGAAGATTTCGGATAAGGCAAAAAAAGCATTGCTATCTTGGAATAGCCCTGAATTTCTACCAGCACTATCATACTTCTTGCGCACATGTGAGAGAAGCGCTGGTTGCTTGCTTACAAGGAGGAAAATGAGGCCACGCAGGACAGCGGTGGCATTGTTCAAGCGCTCATCGGTGGCCTGGCAGAAGAAAAAGGCGAAGTTATCGAATTTGACATCTCCAGTTGGCTTGTTTAGCTCATCAATGATACCGCAGAGCAGCATGGTCTTGCCTTTTCCTGGGTCACCCTTAATCCAGAGCAGTCTATCATTGTAGTTATAGTTGTTGCATTTGCCGTGCCATTCTTTGAATTCTGTGTTGCGAAGGATCCAAGTGTAAGCATCTGCCAGCAGTCCTCCTTTGACACTTTCGATCCGCTGCTTATCATGGCGGGGGTCTGTGACTCGGAGATCGTTCAAGCAGCACCTATCCGCGTCGAATTCCGAATCATTTGGTCCTGCTGTGCACGTTAATTATAATTGAAAGGTACGTTTCCACTGTTAGTGGATACGCCTCTGAGCTCTTACCGATAACCAGGTCCCTCCCCACTGAGATATTCCCAGAGTTTTGGATTCCGACTCCATTAAAAATGGCTTGTGACCTTTCTGTTGGTCTGCTGTATTCAGCCATAGCTAGCAACTTACCCCTTGTTCGCCGGACGCTTTGAGTGTCTATTCTTCTCTAGTTATGTTACGCTGGTTTATCGTGAGTACTCAAATTCTCAAGGCGAATGCGATCGCGAGTTTACCTGGTATATCCGATAGATTTGATTTAAGCAAATGACAGAGGACGACATGATATCTGGGGCGGGGTTGCAGTTGCGTGTAGTTGTTGGCATTCATGCATTGCCGCGCCTATGATGGATGCACGACGGTGCCCCACATCGCCAGAAAATTAACAGCCTTCTTCTCCCTGGGCCTTGGGTTTGATATTGCACCAGCGCTTATTAATTGTTTCTTTACAGGCGGCCTTCATGATCCACCCGATTATGAACATTAACGCTCCCACTTTCAAACCCCATCTACAACCAGTTAATATACTAATTAAGCTAAGCCCCACCAAATCGTCAAAATGTCGAACGAACACAGTGCTCAGTACGACAAGGATACTATCGCAATAATCAGCGCCATCGAGTTTGAGATGAGTGCTTTCCGGTTCATGCTGGACCGCGAACACTCTCGTCTCCCCACTGTACAAGGCGACCGCAACAGCTACATTCCCGGCAAACTCAACAGTCACAACGTCGTCCTTGCGTATCTTCCAGACAACCAAGGCAAAGGGACTGCCGCCATCATTGCCACAAATCTAGGCCGTACATTCCGCTTTTAATACAAGACTAGTAACAAACATAATATCCGCTTGAGTAATATACTTATCAGCATGCCCAGTAGTCAACATAACAGCATAATCCAATACGACTTAGAAAAGAACACCGAAGATGAGTTTCAACTCAAAGGATTCCTATCCCACAACCTAGCCTACTAAGAGGCTTCGCAAAGGCCATGAGATCCGATCATAGAGTTTAAAACAACAAAATAGACGAATTTATCACTACAATGTTAAAAAAGGGGCGCCGCCTTCGAATCTACAGCCGTCCATCAGAAGTTCCAGACAAACTTTATAGACCAAATTACCCACACGTTGTCGGAGCCTACGTGCAGCGAGTATAACAAGAAAAATCTTGTAACAAGGGAACCGCGTAAATTCAATAACCCCATAATAAATTACAGACTAATTGCATCTAGAGATCGAGTAATGAAGAGCAACCAAAAAAGGGACAAAATTAGCGCGAAATGGGGGGCATACTCTGTTTCGAGATGGAAGCAGCTGGCATTTCCACTGAATACTCCTGCCTCGTCATTCATCGTATTGCAGACTATGCAAACTCACACAAGAATGGTGACTAGTATTACTATGCTGCTGCGACAGCTGCTGCTGATACGAAGGAATTAACTTCTCACCTTAGCCCGGCATACACTCCAGATCGTGCAAAGCCAGCCCTTGTTGCTACCTCTCGAGCGCCTCTTGATGGTCGACTTCTGTCCCGATCTGAATTTCGGGGGTGGGAATTCAAAACTCTGGTTCCGGGTCGATATCCGTTGGAGTGGATTTGCATATGCGCGGAGCATAGCCCTTTAAAAATATCGTTTGATTAGTATGGGTTTCGATGGCGGTATGATCTGTACTGTTTCATATTATACCTAATAGTTCAAAGTCGGGTTAAGCTCCATTTTTGAAATATAGTAAAGCTAGAATTATATACCTCATCAAAATATATATAATAAATTATTATTTGGGAATGAAATAATTAAGTGCGTAGTATTTCGTTGCTACCAGTAGCCATGGATCCTGCCCGCGTAGTCGAGCCACTCGCCATGAATCGCAATAATTCGGATCTTTACTATGATATATGGGCGTGGCACGTATACCAGAGGAATATGGGAGAACAATACTAGACTTATAGAATTTAGGGATATTCCCTTTACTTTCAGCGATTTTTGCATCGGAATTTTTCAGTATGAGTGAAAAGTTTATTCGTATTTCACCATCGATCATCGAGGGTTGAAGAAGGTGTGCTATGGGCATGCACAGCAATTCGATGCCATTAGCATGATAGAAACCCAAGACTTTGATGAATACATGTGATTTATGACTGTCAACTACTACTTCCAGTCTGGTTACGAGACTGTACTACTTCCTAGTGCCATCATGGCCGGTATATGCTTTTGCTTTTCGTGTTGGGTTCTATCGACAAGTGAGTTTGGTGTTGGTGTTTCATTGTTTAGGTTACACGGCAAGTGCTGCTATGAGCGACACTTGCCCTCACGTGACATCTCGAAAATGCAACATCTTATCTGATCGATCACGGAGGACACGGCGACCGGCTCCCGCCCATGTCTCTACCTTCACGATGTTCCTTCCGGGTTTGGAACGTTGAGAAATGGCAGCCAATCGCATTGATTCCATATGCCCACCACCACCCACAAGCTTGAGTTTCTCCACACACCAACGAAAAATAAACCGCGGTCGTTGATCTCAAACTTGCAACGTGATACCGATTGGAGTACAAATATTTCTCTCTCTCTCTTTCTTTCCTTGTCATTCACTCAAGCTACCTATCATCCGGCACCCATTAGTCTAAACTTCAAAAATACCGAGAAATTGCTTAAGCTTATCAAGCTTTCGAATAGTCAATCACAATGTCTTTCTTAAGGTACGCAAAGAGCTTACATATACTTTCTAAGCTATGATGATATCATTATGAGGTACCCACTTAGTGTGCATGTAAGTCGACTAACAATACAACAGCCACCCCATTCACCCGGCCCTCGTCCACTTTCCTATCGCCTTTCTAACCTTCTCTCACACAATCGACATCCTCCACTACCTCACCACAAACTTCTCCATCCCCTTCCTCTCAACCCTGTCCCCTCTCTTCCCACAGCTTCTGTCCAGCTCCCGTCTCCTCCACACCCTTGGTATCTTCAGTGCAATCCCAGCAATCATCACCGGAATCGCCCAAGCATCAGCTCAAGCCGCCAAACCAGGGAATCTCTACGAAGCAGATGGGAAAACTATCAAAAAGAAGTTTTATGTCATGGCTGCACATGCTGCTCTTAATGACTTTTGTGTAATTGTTAGTGGGTCTAGTTGGTGGTCGAGGTATAAAGCTCATGGGATACTTGGGGCGGTGGAACCAGGTGTTAATGAGCTGGCGGTTGCTGGGGTGGTCTTGCCAGTGCTTTTGTTCGCGGCTAGTCTTGGTGGGGATTTGGTTTATAAGCATGGAATGGGGTTTTCGGCTGCTAAGAGTGCAAAGAAGGAGCAGTAGATGCCTTGGTGCCGTTCCTAGAGATGTCTAGACTTTTTTGTAGGATAGACGTGATTTGACATCGTGGAGAAAGCGAGGAGAGGTGGTAGTGTACGGATAGGAGATTGTCAGGATTTCTAGATACATAGTTGGGTTAACCCGGCATTACCCATGCTTACATTTCCCTTGATTTTGTAAATATTAAATGCTAGTTCTAAAAGTCAACAATTTTATGCTTACAACGAAGTCGGCTACGTCGTGGATGTCTGGGAACGAGGCTAGTCGCGGATATAGTCTAGCTTTCGGTTTTTAAGATATTGCTATCAAAGATTACTATGTACGCCTGAATTTATAAAGCTTAGGGTAAAATCCAATTATTAGCCTTCGAACCTACGTAGCTACTTAGTGCGCAAATAAAGTTATCGATTTGTGAACAGATATATCAATACAAACCCGACGCACTTCAATTGAGATAGCAGTTTTCGTATCAGTATCAGAGTTAAGCAGTATTCTTTCCGCTAAATTTATAAAAGAGCTAACGAAAATTTAAAATATATGAAGATATATAAGAAAGAGAAACGGAGACTCAATATTTTTTAAAGAATCCTAGATTCGCCAGTTGGCGGTAGGTATATATATACGACACTGGCGAAAACATAGGAATTTATCGGCGTAATTAACGTATATAGTACGGACTCCCAGGTCTGGATATGGGACAAAGTATGTAACCAAAATAGCAATATGATAAACCACATATAGAATACTAAACAGCAATCCTAGCATTAAGATTTTATTCACACAAGTACCCTCACGCTCGCAAAGACAAGAAAAGGCCCTGGTAATCCGGACCCGTCAGCTGGAATCGCTTGCAATTGCCTCATGAGTCGAACTGCGCCTGGTATTTTTTATCTTCATCCCTTTTATTTTGAACCCGTAACATCGAGAGAACGGATATACATCACGACGATCCTGACATGTTTATTTTAGCATGCTTTGGAAAACCCTCTTAGGGGTATTGATTCTGCTTTACGAAGTAAATCATACATTAATGTTAATGTATTGCACAAATTCTTATTCTCTTAGTTTTAGAGTAAGAGCAAAGATAAGTGATTCACAAGTAATTAGCAGCTCAAGATCTTAAGAGGGGGGCCTTAAACTTTCAAAGTTCAAAAAAATTAGTCGTGGGCTCCGACAGGACTTGAACTTGTATCTACCTCCGGCTTTAATGACATATTAATAGTAATACGAACGGAGAGCCGCGCTAGCCAATTGCGCCACGGGGCCTGTTTTTTTTTCTATGGATTCTATTTAAAAGCAATTTATTTACATAGTGATCGAAAAGGGATATGCTTTGTGATGGGCGAAGTTGGGAAGGGTAATCAAGGGTGTCCTGCTGCCTGAGGTATGCCTAAGGATACTGGTATACCTGTAAATGGGCGATGTATGATGTCAAGTAAGTTGTAAGAATAGATCGATCTGACAAATACTGAAGAATATAGAACACTCAGCTGATCAGAGCGTGAGGAACGTGATTCGATTCATTGGATGGCTGAATGCAGTATCCATATGCCTTTGTAAAAGCAGGGTTAGCGGTAGTGGTGATGCAAGTTCTTCCAGTTAAACACTCAATTACATTCGGCGTCTGCATCATACGAATGCGGAAAGGTTTGAAGGTAGGCAAGATACCATGTGATTCTGATATGCAATGTCAAGACTAGGTACTAGCCTGAAGACCAGCTAGGTACCCCATTGATAACCTGTTGACAATGGCGACTTGCAGAAAAATACTTAAGTACGGAATGCGGGGAGGTCTCGGCCTGGGGAATTCCAAAGGATGATTTTGTGGTATTCTGCTGTCCAGCGTTACATGCTGCGTTGCGACCAAAGCCTTGGTCTGCTGTTGTGCAACCTGCACCCGCCACCATCCAGAGCTTCGAAAGATCACATCATAAGCTGCTAACCATTACTATACTATTACCTTCCTATCAGCAGCCACATTCTCCAGGAAATCCATTACACTAACGTTATATACAATAGTTCAGGAAGCCACCGTTCAGCCTGAAGCCAAGGTTAGTTCAGGCAGGAAACAGGCCCGCCGTCGCCTCTCAATCCAAAAGCCACAACAAGCGAATTCGAATTGCCACGGCCACCCTTGTCATATGCCGCAGAAGGCCTATCCAGCTTTCCCCATCGTGTCGCTAGGAATACCCTGCGAGTATTTTTCTATGTGCCGTCCCTTGCCTGAAAGATCCCTTTTTTACGGACAGGGATTCGGTAAGCAGAATGGCGGCATTGTTATCACAAGAAAGATACGGGTCGGCGTCCGGGTTCATCTGAATATTTCCCCATACTCGGATGAATATGGAAAATCTTTCTTGACCTTTTGCTTTTGCGAGTAATTGCTTCCGAGATCATATGTCAGACTAATGCGCATGCCATGCAATGTGCGAAAGGAGAAGACGAAAAAGAAAGAGAGAAAATTCAACATATCTGCTGACGAGTTGTTGAAGTCAGGGACGAGACAGATATAGACGGATTCCCCGAAGCCGCATACATATGTACGAAATCTCTTTTTTTATACAGGCCAAATGATCAGGCGACCAGTGGAATCGAAAGAGAAAAAAAAGAGAGAGAGAGCGAAAGCCGCCAGTTCAGCGACATCTGTCGGCGTATCAGTGGTGGAACCGTTCACAGAAAGTCGAAAAATGGGCTTCCTAAACTTTTTTGGGGTCACTGAAAGACATTCCCTTTGGCGTCTTGTGCCTTTGGAGTCTTCGTTTGGCTGCACGAATGCTTCGAGAACAACACATCCGGGCGATTTTATGCATGTGCACGGTGGTCCCAGATGCAGAGGAAGAAATATGCGGAGTCAATCACCTTGCATGAAAGGGGAGACCACCTTTTACACCCAAGGGAACAAAGGCCGACTGGGGTAAGGGCCTGCATTTTGATCAATTGATCAATCTGGAGTTACGGAATCGAAGAATGTTAACGATGAAGACAGGACAATTGTTGGTTCCTTTAGGGTTCGTATATGCAGGACGAAGACAGGAGATCCTCCGGCTTTCCTGACAGCTCCGAGAGCTTGCTAACTTGCTTGCATTTAAAAAGAAATTCACGGTTGGAGACATGTTTTTCGCTGCTGTTTTCAGTTTCTATATTTGGCCTTCGATGCATCATTCCTAGCTTTCAGTAGATGGCTATCGATCTGTTTGTTGATGTTGTTCTTCCCTCAACTAGTGAACTCCTGTCTTGGAAGGGTCAAAACGTCCGTCCTCCTTTGGAAATATGGCGGCCCACGAGGGCTTATTGCTCAAAAGCACGGATGTTTAGATGTCAATGCACCGAACGGGACCTTCTGAAACCTTCGAGAAAAAAGGAAAACGGCTCCACAAAACGACATCGTGGGCGGCTGCAATACGGGATATCAATCTGGAACGTGATATTGAACATTATATCCAGATCATTTGGACCGTAGGTCCACAGGGTTGCTCGTGTTGTCTAAGTGGACATCCAGTTGAAGGAGGGGATGGACCAACTAGCACGGATCAAGTAGTACACAGGAGAACCGGAAGAGATATACTGTGCCAGCTTCCTGTTCAGACCAGATGGCCGGCCGGCTTTCGTTGAGAACAGCCATTTAGGCGGCTTCTGGTTGTCAAAATTCAACGACAGGGTCTCCCGTCCGCCGTCCGTGAACTTCGAGAAAAAGAGGCACTTGATCACCGTGAAGAGAAAATATCGAAAAGGGTTTTTTTTGTTGGTGCATATCATCGGTTGGGTTGACAAGACAGGTACTACTAGCCTTGGGGTACCTGTTTTTGATTTCAAATTCGAGACCTTTACCTTTGAGAGACCTTGCTAGTTATGTTATACTAGCTGCAGCTGTAGGTACTTGATGAACAGAGATATGCGGGTACCTGACATCGAAAAGTACCTTACGTCTGTGTTATCATACTACAGTTTATTCTTGCCCAGCAGCATAAACCGGATTTCGCTGGTGTGTTTAGCAAGAAGAAAATGCGAAGCAGAGACAAAAAGCAGGAACCTATAGAGACAAGGAATCCAAGACTGTTGCTGACGAATAATTGATACATCTTGACGGTGAAATCCTTAGGATTGATTTAAGACAGCGCACCGCCATCCACCATGCTTCTGACCTGTTAACGTTGACCGCATAAACCCCAGTGATCTTCTAAGCGGCAGTCCCTGCAACGGCAGAGTTGGAGTTACCGTCGGCTTCCCTGCTATGTTCTCCAACTTTCAACGGCTAGAATCATCTACCTAGCTTTCCGACAAGAGCTCTCAGTGGCAGGTTGCGGTTTTTTTTCTTTTCTTTTGATATATGTTTTTGCCTCAAGGTAGACAGCTTTGGACAGTTCTTGGTTCCGGCTAGTCGCAATCCTACGGTCGAGGTGGACACATTCTTTTTTCGAGGGTTAGACCGCTTTCGACCTCACTTGCCTGAACCCCGAACAAACGACTTGCATTGACCACTCGAGCTGATTCGCTGTACCTGCTGCTGTCTGTACCTGCCTTATCACCAGCACTACTATTTTCAGCAGCCAGGAACAATCCAAAGGCACTTGGACCCGATCCTGCTATAATAGGACATCTCAATACAACCGAATAAGGTGGACGCATCTTTTTTTCCTCTCACTATCAATTGTGCTCCGCTGCTGTGAAACATTTCTATACCGAAAGAACTATACAACCTATCTCAGGAATCCGAAGGCAAAGCGAGGAGAGGGGCATATTCAGTTTTGGCTTTTCGGTTATCCGCCTCCTCTCTTTGGGACCTGAACTTAGTTGATCCTGCTTTTACCTTTTCGAAGGAAAGGAAACCGACGACGTCGTCAACCAAACTATACTCTAGTCTATATTCACCCCTCACATGCAACTGCAACTGGTCCTACAACATCACATACATCCCAGACCAGACAGCCGTGCTTGACCCAATCATCGGTGAGTGCCGTCGTCCCCTCGAGTTCTCTTTCACCTTTTTTTTCTTTTCTTTTCCTTTTCCTTTTTTTTTTTAACCCGAGAGTCTGGGGATTTGCTTGCATTCCCGTTCGAATTATAATATTTTCCATCCATGGGAAAAGGAACAGCCTTATTCTGACGGTGAGGGATAATACTGGTATTCAACCTTCCACTGTGCCTCCTCCGCTTCTCATCGGCGGGTCTTTCTGCAGACCTACCTTCTTCGATGGTGTAAAGACGTTTACCTTCATCCTGCTGTGGCTTTTATTCTTCCCATTCCCTTTTCCCTTCTTCCTCTCTTTCCCCTTCTTTTCCTTCTCTTCTGCCTCCCGACCTTTTAACCTTTTTTCCACCTCAGATTGTTTGTTTCTCCTCCGCCTTCGTCTTTTATACTTTACTTTTCCCGTTCGCCTAAGCCAGGGGGTGAAGGGTGCACGTTATCCGTTCCTTGCTTGCTCCAGCCTGAACAGAAAAAAAAAAAGGTTGCGTTCAGAACCTCCCGCCCGAGTTACTTCGAGCCAGAAAGCCAGATATCGAGGCCATTCTCTCGCCCCAGCAGACAGATCCGGCGAGGCTACTCCTGCTCATAGTCGAAGATCCTCCAAGGTTATTACTCTGTTGAGCGTCTACAGCTGGGTGCAAAGCAAAGCTATTGCAAAGGGCTAAGGGTGGGGTGGTCCGTACGGCCGTCCATGTGAGACCAGCTCCCTCTCCTTCCAGCCCCCAATCCACATCCACACATCCACCCACATCCCATCCGTTTTCTGCATTCCCTTGCCGGGCATCTTTTGAGATCTGTTCCTGAACACAACCATATCTACCTCCATCTCGCACCCTTTTCCTCCACCGAACTTTACCCCATAGTTCTCCTGTCTGCTAAGATATTTGTGTTTTGGTTTTTTACGTTTGAGGCTTTTTCATCGTTTCGGGATCTTGCTTTCATTTTTTTATCGCTCACCAGCCCATCTGCCCTACCGTGCACCGCCCTTCTGCATAGTCCACGAATGAAGGAGCACCACTGACATATTACGCACGTCGTCTCCCATAGCAGGCGATCATTTGTCGGCCGGAATTGCGGGAAGATACATTTCACTCGTTCCGTCATATATTTATCAATCATCCGTCCAACCAGTGCTCGAGTTTCGACTGAGAGCCGCAATATCATCTTCAACATCCCCAGAATTTAAATACATACTCGAGCATATTCTCCTCGTGGCCGCTCTCCTGTCTTCGTTGACCTGGAGATGGCTGACGGGTTCCAAGCTGTCAACAAGATGTCGTCTGCCTACGTAACTCCACCATATTCACAGCCCATGCAGGCTGGCCCTACACAGTCGATGGCCTCACAACCTGCTCCAAAGCCGCAACAACTCTCGCAATCGCAGTCTCCCTTTTCCATGGCGGCTCCTATTCCCCAACATCAGCCGCAGCAGTCTAAACCCTTCACCTTTGGTCAACCAACATCACATCCTCGACCAGAACTCCAACAACAACAGAATCAACCGAGTTCGAGGCCACCGCCCCCATCGTTCCCGTTCAATACTCCCCATGTTCAATTTGCTACACCGCCGAATCCACAATTCCGACCACAACAAGTACCACAGCAGGTTGGATTGGGAGGGTTTAATTTTCCAAGGACAACTGGGCAGGCTGTTGGTGCTCCTGGCGAGGGACAGAGTGTGGGCTCTCAGGGTCAAAACAACTCCACGACGGAGCCATCGATTGGTCATGGTGCACGTGGCGCTCGTGGGCACAAGAAGAAACTTTCGATCAGCACCGCGACTGCAGCCCTCAAATTGGCCGACAATGACGATTCTCCAGCCGTAGGAAGCGAGAATAGCACGCCCGGGGGGTCAGTCTCAGCCACTTCCGCGACTGGAACAACGGCCTCGGCACCAGCATCGGGTACAACAGCTACGAAGGGGAAGAAGAAGAAGCAGCAGAAGTTCTTCTGCGAGGGATTTGAAGGATGCAATCTCAGCTTTACCCGCAGCGAGCACTTGCTCCGACACGTTCGGTAGGTCCTCGCTGTGAATGACGTATGCGTGGCTTTGAAAGTTACTAATTTTGCTTATAGTAAACACACCGGCGAACGACCATTCCACTGCCATTGCGGCAGGGCATTTTCGCGAATGGATAATCTGAGACAGCATTCTACGACTGTTCACGCCGACGAGTACATTCCTCCTGATTCGCTTGCGGCCACTGGAGCTCGATATCCACGTAACAAGACCGAAAGGAAGCAGAGCAGCGGGCGGGCTAGGTCCTCCACGACGGGATCCATGCCTCCACCGCAATCACCAGCACACCCCCCTGATGCCATGGCCGTGGAATATCCTCCTGAGGCTCAGGCCCAAGTGCCACAGGAATCTCAGTCAGACGCTGGCAGACGTCGGGCCCGTCCACATTCGTTGTTCATTCCGTCCGAAGTAAGCAAGCAACGTAGGCCTTTGATTTACCAAGGCTCAACGACGGAGTATGCCGCTTCCTCACCTCTTACTACCCCGACATCGACAACATTTACAAATAGTGCTCTTGGCCAAAGTCCCTTAACTAGCCCGTTATTCCCGGCTATTCCAGTGCCGCGAACATCTTCTCCTTCCAACAATTCCCCAGCCTCTTCATGGCAAAACAGGAGACTTTCACAGCCACAGCAGGCCCAACCTCAACAGCAGCAGTCCCACGGTGTTGGAAATGGCTTCCAGATCCCACCCGTCCCACAAAGAGGAAATGGTCCGATGCTCCCCCCACTTCGCGACCTTGCACAAATCCAACAACAGCATCAACAACAGCAGCAGCAGCAGCATCAACAGCAGCACCATACCCACACCCCCACCGTCCATGGCCCAGCACCTCCAACCCCGGTTGAGTCAGAAATGGCTGAACCACCTACTCCCAGCCGGAAACGGTCTAGGAAGGAACCAGAGGAGGATAACCGAAGACGGACATGGCACCCTGGTACTTTCTCCGGGTTTGTACCGCCCAAGGATGAGGAAATGCCGACCTTACCGCCAGTTCATACATTGTTCAGCAGTATCAACAGTATTCCGACACCGGCTACAACTTTCAGCAGCCCGTCTCATAGCAATAGAAATTCCTTTACATTTCCACAGTCACCTTTACAGCAAATGAGCCTGCCATCCCACGAGCCGACATTTGATTCGATTCCAACACCATCTACGAGGAGGAGTTCATTTAATCAGAATGAGAATCCGCAATTTTTGCAGGAAAGGAGCCATTCGATGTATGGGAACCAGTCGGCGATGCGAAAGACCCCGCCATCCAGACTGAAGTTAGAGAGGCACTCCTGGGCCCCCAACCATTTTAGCGGATTGTCAGCAGAAACGTATCCACCAACTACAATGTCATCTGCACAAGGCGGATTCTTAGCACCGCCTGAGCGTCATTACGATGATGGGCCGACGCCAACGAAAGCCGAAGCATTCCCAAAGACGCCGAGGACAGCTATTCCGGCGAATGGCCCGACACGATTGGTGTTCACTGGGCGTCAGGATCGTCAGGGAAGTAGCGATGACAGCGATAATAATGATGTGGTTATTACCCCCGCAAGTTCAGTGGACACAGATGGCGCACAGAAGCTTTCATTGAAACATGTTTTGGGAATTGAAACTGATGTAAGGCTTAACCAATATACTGAAACACTATGTTCCAAGTTACTGACATGACAATAGGCACCAACTAATGAACGCTTCATGCCTTTCGGTTCACTCTCATCTGCTGCATTCCACGCTTCAAGCACAACCTTTGGATCTTTTGGGTCACCGAATATGTCCCGTCCCCGAAGCATTGGGACCCACCCACAACATCTCCAACCAACTCATCAACCTTCAAGCCGCCCACATTCTGGGCAGTTTGGCGTCGACAGAAGTTCCTCGCACGGGAGCTTAGATGTGCTCGCCGAAGCTGCCAGGATCGATACGGATATTCGAAGGCCAAGCTTGGACCATCGAATGGATCTTTCCTAGCTTCGTCTGAACCACGTTAAGTCGGTCGGAGTTCGATTTTTAAATATCAATGTTTGGAAGTAATATATAGGCGGGCCGGAAGGGTTATTTATTCTATTTATTACAATCTTTGTCGTTTCGTACTAACTACTCCCTCTTCAACCTTTTATTTACACCCTTTCTTTTATATTCGCATGCATACTCTTCACGGCGATTGGAATATTTTTCGTAATGCTTTTTTATTCTCTTTTTAGCATGTTCTGGTGTTGATATCTAGATGCTTGCTGCGCTGCCGAGATGCTTTTCTTTTTCCAATTCGTGCGAACGAGAGGTCTTGAACACCAAAACTTTTTCTACTTCAGCTTCTTGATCTTACTTTTACGATATTTTCTTGCCTCCCAGTCTTTTTTTTTCATTTCAACTTTTTTCAACTTCGCACTCACGAACTCTTTTTTCCATGAAAATTTCTCTCCACTTTGCTTTCTTTTGATATATCTCAGATTCAGATCGGGTTCACTTCCCGCTTTTGAATCTTCTCCTTTTATTGTCCATTCCCGCGATATATTGCAGCGATTTTTATTTTGCGATCGGATATTTTTTTTAACAACGAAGGCAAGATTTTGCGGAGGATTTAAGGAAAAAGGCTGGCGATGGACCGGACTCTTACTGGACTGGACAGGGTTTTAGGAGTTGCGATTTCCTACTTGTTACGGATCGATTTTTTTTTTATATTTCTTTACCCCTTACTAGCCACATTCATATTGGCACCCTTCCTACTATTCTACGGAATTTTTCTCTTTTTTTTGTTTAACTTCTGGATATTGATATATCAACCGTGTATTTTTATATTCAAAGGTAGTTTAGCAAACAGGTGGTTTGAATCCGTCAAGACATTGGCGAACAATCAAATTGAAATATAAGTATATCAATATTATCCAGAAGATTACATTTAATTAAGAATTCAAAGAGAAAAAAGGTCTAAAACCCAGACGAAATCCATATAGTAGTATATAGCACACACACAACGGCAAGTCGGACATACTTACGCAATGCATCATTCTAAAAGGCCACTAGTTCTTAGGTATACTAGTAGGCATAGTAATCACTAACGGGGTAACAAAACCCCTCCCTTGCCCAAAGTCAATCTGCGTGCCAAAGGATCTAGTCTAAAAGCCTCCAGCATGCAACATAACCGGTTTCCCCGCGTTTTATACCTAAAGCGTCTTGTTGTAGACGGCTTGACGAGAATTTCACGGAACGGTGGGGTTTCTCTTTAGGAGGGGTGGCGGTAGATAGTCCTTTGCTTTGTAGAAGATACGTATACATCGATACCGAGGAGTCGATATTGCCAGAAAGCTTCGCCAAGGGATTTGGTTATACAAATAATTTAATGCACAGCCCATGGTCGAAGGTTATTATTATGTTGTACAGACCATGCTGTACCCTTGGTTTAGGAGGAGTTCAGATGATCGTATACCTGTATTTTCGCCGGCGTTTATTGGTGTAACTCCGGTGGGGTATGCCGTTTTGTAGGGTTGTAGTCACCATTGCTTGGAGAAATACATACTTACTATGTAAGTACATTCATTGCACAATCAATTATCAAGATTCTTGACGACACCTACGGCTGATACCTACTCGTTGATTTCTCCAAAGGAGGCGTTTAAGCCACTAATGCATCTCCAGAACGACAAGCCAATCGAAAGGACTCCGTGCCGAAACTGGTATTTCTCTAGCTGCCGACCTGTTAGCATGTTACTCCTGTGGAAAAATACGCCAAGGAAAAGTACGGCCAGGTGCATCGATGGATATGTCCCTGGAGCTAGCTCAGGAACTCTTGGGCATACTGTCTATGGAACCTGTATGCCACCTTCCGAAATATATCTGGCACCTGGACTTGGAGGTCGGGACTAGGATTCGGATGCGCTAAATTCTTGTTAAGTCTTGTTAAAGTCTTGTCGTCGGCCGAGGGGCAAATAAGGTGACGGGTCATGGATAAGAGCTAAGGATTTCTAAAAGCTTCTAGTTTGCGGCTAAGCTACGGCTTGGGTACGTCGATCGAGCTAAATTGAACCTATCCCATGATTCAAAGTATGGCTAATGATAGCTTGGGGTTGAGACATATAAACAACATGATCGCTTTGGGGTGACGAGTGTACATACGACTCACAGTGCACAGCATGTTATCGATGCAATGCATCGATCGACCTTCGAAAGCTTGCTTGTGCAGTCGTCGTGTCAGGAGGCACAGCACATAGGCATCCATCAATCATGTCAAAATGCGCGCGCGCGCGACAGTGCGAATCATGTTAACGTTAAACTTACATCATCCTCGCTGACACAATCCGAGTTCATGAGGCCAACGGTGCGAGCTCTGTTTATGTGTGGATGCCCGGCCACCACCCCCCACATAGCAAGCGGCTTGCGGTACTTAATGATATTGGGGCGTCATCTGATCATTGGATTTTGGATTTTGCTTACCCCAGATTGCCGATTTTGCCAGCACGTCAAGCCTTGGCCTTGATTAATCGCGGAGGTCAGGAGAGGGTATATATCGGCGAAGTCGAATAAAACCGGCTTGGGAGTATGCTTGAGCGTTACTTCACCACCATTCAAGAACAGCGGATTTTGAATCCAGAGACAATATCACGATACCAAGTATACCCTCTTAGAGTATCTATAAGCTTATCTTGCAGGAGGAATCGGCCGCCCCCTGGAGATTCCGCCCGGTATGTAATGAGTTTAATCTGGAGCCGCATATCTTGCATACCCATTTGCCCTCTCAAAGACAGTTTTGTTTGTTAAATTCAAGTCACGGAGCACGGAGCTTGGAAGGTGAGGCTGCGCCGTAAAGCCTATCCCCAATCCTTGCCCTTGGCCTCGTTTTTGTGTTCCATAGGACCAGGGGCAGGTTTGCTTGGCTCCTGTCCAGTCGGTAACCTTCCTTGCTTTCAGATGCAGTCGCCCTTTTTTCCCTCTCTTTTGCGTGTTTCACAATTTCAACAGACTTGCTCACTTGACTAACGAGCACTTCATTATCATCCTTTTCTATCGAGTTCAGGAGGGGACAGTCACATCTTCTAGACGAAGTGGATGGATGATTATATAAACCCACAAATGTTCGCAACTGTTGCGGTTAGCTTCGCGCAACAGTTAACAAGAGCTTTTTAGTGGTCTATACGTACACGCGCAAAAAAACAAGAAGTTCTTGATTCTTTCAACGTTTTGAAACTTGAAGGGGGGGCCCATAAGCAATTGTCCTAATTGATCGATGACAGTTCAGCTAGACCTTCCACGAACGGAAATGCAAGAATCTTCACGAGCTCCATTGCCTCGTGTCTTCCAACCTTGAATTATTCACCTTCTCTCTCCCTTTCCTTTCCTTTCACCCTCTCCTCGAGCTTCTCTTCTTTTCTCTCTCTCTCTCTCCTCCCACGCCTTTTTTTTTACTTCTATCGAAAACGTGAGATACGATGGAACAGCGACAATCTAGCTCTCGCCGCTCCAGTGACGCGGGTCACTACGTCCATTTCACGCATCATGGCCTCGCCGCAGGCCACGGTACCAATACTGCGCCTAGTAGCGGACGCAACAGTATGTACGATTACCCTGCCACGAGCACCAACATGTCCGGTTTTGCAACCGCGGCAGGGACAACAGCTACACCTGGTGGAGGTTCGCCATGGTCTGGTTTTCCTCCCCAAATCAAACGATACGCATTGATGCCCACCAAGGGGAAAGATTGGGCAAAAACCAAGAAGGACATGCGATGGGATGAGAAATTTTGTGGGCCGAATAAGAGGGTTAGGAGGTTGTTGATGGTTGAGTATTGTAAAACCGAGGAGGTGGAGCCGGATGGGAAGCGGTTTATTAAGATGGAGGCGAAGGCTCTGGAGTGTAGTGATATGGAATCTCTTGAGACTTTGTGTAAAATGGAAAGAGGCGATGATGTTATCCTACGAGTATTGTAAGAGACTTCATACCTTATCCCCCCTGTGAAATCCTTTGATATCGTTACTGACGGCATGATATATATGATTACCTTAAAGCCACGTCCAAAACTTCCCACAGGCAACCGAGTTCTTCGTCGCAAAGTATCGAATGCACGACAGGAAGAATATCGAAGGATGGGATAACCTGAAAGAATGGGTGTACCATTTCCGTCCTACCCGTCGAGCAGGGAAGGCAGTGCCTATGGCGAAGACATTCAAGAAACGACAAATGCCTGGTTTGGCTAAAGTTGCTTGGGGAATGGATTGCCTCAAGGTCATGAGGGTGGGCTATAGACCCGATGATAATAAAGAAAGACACCCTGATACGAAAGTTGCAGAGTTGAAGGGGTTTTTGGATGACGATGAAGCGACGGATGAAGACTCTGGAAAGCCGGGGCTGTTGAGGCCAGAAGATCCCTGGGAGTCGGAGGATGACGAGAGGTCGCCGTCACCGCATTGGATTGATACAGACCCAAATAATCCTAGGCGTAAGTTGTACTTAGAAATATCTTATTGGTGAATTCAACGCTAACTTTACTTTTGATGTAGTCGCTCACCATACGCATGACATTTACTCCCAACGTTTATCGGTCTACCTTCAGTGGGTTACAAGCGAGGCTCACAAACCCCGCCCCCATCACTCAGACGACCCAGAGCGCAAAGCAGTGGACGTCTACGATGGTGGCTCCACCGTCATTGTCTTTGATAACTCTGAATCTCTATCGATTGATGACACTATTGTCCCTGCTCACGGCGAGATCGAAAGAATCTGGCGTGGTCCCGGCACTAGTTACTACGAAATAGTCACCGACGAAGATGGACAAGATATCAATGGCTCGGGGAACGAAAAATTCTCCCGCGATTTCGTCCAGCGTGTCGTCGAAACGATCTACAACAGCGTGGCGGACTGCTGGGAAGCCGTGCTTGATGTCGCCTGGGATCATGAATCCATTCTTCAGGATAGTATCTACGAACATCCTGCAGATGAATCGCGAGCACCTGAGTTGTTTAAAAACTCGGAGACGTGGTTGAAGTTTTCGAAGTTGATGTCGTATCATTTGGAATGTATTGGGGATGTGCAGGAGTATATTGGTGATTTTAGGGATGAAGATGAATCTAACGACTCAGATACGGCGGTGTTTACTTGGTTGAGAAGTGTGGAGCAGACATTCCTGAGGTGTAAGTTTCAACCAACATTCCCTTTTTATACATACCTATAAGTATCTAGAGCTTTGCTGACCTTTGGTAATAGTGAATGGATACATTGAAGAAGATCTGATTAAACAGACAGACAAATTAACTGATTTGATGTATAAGACGGTGGGCATTCGAGATTCTCAAGATTCGCTGAGATTGGGAACGAGTATGTGGCGGTTGTCTTGGGTGACATTCGTATTCTTGCCACTTTCATTCATTACCAGTTTCTTCGGAATGAACGTGGATGCATTTGAAGATAACCCTCCAATCAAGTGGTACTTCATTGCATCTGTGCCATTTGTGAGTTCCCTTTTAATAATATTCATTCGAAATGATCTTAGTTCGGGTTCGCTAACGCTGGGTAGATGACTCTCGTCTTAATTTCTGTTTTCGTGCTGAAATGGTTTATTGACCGACACCGACGTCCAATATATGAGCGTGGAGTATACGAACGTCTATTCAATGACCTACAGCAACAAAATGCAGATCTTTGGTCTTCACACGGTCCTCGTGAGATCAAACCCATCGGCGTCATTTCTCACATCAAATGGTGGGTACTCTACCATTTCACAAAGGGACGATCGAGCTTCAAAGGTACCAATATCGAATACGATTCTTTTTGGTCACGATTCAAGCAATATTTGGTCTGGAGATGGAGCCCCGATATCGTTTTCCAACCCCAGGACACCTGGACGGATAAGGAAAGTGGAGAGGGTATTTCTAGAGGCAGGCAGAATAGTTTACAAAGACCACCACCAAGTCCTAGAGTGCTGCCTTCAGGAACGATCGGACCGGGACCGGGACCGAAGAGAGTTTTGTCAGGACCAGGCCGCCCAGCACTCCGCCGTGGACAGAGCGTCAGCTTTTCGCAGAGGAGCGCGAGGAGCGAAAAGAGTGCTGTGAGGGTGGAGAAGTCACAGCCATTCGAGTATAAAGGTACTCTAACGCCGCCACCAGCGACACATACGCCTCCACCTCCGCCACGAGGGGCGCTTGCTCCGACGGTCTCGATAGAAAGAGCATCATCTTCACCGCCGCGTCAAGGTTAATGATATGTCTAAATGATGGGAACGACCATCATGAAATTCTTATGATTCTTACGACAGCGAAACTATTGTTTTGTCGCATCTTTTTGTTGCATTTTGAGCGACTTGTGTGTTGTTTGCCACTGTTATGATCGACAGGGTCGACGACATTGCGTTGTTACTCAACACTTCATGTGCACCCGCCGGCCTGAGGCTTGTTAGCCCAGAAAATTGTGCCTCAAGGCCTCCTCCCTTGTTTTCAGATATTTCCAAATTCCGACGTTGAAACTTCCTAAACAATAATTTACGAAAAGGAATCCTTTCCGTCGTTGCTCTTGTTATCCTTATTTTTTTATTTTTCCTAGCTCTCCCGTCGAAAATCGCGCAATGACAGATTTTGCGAACGCTGCCAATTCTGCACCCAGGTTTCGGAAAGACCAATCTAAAAGCGTATTCAAGAGACCCCGCCGGGCAGCGACAAAAAAGGGCGCAATATATTTTAACGGGCAGCCCTGACAGGTAAAAAACGTGGACCTGGTTGCGTGGGATGATTCGACCAAACCGTTTTTGTAGATCCTCCACCTGTTTTTGTAATTGTTTTTGTAAACTAAGCAGGTATTTTGTTGAGAGAGTAACTTATAAGGCAGAGAGACAGAGTCCTTTTTTTTTTTTTTCCCGGACGGGGGTTTGAGGCATATTATAATGGGTTTTTATAACAGCCTTCGGAACGACATTGCATTCAGCGATGGGGTCGACGGATTGGATTTTTCTCTTGATGGTTGATTTGGATCTGACTAGCGGTTTCAGACTTCCCACAATCTTGGCGATTGGGTGATTGAAGTGGATATAGCCAGCAATCATATCAGTGTATTAACTAGTGTAATATGATAATTTAAAGAGTTCAGAGTTAAGTAATCACGAATCGTGGAAACAATGGATACTACAGATGTGATATCGGGAGACGGATATAAATGAACTGTGATTCGACGGCTGCAGGTGCCAACGGAGAGGCGGCCGCAGCTATATGTGAAAATGCAATGCAGGTCAGGCCTGCATTCCGCATGGCCTGATTCGAACTATTCGATAGTTCTTTTTTTTTTTTTTTTTTTTTCCTTTGACAGATTGAAGGGAATTAATTGGTCTCGAACAGCACAGCAAAGTACAGCACAGCACAGCATGGCATAGCACAATTCGACATGTGAAGAGTGTGAAGTTGAAATGATTAGCTAGAGAGACTTGATTTGATCAATTGGGGTTTGTATTAGATAACGATGTAATTGGAACATCAGCGTATACCTGGAGGCCGGTATATACAAACTCTCAGAGCTCTTCATTGGATTCATACGCATAGTTGGCGCTGGCGGGTAGGTACTTATAATCTATCTTACTTTAGGTACCCACATAGATGCTGCAGAGGAATTAATACTGGGGAATGTGAGCCCGATCAATTTGCATTCTCCGACAAGTCGTTCTAGTCCGAACTTGAACTATCACAGGTTCGGATGATAAGATAGAAGAGACTGCGGGGCCATGCCATGTCAATTCCGGCCGGGTCTAACCAGTGTAGACCACTCGAGTATGTACTTTTCTCTTTTCTTCTTCTTTGTCTCCTTCGAAATGGGCAAGCCCATACGGCGGGACAAAAAAAAGGACTCCAAAAAAGCCCTCAGATTTCTCATGTTGGACTGGGGTGAGGGGTCTATCTGCTTGCAAGTCGACCCCTCCACTGCATGGGTCTATCCGTCCCTCACTTCGATAATGAAAAAAATAAATAAAAATAAAAATAAAAAAATGAGAATAATCCGAATTAGAGTCCGACGATTGAAAGTAGATGCCCCATAGGCCGGGAGGGGTTCGGAGGAAGTAGACAGGCACAGCAAAAGAAGAAAAGTACGAGGGACTAAAATTTTCAAGGGTTCTCGTTCTGTTCAATTGAATCTGTATAAATGTTCGTAGTTTTCTCCCACGCGGCGGCCGTGGAAAATGCTGCTTTCCAATTGGGCTCAAATACAGTCGTCGACTCAGGATTAATAAGTAATTAGCACAGACTGGACTCCGGCGTCGCTCCATTCGCTAGCTATCGAGGCTAGTTAGTACCGGAGCTATCGATATAAGCTTATAGCTTAATCTTTTCTTCTTCGGCCGTTTCCCTTTTTTTTTTCCTGCCCCGGTTTGGCTTAGTTTTGGGGCTTTCGTCATAGCTCCGCGCCGACGAACTGTACAGTACAGCAAAATAACCACCACCGCCAGCTGCCAGTCCAAAGCACCTAACCTCCACCACCAAAACAACACTCCGCCAAAAACCCTCTCTCTCTCGCTCTCTCTTTCTTTCTCTTCTCACAAGGCTGGATTGATATTACACTTTTTAAACTTCTAACTTTCGGATATCAAAATAGAGTTGGAATAGAGCAAAGAAGGAAGAGGAAGAAGAAAACAAAAGAAAGCTTAAGCTTACCCGAAGAAAAAAAAAGAAAGAAAAAAAGATTAATTAAGCTTCTCGTTTCTTTTCAGACATCATGACCTCAGACGGAACTCAGCAGGTTCAGGTGTCGGGGTCTGGTCCTCATCCTATAGACATCATGGCTGGCGTCGACGGAACCGATCCATCTAAGGCGCCCGAGAAGCTGGGCTTATCTGGCACCGTTATCATTGCTACGGCGATTATGCCGTACAAGTTCTCGTTCGGAAACGGTGAATGGGTGGGTTTTATCCTGTTCTACTCAATCGATTCAATGTTCCCAAGTTGGTGCCAATGGAGATAGGAGGGACATCGAAGGCTAACCGGGTTCATCAATGGAATAGGAAATCAGCCAACGAAGGGGCAACTCCGCGTTAAATTCGTCGTTCAGCCACCTCGCCTCCGGTACCTCCTGGAATACCGTCATAGTAGGCTGGCCTGGGGAAGTGAGTCAGTCAATCGGGAAACGGGACGTGCAGAAGGAACATCAGCAAGCTGAGGGTGGAGCTTCCACAGCGCCTGTTCAAGCTGTGACTGCTTCGAGCTATCAGCAGCATTCGGCAGAATTGGAGCAAGATGTCGTGCTGTCGAAGCAAGACCGGGTGAATTTGGAGGAGCAACTCTCGCATGAAGGAAATGAACTGGGAAAGAAAATTGTTCCTGTCTGGGTGGTCGGCGAGAAGGATGGAGATATTAAGAATGGGGATGTCGTTTTGAAGGACCAGAATCGATGGGTCGACTTTGCTCAGAGAGGTACTGGAGCTCCATTTCCCTTCACGAGTATTGAAACAAAAAGCTGACTAGGGAGGATAGAAATCTGGCCGACTTTCCACTACCTACTACGAGAACCCACAGATGGGCGAAAAGAAAGAACATGGTGGGCTGACTATATCAAGTTTAACCAGGCTTTCTCAGACAAGATTTTCGAAGTCTACAAGCCGGGTGATATCGTCTGGATTCATGATTATCAGTTACTGTTGGTGCCTAGCATGCTCCGTCAGAAACTATCTAGCGCATATATTGCCTTCTTCCTGCACAGCCCATTCCCAAGCTCTGAGTTCTTCAGGTGCATGACAAGTAAGATGACCCAAATAGCTGCAATATCATCATAACGGCGCTAATACGTACATGAATTACAGAGAGAAAGGAGCTTCTAGCAGGAGTTCTCGGCGCTAATCAATTGGGCTTCCAATCTTATGCTTATGCGAAGCACTTCATCTCCTCGTGCACTCGTGTCCTTGGTTTCGAATCATCCGGCAATGGTGTGGATGCTTATGGTGCCCACGTCGCTGTCGATGTTTTCCCCATCGGAATCGACGCCGCCAAGGTCGACAAGGACTCCCATAACGCCAATATTGACGAGAAAATGCAGGCAATCCGCGAACTTGCCGGCGGCAAGAAAATAATTGTTGGACGTGACCGCCTCGACTCTGTCCGCGGAGTTGTTCAGAAGCTCCGAGCCTTCGAAATGTTCTTAGAACTCTATCCAGAATGGAGAGATAAAGTAATCTTGATCCAGGTTACATCTCCCAGCGTATCTGAAGGTCCTAAAGTTGAGCACCAAGTTTCTGAGTTGGTTGCGCATATCAATGGAACTTACGGCTCGATTCACTTCTCCCCTGTTCAACATTTCCCTCAATACCTCAGCCAGGATGAATACTATGCTCTTCTCAGAGTTGCAGATCTTGGTCTTATTACCTCTGTCAGAGACGGTATGAATACTACATCCCTCGAATACGTCGTCTGTCAAAAGGAAACCCACGGCCCTGTTATTCTCTCCGAATTCACTGGTACAGCTGGCAGTCTCTGCGACGCTTTCCAGGTAAACCCATGGGATTACCGTGGTGTCGCAGAGGCCATTAACACATGCCTCAGCCTTCCAGCCGAAACAAAGGAAGAGCTTCACTCGAAGCTCTACGAACATGTCAGCACCCACAACGTCCAAAACTGGACAAATACTTTCCTTAAGGGTCTTCTCACAAACCTTGCTAGCCATGATCAAAGCCAGGCCACACCACCACTCGATCGTCAAGCTCTTCTTGATCAATACAACAAATCCACCCGTCGCCTCTTCATGTTCGACTACGATGGAACCCTTACACCGATCGTTAAGGACCCTCAGGCTGCCATCCCCACGGACAAGATCATCCGCACCATTAAGACGCTCGCTTCAGATCCTCAGAATAACGTCTGGATTGTATCTGGGCGTGACCAAGCGTTCTTGGAGCAGTGGATGGGCGACATTGCAGAATTAGGATTCAGTGCCGAACACGGAAGCTTCGTAAGACGGCCGCGTGATTCAGAATGGGTCAATCTTACGGAGAAATTTGATATGAGCTGGCAAAAAGATGTTTTGGATATCTTCCAGTACTATACTGAGAGAACACAAGGTATGACTTCCCGGTTTTATCCACTTATTGTGACAGTACGTCCGAGAGACTAATATTGTGAGGGCAGGATCTTTCATCGAACGCAAACGTTGCGCCCTAACCTGGCATTACCGTAGAGCCGATCCAGACTATGGTGCCTTCCAAGCTCGCGAGTGCCAATCCCATCTCGAAAACACAGTTATGCAAAAATATGACGTTGAAGTCATGACGGGCAAGGCCAATCTTGAGGTCCGCCCTACATTTGTGAATAAGGGTGAAATTGCAAAGAAGTTGGTGGCAGAGTATCCTGATGATGCTAAGCCAGACTTTGTACTTTGCTTGGGTGATGATACTACCGATGAGGGTGAGTGCGAGAATACCACCGTATAGTTTTGGGTCTATGGAAGAGACTAATGAGTTTTATTAGACATGTTCCGTGCTCTCCGACGATCTACGCTCCCAACGGAGCATGTTTTCGCTGTTACTATCGGCGCGAGCACCAAGATGACGTTGGCAAGCTGGCATTTGCAGGAACCGGCTGACGTGATTGATTCCGTCAGGTTGTTGATCGGAGATGTTGATGAGGTTCCTGCTGCGCCTTCGGGCGAAGCTGAGGGCAAGGAAGTCACTGAGGAAAGTAAATTATAAGTACCAAGCTTTTGAAGGGAAAAGAATAAAATAAAATAAAATAAGGAAAGGCCAATTCGGTCGTTGGGCGTAGCTAGAGGTAGGATTTTAGGGTGCAGCAGGCCTTTTTGTCCTTTTTCTTCTTCTTCTTTTTCTTCTTTTTGGTTGTATGTTGAGTTTGCTTCTTTTAGTATACTCTCGTTCGATCGTTCTGTCTTTCCCTTCCCTTTTTGTAACACCTTTGTAGTCAGCGAGTAGTAGCGAATAGCTTGGGAATAAAAGCGTTCGTTTTGGAATTTGGTTTTAATGAATCGGCGATAGAGATCCAAATGCAAGAATATATCGAGATCATGCGCGCGGCTGTGATGTTGTATTTTGAACGGTACCGTGTTGTTTCGTAGGTTCTCATTTTTAGAACTTACTTATCTTGTAACGGTAAATAGGTAGTATAAATTTAAATAGATTTGTATATTCGTGGCAGTCGCATTAGTCATTAAAGTATACATGTACAGTACAAAAGGTATTCCCTATATATATATAAATGGGATTTCTTCACATCATTCGTTTATACATTCCCTCCCCGGAACTCCTTCGTCGCATCGATCCAAAATGCAATCCTAATTATGTAGCAACTTTAACATCTTAATTCTCCTCACCTTCTCTCTTTCCGCCCTTGCCCCACTTCTTCTGTTTCAAGATCTTAGGTCCAGACAGCTTGAAGCAGTTTGCATAGTAGGTGATCGTAGAGCTCCAATCGCTGAAGATACCAGCGATTTTAATCTTCTTGACTAACACGTCAAGAACTTCGTACATTTGTCCGTCGGTTTTCATGACATCTGCGATACTGCCGTAGTAGTATTCGCCTCTAGCTTTGACTGTACCCAAGGGACCGGAACGTTCGAATGTCCAGGGGATGATGACGAATCCTTCTTTCTTTGCGACTTTGGCGTATTCAGATGGAACTACCTTTTGTGTCTTTGGGTCAATTGTGAGGAGGTAGTTTAATGGTGGAGAAAGGACGTTTACGCCTTTCTTTCTGATAGCTGGGAGTTGTGCGGCTGCGGCGGTGGGGTTACTTGGTGGATCACCTGATTCGTCGAGGAAGACGGCTTGTTGACCGAATGTTGTTGGGTATTCTTTGATCCATTGGTAGACGTCGGCGGGGAGGAAAGATTGTGGCCATACGCGAGATGGGTCGATGTCCTTTTTGATGAAAGTCTCGATCATATCGCGGGCGTATTGTTCTTGGGTGTAAGGACCCTTTGTGGTTTGAAAGGGCATGGGGACTTGTGAAGGGGGGGTTTTGAGTTCTGGAGTGAATTTCCTGTTTCCGGGGATGGAGTCGACGAGGTCGATGTAGGATTCTAGAGACATGACTTTTCCGCATGTTTCGTAGAGTTGGGTGCGCCAGGTTGGTGGGGAGCCTTGGTATTCTAGTGGGGTGGTGGCTTTGGAGTTTGATGCGTCCATTTTGGAGCATAGGGACATATACTCTTCGAGAGTGATATCGCTTGTACAGCACAATGCTGTGGCGGATGAACCCCCACTGGCGGGTTTGAAAGGTACGGTGCATTTTTTGGCAAGTTCGGGACGAAGTAGGATGTCAGTGGTAGTATGTAAATCGCACTGAGAATGACGACAGACGAGTTCACGATCCTTTGTGAAAGCTACGTCGCATTCTAGAACACCGGCGCCCATTCGGGCTCCTGCGATTGTGTTTTCGACGGTTTCTTCTGGGATTTGAAGGGTTGCACCGCCGCGGTGGCCGATTGAGAAGTCGGTTATACTGAAGGGACCATTTTGACAGCGGTTTAGGGCGGATTTTAGGTGGGAGTCTGTCATGTTGTTGACGAGGTAGAAGGGACGCGGGTCGAGGGAGACTTTGTAGTCTCGGTTGAGGGTTCGTGGTGATAGAGTGGCTGGGGCGCTGAGGGCGCTGTCGGCCATTATGGCGGCGGTGAGCGCCACTGTGGTGAAGGAGTACTTCATTGTGGATGAGAGGGTGGGATATATGTCCTGTGGATATGTAGAATGAAGGTAGGGGCTAGCTATAGATAAGTTGTTGTTTTAAAGAATGTAGGGTACCTCTACTTAAAGGGTAGCCTAAGTAGCTGGTAAGTATATACTTGTAGGGATATAGTTACTTGTATATAGAGCTAACCATGAAGTCGAAGAACCAGGCCTTTCGAAAGGTGGTATGCTATAGGTTTTATACTTCTACTGAAAGGAGGAGGTTCAACTGCTGTTGGGACCCCCAATATGCAAGTCCGAATGCAATGCATGGCATGGTCTGCGATAACGCTTTCCACCCTTTTGCTTTTTTTAAAATCCGGTTATCCATTAATATTTTCATATGAGATCGAAAGGCAGGAACCCGATTGATCCGTGGGAGCCGTCGTCCAATCCAGGGTTCGGAAAGCTACCAGGTGCGCAGACGGTGCCCCGATATCGTCGTGGCTGTCCGTCGTAGTTACATGGTGCACCGCATGGCTAGCTATCGCATCAAGAGTATACGTACCGTCCGGTTCCAGTGTGACAAGAATTCCTGGGCATTGTGGGAAAAAAGCTTGGGATCAAAGGAACCGTCGCCGCTTGGAGAATATACTCAAGGTTTGCGGTTGTAGTAGACCGCACCTTCCCGATATCAGGACCTTTTGGCTGTTTTTCGCTCGTCCGCCCATCTAACGCCCCCTGTTGAGTTTATCGGTTGGTTGTCGAACAAGGGTATCTCGGACTTCCTGCCTGACGAGTGAAAGCCAGGGGGCGGTCTTAAGTTCTACTTGCTCACCCCACGTGTTGCGAAAGAGCATGATTCTTGGAGAAATGATCGGAGTGCATGTGCATTGGAATTTCTCTTTCCGTTGCATTCTTTGCATCTATTGATCTTCGCATTCATTCCAAGGATATTTAGGGTCGCAAGTCGTTAAAGCTAGCTAGGTAGCTGAGCTTTCCCACAATTTAATATAATATACGTTGTGGAGCATTGTCGTGCATCAATGCATATGCCGACATGACATGTTTTATGCGGGGGATGAGCGGCGCCCCCGTCCCACAAGGCCAAAGCAGCAAACGAGATTCGATAAAAATGGGTCTTTCCCGAGTTCGTAGATAGAGATGTATTCAGGTTCGCGCAGGTTTGAGAACCGTACTATCTGGTTGAGCAAAAATAGGCGGCCATCCGATCGAAGGTCTTACTTCGTCATCTCTGAAAAGCCAAAAAGGCTCCACCATCGGCGACGCAATTGGGCGAATAAGACATCGTTCCCGTCGAACGTGTCGCTTGTGGTTCGGACGTTCCTTGCATTAAGGGAACGAAAAGGTGATCCATCTGGAGCGTACAAGATGGAAAAGGCGATGCATCTTTTGTTTTCTACACAGGGTGGAACCGGGGTCAGGGATCAGAGCCAGCCGGCCCATGACGTCTATTCGAAAAGAAGAAGGTGGGGAAGCCGGTGGTTACCTAGAACGTTAACTATAACGATATGGGTATATTATTGGATTCATATGCTTCAATGTCAGCTCTTGCCGTTGGAGCTGTATAAATGAAACGAGTCGAATCCTTTGTAATAAAAAAGCATTTTGGCATTCTGTAATGATTAGTATTCCATAAATTGCTAAAAAACTTGAGGTCTTGGGCATAAACTGATGAAACGAAGTTACGAAACATCTAGCTGTATACATGTAGTTAAAAGATAGCGTAGGACTCTCGAACGGTCGCTATCCTATGGGGATTTGGTCTGTAGTATCACACAGCGTATCAAGAACCTCGAAGAGGCTGCCAAGACGTCGAGGTCTTCGAAAGCGCAACACGTTTTTTCCAACAACTCTCCGAAGATTTATCTCCAACTTCGCCGCCACGATATAATTCTTGAAGACCTTATTGGAGTTAAGATATTCCAATTATTTTTACAAACCATGATTCCAATATCATACCATTCAAGCTTTTATCAAGAAATTACCCCACGTCTACCTAATCACATTAACTTGCATCCTGCATCCGTATCTGCACCCGGGCTGCATACCCCGGTCCGCAGAAGCGAAAATGTGTAAGACAAAAGGTTTGGAAGTTTAACCAGCTTGCTAGCTAACTAGTAATCTTTAATCCGTGTATTATGCGTACCGGGAGGACAAAAAGAGTATTAAACCGCCGTCGCCAATAATCTCTCCCTCGTGGCTGTGCCTGATTGATGTAAATGGGTCGGTTACTCCGGGCTCTCAAGAAATTTACCCCAAAAGGAAATTTAAACCCGAATACTAGCTGTCTAAAATCAAAAACGATCCTTGTAGGAAAACCAATCTTTGGAGAAATAGCCCTTTTATTCTAGAATTTCCGGAGTCCCAGGCACCCGGATGTAACCATGTCATGTATCGATAGCGATATCGCAGAGACATGGATTCCGACCCGGTAGACGGTTCATCGGAGCTGCCCGATTTCTGCAGTCCGAATAATATTTTTTTTGCATGTGAGACTAATATTAATGTGGTGCAGCTTGTAATAGTGATCGAGATCATATTTTACTATGAAGATTCAAAAACGAAGGTGCATTCATTACAAGTATAATCGATGTTCCCCGGAATTCTAAAAAAAACTGAATGCTCGCAATGCAGGCCAATCTGTGTGTATAACCCAAAAAGTATAATATAACGAACCCTTCCATTAAACAGCCAAATGAACCCAAACCCACAGATCCCATCTATCATCCAACCTTAGGTAATCCCACGCACCTTGCACATCAACCGTAATCTCGCCGTATTGTTTCCCTCGTCCAATAGTCCAAAACCTTTCGGGTACGTCTTGTCCACCAATTGTAACTTGTCTGATCTTACCGTACCTACTCGGGTCCGAGTAATTTGCGTAGATGCCTATAATATAACATCGTCAGCATACACGTTTCCCATAATTAACCCCTATATATTCTCACGACTTACCAAAGATTCCTAGCGCCTTCAACTCAGCTCCAACCCTAACGGTAGAGTTTCCGCCCGCAATCTTAACCTCGCTCATACCCGCAGCTCCAGAGATTTGTTCCAGCAGCCCGAATACACCAACACTTACTTCTCCTCTCCCACCGTCGATTCTAACTGGCACAATAGGACAAACAGCGACGACATCCCATCCACCTTTTACTACATTCATTTTGACAAAGCCCGAGCTCTTTACTATTTGTACTTTCTTCGTATGGTGCGAGAATACACCAAACTCTTTAACAACTTGCGTCTCGCCGCCAAGCGTGGTAATAACTTCGTCCCCAACAATCTCCCTTACTGGGATCATATCCGTCCTCTCCCTCCCACCGTCGAGGTCAAAGGTTCCCAGGAGCCCGATATCGTACCCTGAAATACTAGCAGTATTAGTAACCCTTAATGGCCTCTTTTCCCCAAATCCTATAAAGAACTCAGCGCTTCTCGCTTTCCCATTGGGCCTAAGTGTCACCATAGCCCCGGTCTTAGATCTTGCCGTAACCTTCTTAACGATGCTGATATCATGGCTTCCGACATCATCGGTGATGTAAACCGGTCCGCCAGAGATACACCGTGCTGCGGCATGATACCCTGCCCACTCATGACGTGTTTGGAACATATCCCAATCAGGAGTGACGTTTAATCTTGCAGTCAAGACCGCATTATGCGCGTTTGCGAAAATATGCCATGGATGACTGTTTGGTGTATGTGGGAAGAAATCGTCTGAGTTCCTCAAAGTGAATTTTGGAAGTGAAGGGGAAAGGTGGTTTGTGAATAAGATCTGTGGGACAAGTGACATGCAAGAGATCGCACGAGTTCCGAAGTACTTTGATGCGGCGTTACGCCAAGCTGAGAGATATGCGGGGAATAATTCTCCCTTATCGGCGGATGGAAGTCTTTCGTCGAGAAGACATTGAGTGTCGGCTTTGACGGCGGTGATACCCTGGTTTGAAAGGAATTTGTAAAAGTCATCGTAGAATCGGCCGATGTCCGATTTATCAACGACATAGATACTCTCGTTTCCTACGTTCCTTAGTTTGTAATTTCTTGAGATCCAACCGTTAGGACTGACACCGTTCCAATAGCCTAGTATTCCATGCCAAACTGCAACGTGCTTTACCCCTCTATTGCTTCGCTTGATATCTTCCACTAAACCCTTAAGTCCTTTTGGAAAGGCGATTTTGTCAGCCTCGAAATCTGTCCACCGATGACCGAAGGAGTCTCTGCCGTTATTATCGAGTGATTGCCAATTATCATCAATAATAACTGTTTGAACCTCAATCTTAGAGTCATACAGATCGTTAACAGCGTTAACGATACGTTTGTCCGTAAGTTCTCTTCCCAAGGAATTCCAAGTACAATACTTCAACGAGTCGCTCCATGGATCATCCCCGCCGCCTAGCTCTGCTTCTTCCTCGATATCCATGATCCTTCCATCTTCTCCTATTCTTTTCGCCCAATAAAATGCCTCTTCGACAGCTTCTTCTACGTCTCTAGCAACAACAACCACAACCTTCCCGTCTACTTTTGAAAACCCATCATTCCGGCCAACACCGATAATCACATCCTCCTTAGCATTCTGCGACCCCTTCAAATATACTGTTTTTTCACCATTACTCAACGGTAAGAAGAGTACGACATCACCTTGGTAAGTCATAAACGCCGTCATAATAGCTTCACGGGGCGGATGAAAACCCTCGTAGTCCCTAAGACCGCGAAAAGACGAGTGGTGAGGTTGTACCCATGCTGTACCGTGTTTTATAGTTGCGAAATATGAGATTGTAGTGCCTTGCACGGGAATTGCAAGGGCAGCTTCAGCGTACCCTGGATCTCGAGAGGTGCGAGAAGTGGGGATTGAAAATGTGTATACCCATGTTCGGGGATCTGTGGCTACTGTATTCCCCATGGATTTGTGGAGTTGTTCGATTGTGACGGGGTTTACTGAGCCGTCTTGTGGGGGCGGTATGGTAAAGTATTTTTCGATAGCGCGGTGGTCTGGCATACCAATTAAGAAGTTGTTGTTCATATCTGGGATAGGTATTTCGGGACGGAATATTATGATTCCGTCTCTAGTTTGGTATTCGAAGTTTACCCATTTTTTGGTTGGATCGCCGGGGTAGAGATAGTTTATGGTGAAGGATATTGGTTGGCCGGATGTAGGGCGGTATAGAGTGTGCTTGAAGTATAGAGAGGAGGAACTGACGGTTGAGAACTATTTGGATATTTTACACATTTTAGCTGAAATGATAGATGGTAAAATAGAAAATAAGGAACATAGGAAATAAAACAGTGCATGATGTATAAGTCACCACGACGCTACAAAGTCGGTGGGTTATTCATGCGTGCTGCTAAGTACCACATGGAGAACCAGACTCGCGCAAATGGTATCGACGTAGATACTTTCGTAACTAAATCGTCGTGAATACTAGAAAGGAATAACACCTCTACAACCTACTATGTAGAAGTAATCAAAGAAATATACTTACGACGCTGAGTTCTTCATCTTCCAAGCATGGCACCATTACATCCTCCCTCCATCCATCCGACGTTCCATTATCATGCCAGACGGCACAAACTATGCCTGACCTACTAGAAGATAGGCCTTTGGCTTCCAGGTCTTCGAGGTCAATACAAACTATAACATCAACCTAGTCCGTAGAATGAAACTTGTGAGCCAGCTATTTCGTATACTTAGGATTTGTCTTGGCTACATCATATGTGTTGTAAATGTGGTATTTTATCCTACCTCATCTCCGTCCATGACGGTTGTTCCCGAAAGTGGTGGATATGATGATAGTTTCATGGTGATTAATATCTGTATTTAATAAGTATTCGTCTAGAAGAGAATGTATGCTTGAGTAATAGCTTGAAGAATAATAATACAGTTCCGTACTTCCAGTTCGGGTCGAGTCGACTTGTGGATGGATTCGGATTATGTGTTGTTGATTGTCGATGGATTAACCAATCTGATCGTCAGCTGCACCTGCATGAACGAACCGGATATGGATATCTAAGTAGTACTTATTACTGCGGGCTTTGTGAATGAAAACTTCTTAGTTTCAAGGAATTTAAAATATTTATCCGGGAGTTTCGCCAGGAGAAATGGGTCCGCTTTTAAATAGCAAGGCCCTTCAGCTCCGTTACAACGCGTAGCATATATTGCTTTCCCCGCGTTCAAGGTGGTGGGTGGATATGTGTCAGTCCGATTATCGAATCGGATCACAAGGTCTCCGCCACGAGATCCCAACCCGCTGCCCATCCCAAAGAGCTACACCCCTGTCGATGGCTACTGGAACGATTTAGAAGAAAATTTATTAGGTAGAGGACTATATTAGTCCGGATAACCTGGTATTAGATGCCTTGGGGTAAGTTCCAAGACAGGTCTGAGCTAGCTGTAAAGTACGTAAAGCCGCCCAATTCTATAAACTAGAACAAACCAATGCAAAACCCAAACCTAAATCTTGGAGTGATAGACCTTGTGTCAGGTATATGTCTATGATCTAACACAAATCCGTTAAGGGAACGCCACAAAGTTCAGCCAAAATATTCACGAGGTTCTACCTCTTCTTCTCCTTACTCGCATTTCCAAACGCCACACTTTCCCCCATTTCATCGTCCGCCTCCGCGCCGTTCTCCGGCTCTTCCGCTTCAGCACTACCAGAAACGCCATTTGCACCATCAACTTCCATCACTTCCCCTTCCTGAGCGCCCTCGTCTACCGCTTCGTTACCATTGTTTTTGTCGTTATCAGAGTCACTAATATATTCTGCCGATTTGTATTGCTTCTTTGGTGATTTCTTTGGAGCCCTTGCTGATGCAGCTTTCCCCCTCGTTCGGGGCCCAGAGGGTGGGGCTGCTTCTTTATCGTTGCTCGGTTGTTTGGCGAATGGATTCCCGGGCGAGTGACTCGGCTTCTCTGCTCTGTTCAACCTCCGAGGCGGGGAGCCGTGGTGCGAAGAATTGCCGGATCTAGCCTCCGCCTCGGCGGGTGATCCGGGTTGCTGGACTTGCGCTGCGTCTTGCTTCTTCCGTCGTCTATTCTTCTTTGCCGTAGGCGGAGCGGCCGCAACCGCTGGGCTGGTAGCCCCGGCTGGTGGTCTATATCTCTTATTTCTTATCATTCCTGGCAGCTCCGACAAATCACCTAATTGTTCAGCTACAAAGCTTCTCAAATCCTTTTTTCGAGGATTGTGATCCTTCATATAGCTGTGAAACCCAGCCTTGAACTGTTCTGGGGTGAAATGTTTCACAGTGTCAATTTCGGTGAGCTTGTTCCAGTCGATAGAGGCGAGGCAGTCGTAACCCTGGACTGAGATTCTAAAGTAATTGTAAATTCGGGTTAGTATAGCTTAGTAGGCTGGACGTGGTTATTGTTAACCGTACCTCTGTAGAACGTAGAGATAATCCCCTGGTAACATATTCTTTGCCTCTTTGAGGGCGGGCAAGGGGATCTCTTCGGCATCCCCCCCGTCCTCGACTGCCCGCTTTCCCTTTCTTCCTTTCTTCGCTCTCGATTTCTTTGTCCTCCTACTCCCGACGTCTAGACCATCGTCGATTTTTGCCCACAAGTCTTTGCCCTTGGCCAAACACTGCATCCGGCTTCTCGTATGTCCCATCCGCTCGCTCACAATCATCCAATCAACTTCCTCACGGTGACAGAATTTTTCGTTTTCTAGCCGTGCGGCCCTCCCCTCCTCACTCTCTCCTTTAGGGACCGGCAACGCAAGAGTGCCATTTTCCTCATGGCGTGCGACTAAGATATCCAGCATATCGTCGATAATCTCTAGCATTTTTTCTATTTCTTGTTCATCCCAAAAGTTTGTACGTCGGTTCTCGCCGCAGACCACATAGTTCTTCCAGCGGTCGCGGCAGTCCTCAGGCATACGATCGAGGAGGCCACCAATAAAAATCCACTTAGTACCTTTCTGAGCAACGAGATCACGCAGTTCATCGTCCTGCTCCTTTGTCCACTTTCCACGGTCTTCAAAGTCGTTGTACATTCGCCTAACATGGGCGTGTAGACTCTGCCTCGTTCGAAGAGGGAGGTTTGTCATGAGGACGTTCCAAAAATCGGTTTTGTGGCGATCGTTATTCCAAACGATGTTCAAAAAGCCGGCACGGTTGAGGCGGGGTACTTGTAGTTGGCAGTAACGGTTGATAACATTTTGAATTAAGGCATCTTCTGTAGGTGTGAACGGTCCCCTGTCATATGCTGCGGGGGGAGGTGGTGGACCGACTCCTTTAGAGTTGCCGAAGGAATGATCGGTAGCAGATGGAATGATAACTTGGGGTGGGTTTACACCTTCTGCATCTCGTGGGTAAGTGCGGCGACGGCTGGGCTCTTCGGAGGTATCTTTGGTATTTTTGCTACTTCTACGTTCTTTGGTAGCTGGTTCAGGTTCAGAGTCAGCTCCGGTCTCAGGTTCAGGTTGCTTGCGACTTTTTCTTCGTTTGCTCTTTTGTCTTTTTGAAGTATCCTTTCCTGGTGCTTCTTTGACTTCAGCTGGCTCTGGCTCTGGCTCTGGCTCTGGCTCTGGTTGGGGTTCTGGTCCCGCCTCTGGCCCTGGTTCTGCTTCTGGTTCATGAGACTCCACTTCTAACTCAGGTGCTGGTTCGTGGTTCTTGGACTTTTTGCTGTGCTCCCTTTGATTTTTTCGGCTCCCTTCGTTGTCCTTGTCATCTCGGTCCGTTTCTTCAATAGTCTCAGGTTCTTGCCCCTCTAATTCGGGTTCCGGCTCATTCTCCATCTGGCTTGCTTTCTCCATACGGCGTGCTTTCTGCGCTTTCATCCGCTTTTTAATGGCTGCAACCTGGGAGATATCAGCCTCCACCCACTTTCCTTCAAAGAAGACCCCAGCAACATCCCCGAACCATCGAACTCCAGGAATACGCGGGTGGTCGTCATCATCGTCATCGCCCTCAACCCCGGCTTCTTCACCTTCAATATCGGCTGCTTCATCATCATCATCATCCCCAGCTTCTTCAGCAGGCAGGGATCCGTTAATGGCAGTCCAAGTTCCCTCTCCTGCACTTTTCTTATGCTTCCTTGACCTCTTCGCTTTCTTCTCGCTTAACTCAAGATCACTCTTTCTCCGCTTCCTCTTTGCACTGGCTTCAGCGTTTGAAACATCAGCCATAGCTCCATCTTCTTCTCCTTCGTCTTCTTCGAGCCTCTCTTCTTCAAGTTGCTCAGCAGTCGCCGGAACTTCGACGATTGATACCGGACTTGATTTAACCTTCTTCTTATGTCTCTTCCGCTTAGAGTTCGGGCTGTGAGCTATCTTGTCGTCATTCCCATCGTGCCCAGCAGGGCTACTTTGGTGAACAGGAGTGCCAGGCATTTCTAATTGTTGTTCGGATTGTCTGGTACTAGGTGTAGGGGAACCTTCTAAGTCTGCTTCAAAGTTTTGTTGGGACTGTGATGATTTCTGAGGTGTAGAGGCAACAAAACTCCAAAAGCTTCGTAGCATGACAGAATGGACAAGGAAATAGAATGGATATGTGGTAGGGGGGGGAAACGTCGAAAAGGAATAAGATATATATGCCTGATCGACTAAATTCCAAAAGTAGACATATGAAAAACAGGAAAAATGTTGTATTTTTCGTGTTGTCGGTTAGGAAGGAGCGGAATTGTTGAAATGGTTGCTTGCAATATTATCGAATCGCTTGCGACGCGTGTTTGTTGCCTGTTTGCAGTCGCGAAATCACGGTGGATACAAAAAGGAAAGAAAGAATATAGATAGATGGAACGGTGTTCGGAGAACTAAAAACCCTGATGGGTATTTTTCGGGGTCTTTAATTCATGAAGATGAGGTCGATGAGATTGTGGGGAGGGGTTTTCGAAGTGGAGATGGAGCAGGAAGAGGGTAAGTCAGAGTTTTCTCGCTGAGATAGGTTTTTTTTTTTTTTTCACCCGACAACACAGGCTAATCTAAATTAACACAAATGGTAAACAGCCTCTCCCTGCACTTCGAGGCTTGCCCTCTCATTCTAGATTTCCGAAAAGGCACAAAATGTATTTAAATTTGCCTGCTGATAGTTCGAGGCTTTAATGGGGTGTGATAAGGCAAGTGAAGTTGAGTGGTAGGCATGGCTTGGTACCGAGAGAAAGCCGACGGCAGTCAGTATTCGAACATCCCGGTTTTAGTATATAAAGCCTCCAACACAGAACGATTTACGAGATAAAGAACGATGGTGTAAAGTAGCCTGGAGCCCTAAATAGAACATTATTGAATATCTTCAGCTCAAGCAGCGATCTCCACTTTCTGTGCTATCAATCAAAGGTTACGAAACCGAGCTGACTAGTTATAACTATTTAAAAGGTCTTAGAGAAAGTGCGGAAGTGTCATCGATTACACATTCGGAAAACTTTTCGAAGCTTCGATGCTTACATTCCTTGAAGCTCGTATCAACGTTGAGGAAACGTATTCTGCGTACTTTAATGTATTCCATGAATCTTATAATGCTATTGCTAATCTTCTAACTGCTTCCAACGTCGGCATGTTGTAGCTACCAAAGGAGGAAATAAACATTAGTGTTTAGGAGTCTTATCAATACATTGATATGATCGACAGATTGTGACTAGTTTAGAAACTAGTCTTATGTTTAGATTTCTCCCAAACTTCCAATTTTAATCCTACAGTCTTACATATCGTTTATAGACCTGGCCTTAGCCATGATAGGAAATGTCTCGACCGCTCTTAGCCACCTAAATCGATCACTAACCCTTTCCAATGATAAAACTTTGTCGTTTCAATCCAAACCTTTCAATGGATTCACAAATTTGAATCCATGGAGAGGGATTTATATCAGGTATGAGAGTTTGAGCAGCGAAGTAATGTTACACGGTATGCTAAATAACATTTATAAAACCTTTTTATTAGTATTATGCAAAAAGTGTTATGCAATTATGCACTATGACATATGACAGCCGGGTTCTAGACTAATAAGTTAGAAGGCACAGCCGTGCATACCGGCCACTTCTTCCTCGGTATAACTGTACCCTCTGAAATCAAATATACCCCAAAAGTATACAAACCCCCAAATAATACTTTAGAATCCCCCTTTGACGCAAAAGCATACGATGCGGATATCATTCTCCTCGTATACTACATCTCTACATACATAGTACAATGGTATCATAGCTATAGGATTCCAACCTCCAAACCCAAAACCATCCGTCGAAACTCGGAGACTCTCCCAAACGGATCGCCCGAAACAAGTATACCAACCCAAAAGAAGTCAAGCGTCAGGAACAGGTCTTGCTTAAAGTGTCCATAATAGGAAATCTAAGCCTTTCCAAGCGAAATACAGCCTCAGGATTAACCAATCATCGATGCATTTCCTACTCCAGAGGACCCTGCATGGACGTTTCGTCTCTGAAATCGAAACAACACTTCATATTTCAGATTTTTATTTTTTTTATCGATCTCTGTTGCTGTGATTGTATGCGAATGTTCTGTTTCGAAACTTCAGGTTGGCGGTGGTGAAAAGTCTGGGCCGGAGGTTTAGCTAGGGGTTAATTAAAATAGAAACTGTATGGGTTCAAGAGGTTGTGATTCCTTATAGCGGTTTTGGGCGGAGCCGCCACAGTTTATGGCTGGTATGGGCTGTCTTTGGCGGATATGGCAAGTGCTTCCTGAACTATTACAATTCCTACGAGCGTTCAATATTATATTTGTGAGGAAAGACTTGTATTGCTGAACTGTATATAAACCGATGTATCCCATAGTCTCCACTTCTTCTTTTTCTTTCCTCTCCAGCGATCAGGTCATCGACTCTTAGCCTTCCCAGTTCTTTCACTTCTCAAAACCTCTGTGAGGTCTTCTATATCTCTCTTTACCACTTATATTTTTCAATCTTTTTTCACGATATTGCTTCTTACGGACTGGTTCCCATAGTTTTTCTTTGCTTACGATATTACCTCCAATTCTTCAAAGCTCTTCCTTTTACCGTTATTTCTATAATACCATATTAGTCTTTATATTCCTCCTCAAAAATGCATTATTCAACCCTCAGATCTCTCTTCCTAATCTCCACAGCCGTCTCCCTCACATCCGCCGCAACAATCCCAATCGGCAGTGACATCTCAGCACTAGCCGTCGACAAGCTCAATGACGCTCAATTCCGCGAATCCCACCAAAGGGATGCAGCCGCTACTCGAGCCTTCGATTCCATCTCCATTAAATCCTCAGCCGGGAAATGTCTTTCAATCGACCCACTTGCCGGTGACGCCCGCGGTAATAACTTACCAGTCCAACTAAAGGATTGTGATAACAGTTCGAACCAGAAGTTCGATATTATCACTGCGGGGAAACATAATGATAAGCCGGGGAATATGTTGATTGTTAGCGCTTTGGTAAGTCACCCCTCCCTTCCAACATTCTAAGATAGGTTACTTAATACTAATCCTTTGGTGTGCATAATAGACACAAGGCTGCCTCACCATCAACGGCCGTCAAACCGTTCTATTCTCTTGCGGCGGTGCAGCAAACGGTTCCGGAAAAGTAGCCAATAACCAATTATTCACCTACACCGATCCAACTGCCACCGGCCCATTGGAACTTGAAACCCGCGGTGAAGTTGGTTTCTGCGTTACTGCCGAAGATGCCGGCGAGAGACTCGATAAGTCCCTTTGCATCCAGAACAACCAGATCCAAACATTTACCTTCGTGACCGGCGATGCTCGAGTCGTTGCTGGAGGAAATGCTGGAGGAAATGGAGGCAGTCTTGGAGGTGACAATGGGAATAACAATGGAGGCGGAAATGGAGGTAATTTTGGAGGTGATAATGGGAATAATAACGGGGGTAACTTTGGAGGAAATAATGGAAATAATAATGGAGGAAATGGAGGAAATGTAGGAAATAATAACGGCAACAACGGTGGAAATAACGGACTCAACGGTGGTAATAACGGCGGCAATAATGGAGGAAACAATGGAGGAAACGTCGGCAATAACGGTGGCAACAACGGTGGAAACAACGGTGGAAACAACGGTGGAAACAACGGTATCAATAATGGGAACAACGGTGGGAACAATGGAATAAACAACGGCAACAATGGCAATAAAAACGGCAATAACGGCAACATCAACAATGGAAACAACAATAATCGAAATGGAAATATTGGAAATGGAAATAACGGGAACAATGGAAACAACAATGGAAACAATGGGATTGGGAACAATAGGAACGGTAACGTTGGGAATGGGAATAACGGAGTCAATAACGGGAACAACAGGAATGGGAATAACCAGAATGGTGGAAACAATCAAAACGGAGGAAACCGCAATGGTAACAACCAAAATGGTGGTAATAACCAGAACGGTGGAAACAACAGAAATGGAGGAAACAACCAGAACGGAGGAAACAATCAGAACGGAGGAAACAATCAGAACGGGGGGAACAACCAGAATGGGGGAAACAACCAGAACGGAGGCAATAACAATAACAGGAATGGAAATATTAACAATGGAAATATTAACAATGGAAACAACGGCAATGGAAACAACGGCAACGGGAACAACGGCAACGGGAACAGGAACGGAAACAACGGTAACAACAATGGGACCCCCACTTTCAATTTCGGAGAAGGGTTCCGAACAATCGTAGTACGAGCAGCTGCTCCAACAGCTTAAGCAGATTCATTTTCGCAACTTTTATAAGATAGTTTTTTTTGTAGTAGCCGAATAAAGGCTTTTAGCGTAGCATAGCTAGTTTTATTTCTTGAATTCAAACTTTTATAACCAACATGACTTCACTGAGGAAAACATACAGTTACCCCGAGATCCTAGCCTTATTATCCTTAAAATACTCATGCACCTACAAATAGTTCTCGTATTTCAGGCTGCGTATTAAGTTAATCCGCTGAATTTGGTATCCAAAAACTCTGCAAAGATCCTAACCCCGGAAAATGTCAAGCCCCGGGTATTTCACCAAATCAAGCTTCAACCCAATATGATTCGCAAGTATTTGCAAACACCGGTATCTACCCACATTCGTCTCCTTATTCGGAGCCGCCTCGAATAGGAATGATCCCGAAGAACCGGTATCCGGCGGTATCGAGACAGAATCTCCAAGGTCATTCAATCCGTAGAACTCAAGAAGATATTTGACGTCGCTTCCTAGAGAAAGAAGAAGATTGACGATAAGATATTGCATCACTCATTCTTAGGGGGAAAAAAGAAGCCTGACGTGTATTATAGACAAGGGAGTTTTTCTTACCCGTCATTTCGACAAATTTCGCGACCGATTTGGGGAATATGTCAGGATGTAATATTCCGACCGCCTCGCTATAACTGGAAGGGTAGCAAGGGTGATGAGGTTTTAGAAGCGGGTATAATATGTGATAGGCTTCTCTCGCTTCCTTGTTTCTCTTGTAGTTTAATTGACTCAGTGCGGCGGCGTTGAGCGCCATTTGGACGTCTACGTTGGACCGGATAGTTGACTCCATGTGGAACTGAGACTCATAATAGCTATGAAGTTTTGGCGTTGGCATCATCTTGAGTTTTATTGTACGTAAGAACGAAAGTTTTGTAGGTTATATGGGTCGAGGGCAAATTTGAGTTAAGTATTTTATTCTGAGAGGACGGTCGATGGTTGATGATCGAAAGGCGGTTGATAACTAGAAGCTAAACGAGGGCCAGGCGGTGGTTTGCAACGAAAGATGCGGGGAATGTATATGCACGAAATAGGCGATGCCATATGGCTGAGAGAATACAAATGCAAGTACAATCTAAGAAGTACGGCCTAAGTCAGTACTATTAGTAAGTAAATACGTACCACGAACGAGGTGGTCTCGTATCGAGTCGAGAGACTCAACACAGTTCTAAATGGGAATCAAGAGACCTCGAGAAGGCATACAATAGATACGGTAGGGAATTACTCGTAGCCGATTGCTACGATATAGTCTTGTATATAAAAAGGTAAATTTCCCACCACTTGATCTTGAATTAATAAGAATTAAATTAACAAAAGAATCCTAATTTTCTTGTTTTAACAGAACCACAGATTGATTTATGGATCCAGAGCAGAGTGTCTAGTCTTTAAATTTAATCCAAATTGATTAGGCAACTTTTCTTCATTGTTTGCTATTTACGGGTGCTTTATTCTACGGTGTATAGGTATCTACTTTCTGCTAAACTAAATACCTAAGTACCTATCTCCACTTAATCCTCCACAATTCTTAAGTATTTTAGGTACTTGAATGGTACTCCGGAAATGTATACATATTAAATATGATATTTTGAGAGCCTAAAATATCACTCGAAAAATTCCATAAACCTCTACTATAGACCACCCCCGCTATATCTCGTCACTGGTAGACCTCGGCTTCTTAACAAAAAAAATCCTTCCCAATAACAAGTTCGCCATCTGGGTTTCTCTCAATATAACAACGACGCATATTCTCAGTACCAGCCCTAAAATCTCTTAACCTTGGGAAGAATATTAAGCTCTCGTCGAGGAGATCACGAAACCACTTATTATCCCCACTTTTGTTCCAGTATTCTATCGTTGGGTTTGCTTTAACTGCTCCTCTAGTATTTAATTTGAAGATTTCGACGTTCGGGAAAGGTGCTGGCGAAGTTGGGGATTCTGAGAAAAACCTTTTTAACTATATTGAAGGTCAGAGGAAGAACGAAATAATTATTAGAAAGAGGTCTAAATAGCAGTATGTAAAAGGAAAAGAGATGGTTAAAACGAACCTCATCCCTCCAGATAAACCAGTTCGAAAGCGAAACCTCCAACCACCTCAACTTTTCAAAACAACCACCATCCACAAATATCAGATCCGGTACCAAATATAACCCTTCACAGTCCGTATACTTAAGTCTTCGTAGATTATTAACCCTCCAGTCTTCCTCAAAGTTGTGGCCATTCTCTTCATTTAGTTTCAAATATTTCAAATTCCCAGTCTGACGACGATGACGACGCACTGCACCAGTATCTTCAAGATATAAATCTACCTCAGATACCAACCCCGCAGCCTCCATCCCAAAAGTTTCGACGATATTCCCAAATATTTCGTGAATGTGATGTCCATCAGACTGAAACACATCTAATGAAATTTTAATCTCTTTGAGACTCCCGGTTCTCTTTCCCGCAGTGAAACTATTCGTTGGGTTCGACCTTACCGGGGGTGCCCCAGGACCGGAATTCCCCCTTACAACTCTGGAAATAGTTAAACACTGAAGTTGTGGGAATAATGATTCGGTGAGCCCGAGGAACGTCCAAAATCTCTTGAGGGATACGTTCGAGCCACTGCCTTTGCAAGTAAGTGATGTGATGTTCTTGAAAGGTGACGTTCGTTTTATTAACTGCGTTAAGTTGGGGGTATCAATCGTTCCGGATCCATGCACATCATCGAACTCTATAGCGAGATCCCTATCCGTATTTATTTTCAATCAATCGGCCCACTCTAATCATCCATCTAATAATATGTATATGATGTCAAATATACATTTAAAGGATAAGAGTCACACACCTCACAAACCCCGCACATCTCAAAAACAACCCCTCATGGAAAAGATGAGGACGAAGGTCATCATGGTTTTTAGAAACACTGGTTTTCCAAGGATCATCAACGTCGTCATCCTCGCCGTCATTCTCGTCTTCTAAATCCAATAGGCAGAAGTTGAGGTATAATCGTGCGTATAACAGTGGCTCAACAGCATCCTTCCACCGTTTGCAGACTCTCATTGTTTTGGAAAGTGTATTCAAGCGGCAGCGATCTGTATCCAAGTGGCCGAACACCTTGAGAATGACCTCGGTGGGGAGGTTTTCGATAGTTGTAGCGGTGGCCATTTTTGAGTTAATAACGTTCGGGGAGGTTTTGATAGATCTATCGGATAGATACTTAGTACTTGAGTATTCATGGTTGGAAATTCTTCCAGCGCACCAGCTTCGCTTATCAGTCCCCAGTTTTTCCGATTGATGTGTTGGAAATATCCGGGAATGCCTACATTGTCAGATTGCCCAAATGGTCAAAAATGATACATCATGAGAACAGTGTCTTCCCTTTCCAGCTTGCATATCCTTTACTTTCTGTCCGAGCTACTTGTACACTGTGTTTTTGAGAGCAGTACACGGTTAATCGATGAATCGAAAATCGCCTTAAACTTCAAGCAACAATCTTTACGCCAAGAATTTGCCAACTGCGGAAAGATCTTCTAGGATATAATATATAAAATACAACAAATAAGACAACCTTACTAAATTAAAAGATCCTAAATATTTTACAAATTAACTGTAAGAAATAGTATAGAACTAGTCGATGCATCGGGGTCACACGCAAATATTACAAAGTAGAACTAAGGTTCTGGTCTCTGCGTGGATTAATACTTAAATTGCTAATTGGTTTCTAAATACATGATAGCGAATACATATAGTTAAATGGGAAATTACAAAGGAAACGGCATAGATGAAACCGACAGGGGATAAGTCTGTGAACCGGATGTTCAGACATAGACAGCCGAACTAGACGATATGTGCTAATGTGCAGCTATCCCGCCTATACAACTGGCTAATCTACACAGGATGCGTGCTCAAATAGACCTTATAACTCTTAAAGCAAAATAATAAAGGCTACAGAACTGGGTGCAGTTTTATTCTAGGCAGGTTTCTTTGCATTTGTTTTGTTCTTGTGACTTTCATCCAAGAGTATAACACGGACTGCCATTCCCTAGCCCTACTATTGCGTAAATCATATGTCAACAGCACGAAACTTTTAACAAATTTATTCGTCCAGTAACGTATAACGCATATTCGCATAGTTGAGGCCTTGATAATGGCCCAATCTGTGTACTTTTGCTAGTTTAACTTTTATCGAAGATTATTTAATACAAATCCTGCTCGTAACTTTGAATTTTTGAACTAATAACTTGCCTAATATATTAAGCCAGTTTTAAGCAGTGCCCCACGAGCTTGTTTGTGAGCATATATATATTGGATACTAAGCCATCGAAAACTTTCTCTATTGTACATATGACTCAGAGGTAGCACATCCAGGCTTCCAGTTGCGAATAAAATCCGAAATGTGTACATGCCCAAGCATTTTGGAACTTCGCCTTTTCACCGCCCCCAAGGCAGCTTCATAGCAATCTGGATGAACTTCTAACAATAGGGATACCATATCTATACGGTTACTAATGAATGCATATTCAACTGCACTCCCCGTACCGCCACAAGAGACGTAGATGTTTCCACCTTGATGAAGGATGTATGTGGCGAGATCTAGATCTCCGTTCTCGATTGCAATAAACAAGGGAGTAATATCTGGAATGCATGATTTCTTACTACTTAGAAAGACGCCACTATCGACATCGAAACCATTTTCAATCAGAAGCTTGAAGGCGTTTAAGTTGCTATTATATGCCGCATGAACAAGCAAACTAGCACATCTTTCCTTTATCATATGAGATATGTATCCCGTTTCGTTAAGAATACCAAATTTTAGTAGAAGTTCCAGGAGCAAGAGAGCAGTATGATCAATTGCCCCCCGTAGACACTTTAAGTATATACCTCGATGGCGGTTGTGTGTACTATCCCAAAATCCTGGTTCAGAGCTAAAGCTAATACCTTTTTCAAAGAGCAATTGCAGTAGTGTCTGACAATTGTTAGTTAGTGGAATGCCCGGGCTGGCTTCGCTTGCGATTTCTCCTAATCGTAGGACGATATCGAGAAGTTTTGAATGATCTTTGCATTGAACTATTAGTTCCTCAAAGGTTCCTAGATCACCTGAATGAAGGGCATGAATAGCTTTGTCGATGGGTGTTAAAATCTGGATTCGTGTATTCCAATACGCCTCAAGAAGTTTAGCATCTTGATTATGTAAGGCTTCAATGAACCCGGGAAGTACACTGGGATATCTTGATGCTATCCAATTATGGATTTTATCTGTATTCTCTGACTTCGTTATTAAGAGGCAGAATATCCAACACGTTTCCAATGAAAAAGCAATCTCGAGGGGCGTTTCTGCATGGTCCATGGCGGCAAAGAACTCTCTTTTTTCGCTCGTTTTCCACTCTGGAAAGTTGATTCTCGATAGCCTACGAGCGCCCCGGGCCCAGATATCTAGATCTACCTCTCTGTCGACTCTAGCTCCTGCATTTAAAAAAAGTTGTAGGATATGGAGGATATGCGTCATCTTCTGAGAACGCGTCGAACTAGAAATATTATCGCTTTCAATTCCGTCGAGTTCAAAAATATTTTTCCACAGTGTAGTTTGCCAGTACTTGGTTTGGTTTGGATCAGGTCCGTATTGCAGCAATATTTCCAGTACCGATTCTTCTGGAATTAAAGGACCCGTTTCAATGCCCATAAAATCGGAATATTCTAACCGCCAGCCTGTTTTCAGTAAATCGATAGCCATCTGGGCAACCTTTTCTGCCGGTAGATTATGTTTCCATTGAAGGACTTCAATGATATACTTCGTTATACCAGGCTCCATAAAAGTTAAACAAACGAGGAATCCATCTTCGGGGCTCTGCGCATGCTTGCCGAGTGCATAGTCGCATACTATGGGATTGCAACAGTCGAGGGTCTGGAACTCAGACACCACTTTTTTAACAATTCCGTAAAACGTTGCGTAGTCTAGCAGCCGCCAAGTAAATTGGGGCCTAGAACCTGCCGAAATGGGCGCAATCTCACCAAACCCTAGACCCATCTGTTTGCATAGATATTGTGTGGCATCGGTTTGGTTGAGTAGAATTGCTCGTAGGAGTATCGAAAACACTCGGTAGGTGAACCCGGACTCCCATAGCAACTGCAGATGGCTTGCATGGTCCGTAAATAATGGCACGTAATTACTAAAATCAATATTTAATTCAGCCTCGGACTCGAGACGCCAAACTGGTAGGATATCCTTATTCCATAGCTTAAAGAATACTGAAAGGTCTCCTCTAATTTTGCATGCCCGTAGCAGAGAATTAGCTTCTCGGGCATTTCTTGGCTGAAGATTCCCGGCAGAGATATTAGCTAAAATGTCTTGGAGACTTCTCCCTATTCCTGTCTTTACAACAGGATCGTGAGTTACTTCATCCAATAGTTGGTAAAGCTGAAATTTAAGTTGGTGAAAGGTGCAGACCGCCTCAAATAACTCATCGTCCTTCCGTAAGTAGAAGTATGGGACGAGGACCTCACATGTAGCCACTATAGAAGGAGTATGATTAAGAAGTACCTTCAGAAGAAGTTTTCTAAGTCTGAACTTGTCCACTTCGCCTAAAAGTGAATGAATCCCTTCTCGTTCTCTTGCTAGATTGAAGGGGTCGAAATATAGGTGGTTTGATATCCGATAAACTATGTTCCGTAGAAGGGAGAGATGAGGGTGCGCTGAGTAAGCGACTGCAGAGTTGGCATTGACTTGGAGGAGGACATATCGTCTAACAAACTCATCAAGATATTTGGTGGCTTGCCATATCGGGAGCGCGTGTAGTACGGAAATTGGAATATGTCTCTTTGAAGTTATTACTAGGGTAGTATCGGAGTTTGCCGGCGGGGTGCAAACTTGTACGCAAAAAGGGGATTGACTGGAGGGCAAAGAATCAAGATCCATATCATCAATAGCATTTTCTGCTTAAATTTGTCAGCTTCAGAGCATTCACCGAAGGATAAATTTGCATAGACGGAGGCATATATCTACCATTCGAATTTAATAGCATCCGATCAGTAAATGAGATATTGCGTGATGCCCATTTCTGGAGACTATTATCGGGAATTCCCACAATACCGCTTAGCAGTATATCTGACTCTTTACCTGCCCTTTTCCGAACATTCACCCTCTTGTGAACAAATTGGTATTCCCGATGGGTCAGCCGTTTTCTACAACCCCATTTCCGCAGTCGATCTCGGTATTGTGATTTTCTATGCCCATAGTTCGTCAGTAAGCTTTGGATAGTTTTATAATCCAGCCTCTTAACTTAGTTCTACGAGGCTCAAGACTTACGTTGCATTTAAACCATGTCCCTTATTAACCTCCTTCACAATATCTTCCAAATTCAAGCCACGAACGATATATAGAACCTCAATCTCCATCCGGATTTGAGGGTTATCGAGCTCGTTACACCGTGGCGCACGCAATCGTGTTTTGCGGGGCGGTATTGATACCTCCATTGCTGCAGTAGACTACTGAACCTCGAGGGGTTCGTCAAATATTTCCAATTAACCGAAGAAGTGTAGATATAAGTTATTAGAGCAGATAATTATTAATTAATAGATTAAGTCGGGTTGGACGCTTGCGAGTGGACTTGTTCTAGTAGATTAATGTAGTTGAAGAGTCGAAGTCTAGCTCTGCCGACCGCTCATCTTATATAGACAAATTTCTACCCACGTATGTGTTCGGGAAATCATTCATGCCCGACGTAACAGCCTCGAGTTAACCCATATAATGCAGGATTATTTCTGATTGGTCAATTTCACTTGTCGTTAAACTCTCAAGGTATGCAGCTACGCCAAGGTACCCATGTATATCCAGGTGGCACGGAGAGTCAAGAGTGAGGCTATCGGATTTAGAGGACGAACCAGCTCGAATTCGTGACCTCGCATGATATTACCACGGCCACTTTATGCATTTTTGGAATTCTTGCTTACCCTCTGCAATATCCCTGCAAGCACAGCGTTGTATTCGAAATTCCGTCGGCCGCCTCAGCTGTCCATCAAACGTATTCTCTAGCTCTCAACAACGAATCGACCGCTATCAGCACCATATCTTCGAGACTGCAAATAAACTTCGTGTAGTTGCAACTTTAATAATGCAACACCATTAGTCTGGGGGACGCTCACCTCTGCCTTGGCAACACCATCATATTCACCACATCCTACCTCGGCCTAGCCTTGGTCGGCCGTACCTGTTAACTACCGGGTTTATATATCGATATACCCTTGGCGTTGGTTACAACACAAACGCTGAAGCTGACTCATATTCAGAGAGCTCGAGCTCAAGTTCTTGACAATCACTTAAGTAACAGGTAACTGCGTATGCGTATGAATTTGCATACCCGACTTAAGTTTATAGGCGCCGGGTAGCTAGCGGGATGGATGTAAGCTATACCTAGCCCGCGAAATAAACCTTTTTGTATTAAATTCAGGGATCTCAGTTAAATTCATTGCCTACTTTTCTACTTTTGTCTCTGGTACCTGCTCTATAGAGATCTCGAGAAGGTAATTTCACAGCTATTTAGTTCGCTTAATACCGAGCCAACGGTTTAAGGACGATTGCAAAACTTCACTCGTAGTTTATAAATTTATAAAATGCTAGTACCCTGGACTTGTTTGTATACAACTACTTCTTACGTACTATATATTGGGAATCTTATTTAGGAATTGGATTTCCGTAAGTACACCTTGTGGATGTGGTTGAATCGCAAGATTTATATATTATACAATACCCAGCCTATTTAATAGCGTATGCTGGCTTTCCTGCAGATCTTCTTGACTTTTCTGTGCATATTATGCTATCCTGCTTGTATAGTTAAGCTGCACTTAGGTATGGGGGAACTTCTAGTCTAAAGGTATACCTATTTACGGCTTCAATTCCCATTTAATATTACCCGTATTCACCGTAAAATTGATAAGACGAGATCGGGGTCCATAGTCTGGATCAGCACCTCTAAAATCCCATAGCCAACAACCGCTACTAGTTAACTGCCGAATCAATTGCAACCCAGCAAATCGGCATCTAACCGAACCGCATCGTTACACAACCCACCACAACCACAACCACAAAAAAACGTCATCCGTCCCCTCCATCCCATCCTCCGCCGATCAATCGACCCATATAAACCCCTCCCCGCAGCCCACCCCTCCAACCCACCCGCACACTCCGTCGCTATTCAAACATAGTAAACAAAAATGGTCCCCCCAGTCCTCCTCCTAAAAACCAAATCCACGCCAACGGACCCCTACGCCACGCTCCTCTCCTCGAACGGTTACAACCCAATCTTCGTCCCCGTGTTACACCACACCGCCATCAACGCCGATATAGTCAGACAATACATCCTCAATGGCGCCATAACACCTAATACCGCCGCAGACGATAATAATAATAATACTACTACTAATAGTAATACCCAACCCGCCAAGAAATTCGCAGCAATAATAATAACCTCCCAACGAGCCGTCGAATCCCTCTCCACAATCCTCGACGATCTAAACTGTACCAACCCCCCTCCCCCAGTTACCCCCCCATAAAAAAACACCCCCAATACTAACTAACTTCATATAGCAACCAACCCCTCAACAATCTCCAACTTCCTCCTCCAAACCATAATCTACGTCGTCGGCCCCGCAACCGCAAACTCCCTAATAACCCTCGGTTTCCCCCCAAAAAACATCCTAGGCCAATCCTCAGGCAACGGCGCCGTCCTATCAGATTTCATAGTAGACCACTATACAACACACAACCTCTCCGGTGATTTACTATTCTTAACCGGGGAGACGCATAGTACCATTTTACCTACTAGGGTGCCGGAAAGACTTAAGGAGCTATTGGAGATAGATGTAAATGTTGAAGAAGTAGTTGTTTATAAAACTGGGGTGGTGAGTGGGTTTGAAAGTGATCTTAGGCAGTGTTTGGATCGATTGGAAGGAGAAGAAGATGGAAATATAGAAGAGGAGGAACCGGTATGGTTGATTTTCTTCTCACCAACGGGGACGGACGCTGCACTTCGAGTTCTTGAAGCTAGAGAATCTAGTTCTACAACAACAACGACAACAACGGCGACGAAGAAGAAGAGGAGATATAAATGCTGCTCGATAGGTCCTACAACCAAGGACTTTATGTTCCAGGGATTCGGAAGGAAAGCAGATGCTATGGCAAAGGTTCCAAGTCCTGAGGGCGTTTTGGAGGCTATAATTAGTCCAAGCAGGGTGGTTGAGGAGTTGGTTATTTAAACCATTCACGATGCATGCTTAACAATATTAAGTATATCACTGATATTAAAGGAAGGGGGGTGTAGGATTATGAATTGTCATCAAGTGTAAATGTACCTATATTATCATATATCATAGCGACTAGCAAGCTACTTGAAGAATAAATACTTATGTAAATGAAGATAATTCTTATTAAGGTTCTATCTACTATTCCCACCCATCTTCCAACCTATGATAATACCCCAAAAAAGAAAAAAGTTTTATATTACCCCATCTCGCACCAATGCGATACAAATGATGATGCCTTTAAGAAAAAAGAAAAAAATTAAACAGGTCCAAGCGAAGTTTTAAGGAAGCAAGTATGGTAATAATTTTAACCAGAGCACATCACACAAGCATCCTTATTCTCAATGCTGCACTGCAACACCTTTTGTGCATAAATATCCCCTTCTCGGTCTTCACTCTCCTCATCTACATCCTCCAACTGCAAAGCCGCAAGCTTCTTTGCCCCCAACTCTTCATCACCATGGGGTCCAACCGGAGGGCTAGTAGTCAACAGCTTCGGCGACTCCCCTTCATCTTGATCTGCCTTGAACGGTTCCTTCATCTTGGTTTGTGTGGGGTTGATTAGTCCTGTTCCGGAAGAAGAAGAAGTAGCGGCTTCGATGGTTCCGGGTGCTGGTGCGATTCCTGCGCCGTTAACGGAAGTTTTACTTTCCATCATCGGTCTGGGAACACCTGCTCTTGCTGAACTGCTGCCACCGCTGTTGCTTCCATTAATTGGGCCTTGGTACAATCCCAAATTCCTCTTAGTGGTTCTCTGTGTTGCCACAGTTGTATCCTCAATCTTCAATGCCTCCTGATCGACTGTAAACTGGATAGCTGCCGACGCAGCCATGGTTCTCAGATAATACATGCCGGTCTTCAACCCCTTCTTCCATCCGTAAAAATGCATGCTGGTGAGTTTGCCCATCGTCGGGTCTTTGATATGGATATTCAAACTCTGGCTCTGGTCGATAAATGCGGAACGATCGGCGGCAAGGTCGATAACAACCTTTTGGGAAATCTCCCAAACAGTCTTGTACAGGGATTTGATGTCGGCGGGGATGTTTGGGACATTCTGAATACTGCCACCATCAGCGATGATACGGTTCTTCATGTTGTCACTCCACAAGCCCATGTCGACTAGATCACGAAGGAGCCATGGGTTGACGACTTGAAATTCGCCAGCCAAAACACGGCGGGAATAGATATTCCTATTACCTATTAGTATATCGTCTCCAAGCTAAAGAGGGGTGTTTGGGGGGGACATACGATGTATATGGTTCGAAGCACTCATTGAAACCAAGAATCTGACTTGTGGAGGCAGTGGGCATAGGGGCGACGAGCAAACTGTTCCTCATCCCGTGCTTTGCAATCTTGGCCTTGAGTTCGTCCCAATCCCAGAGATCGGTTGGAGTGACATTCCACATGTCATACTGGAGTTGCCCTTGGCTAGCCGGAGATCCCTCATAAGATTCATAAGGTCCTTGTTCGGCGGCCAACTCTGCGGAAGCCTCTGCGGCACCGTGGTAAATGGTTTCGAAGATTTGCTTATTGAGGTGGCGAGCCTCGGGGGACTCGAATGGCATGCGGAGGGCGAGGAAGGCATCCGCGAGACCTTGGACGCCCACGGCAATGGGTCGATGGCGGAAATTGGAGCGTTTAGCTTCCTCGACAGGGTAGTAATTGACGTCAATGATCTTGTTGAGATTCCTAGTGATAACCTTGGTGACCTCGTGCAATTTCTGGAAGTCGTATTCGTTGCGAACAACATCGACGAAAGTTGGCAGCGCAATAGATGCCAAATTACAGACGGCAACTTCATCGGGAGAGCTGTACTCCACAATTTCAGTGCACAAGTTGGAGCTCTTGATGATACCTAGATTCTTCTGGTTGCTCTTCTTGTTGCAGGCATCCTTGTACAGCATGAAAGGATTGCCTGTTTCGGTCTGAGCTTCGAGAATGGCATACCACAGCTTCTGAGCCTTGATGGTCTTGCGGGCAAGATTCTCAGTCTTTTCATATTTCTCGTAGAGAGCCTCGAATTCCTCGCCGTAGCAGTCTGCTAGACCGGTAGCCTCGTTGGGGCAGAAGAGGGACCAGTCAAGGTTGGCTTCAACACGCTTCATGAACAAATCCGGAATCCATAGGGCATAGAAGAGATCTCGGGCACGGACCTCTTCCTTGCCGTGGTTTTTCCTCAAATCCAAGAAGTCAAAGACATCGGCGTGCCAAGGTTCCAGGTAGATGGCAAAAGCACCGGGACGCTTGTTACCACCTTGGTCGACATATCTGGCGGTGTTGTTGAAAACACGGAGCATGGGGATCAAGCCATTGGAAGTACCATTGGTGCCGGCAATGTATGAGCCAGTAGCTCTGATATTGTGTACGTGTAAACCAATACCGCCAGCGGTCTTGGAAATCAAGGCGCACGTTTTCAATGTGTCATAAATACCCTCGATACTGTCGTCTTTCATCGCCACAAGAAAGCAGGAACTAAGCTGCGCTTGTGGGGTACCGGCGTTAAAGAGGGTAGGCGAGGCGTGAGTGAAGTACTTGCTGCTCATGAGATTGTAGGTTTCAATGGCTTTTTCGATGTTTTCGCCGTGAATTCCGACGGAGACACGCATGATCATGTGCTGGGGGCGTTCAGCGACCTTGCCATCGAGACGGAGAAGGTAGGAACGCTCGAGTGTTTTAAATCCAAAATAGTTGTAGTTGAAGTCTTTATCATAGACAATCGCGGAGTTGAGCTCGTCAGCGTGGCGCATGACGGTTTCATAAGTGCTCTTGGAAATCATGGGAGACGGGCGTTTATTCCTCTACGCCATTGTTAGTTTTCTGTCGATTTACACGGTCATGAAGGAGGACATACAGGATTGACATAGTGGTAGAGGTCAGAGACCACTTGGGAGAATTGTTTCTTAGTCTGCTTGTGGAGATTGGAGACGGCGATACGGGCAGCGAGAATAGCGTAGTCCGGGTGGGTAACGGTCATGTAGGCAGCGGTTTCGGCAGCCTTTTTTCTCAATTAGCTTTTGTCCGTCTTTTATATCCTAAGAATCGAGTTTACATACCAAATTGTCGAGTTCGACGGTAGTGACACCCTGGTAGACACCAGCAATGACCTGAACTAATATTAGCGGGCAATCTATAAATATATATATCGAAGGATGGTAGTACCTTCTGGGTGATGGTGGCGGCGTCGACATGTTCAGCATCCAGGCCGTAGCACAGTCTCGAAACTCTGGCAGTGATCTATCCGGGTCAGTCAGCACCGTTTACCGTATTATTGAATGGAAAGTATTGGGGGTATTGTACTTTATCGAACTGGACACGCTCTTTGCGTCCGTCTATATTTGCAGAGATTAGTAGGGAGATAAGATAAGATAGGGTCCAAGCAAGATTGACATACCTCTCTTATAGACATACATGATTTGTGAGTCAGTATGTTATATGTGAGCTGTGGGGAAGAAGGTATCGAAGTCAGAGAGTGCTTTTGGTGAAGTGCTGAGCTGAGGTGGGTGTTGAAGGTGAAGGCAAAGCTGAAGAAGGAAGAGGATAAAAGTTTAACCAACAAACGGACAACAACCGACGAACCTTGACTGGCCGATAACGCAAATATGAACTAATTGAATGAACTACAAGCCGATCCTTAAGTAGGTAGGTATTATTATGGTGAAGATGAAAGAATGGATGGAGATGGAGGAAGGAGTGGTGAGGAGAGTGTAGAGAGGAGGAAGAGGAGGAAGAGGAGAACAGAAGAAGAGAATTCAGGGTGCTTATGAATCTACGATGGAGACAGAGACACAGTCAGGAAGCTAGCCAGCGAACTCTGCACTCTGTAGCTAAGCAAGCTAACTAACATTCTTTCAATTGAAAAAAGAGACAGGGATCACGCGTCTGCACCATATTTACCAACATCTGGCCTGTCTACACAGCTACAGGCATCTCAGCCAATCAGAGGGGCAAAACAACCACTGTACGCGTGGGAACGGAACTTCCACCTGTTTGTTGTCGACCCCACGTTTCCACGACAAGAATCAAATTAAGATTAGATTTTGATCAGATTAGATAAAATAGAGTCTTGCTTGGTAAGCATTCCGCTATCTCGGCCTGCCCAGCCCCGATAATATACTCCAACACTCCATACTACTATCAATCGGTCAATCTACCCAGCATTGAGGCTGTCGAGGGGAAGGAGAGAAAAGGTGGGATGCCGCATTGACGACTGCCTCTGCCTCAAATGTGTTGCCGATGCCGCATTCAACACAAAATCCACCACATTCCATTCTACTGGCAACACTTTCTATTCACTTCCTTCCTTCCTTCCTTCCTTTCCATATCTTCCTTTTCTTCCTTTCCTTTCTTTTACTTCTTTCCTTCTTTCTCTCTACCTACTTTCTCTCCCTTCCATTTCAATTTCACCTCCCTTCTCTTCCATCCCTACCTCCCCTCGCCCCCTAACAGCTAGATACCTCCCCATCATCATCTCTCCTTAATAGCTTCAACTTCTCCTTTTACAATAGACGTCTAGCGTCTCTATCCTGTCCTATCTGCCCACCTGCTCGTCTACCACTTATTTTTATCTATGTACCTGTACAACACCAATAGATAAAATATGCTGAGGGCGTGCAAGATCCACTCTACAACCTACGCACCTACCTACATACCTGCCTGATTGATAACTATTACGTGGCCTGTGCTGTCGAAACCACCACCCAGAAATCATTCGGCAACTGCAGGACCACCAACGTCCAACATATATCTAGTATTCTGTCCTATATCATACTTCAGCATTGATCCGTCCCTAAGGACGATGTGCATTCGAATAGGTAATCCCTTACATAACTCCATTTTGACCTTTAAAATCCTCACCTTCTTACGTTCATATCAATTTCACTTTTACTAGATGACATCACCTAGCGAGTATGGCGCGACACCTTTACAAGTACCCCAAAATGTATTTGTAAAGAGTAGTACATTAGCACTAAGGGCGTGACACTTTGAGGGTCCCATCGTCGTTAACTTAGGATACATCAAATCAATCAAACCGCCGCTAAGGGTTCAATAGTCCTCAAGACTTTAACGTTTTGTGGTTGGATGAAATAGGCCGAACCAAACATCGGCACCAAATAGAGGAAAGAGCTAGGCTATCGATAAGCATTTACTTAGGTACCTATCGGGTTTGAGATTACCCACCTGAAACTATTCTAGGACCAGAAATGGGGCCCCCCACAAATCATCAAACCCAGCTGCAGCCTCAATATATATCTCTAGGGAGCTACTGTGCTTCGCAACCAACATTCCGTCTAGCCTCACCCAGTTACCTATTAACACTCGTACAACAAGAACTTCACTAAATATAAACCACTATAAAGGCTTGGGGCATCAAAGAAGAAGAGGAAAGACAGGGAAATAAACGCACGCAGAATTGGTTCACTAGAAACCCGTTCAGCATAAAGGGTTTAAAATTATACCTCGATTGTCTCCAACATATATCTTTTAGAAACATTTCGAAAAAGACTAAATTCAGAAAGAACCTTGGAGAACCGATTATTTTCAGGGTCACCTGAATTCACCTTTTATTCCTCCATGGATGGGCTCTACAAGAGAACTACCTACAGCGCCACTAAAAGCTTCCCAAGGGGCTCCAGTCATGCCTCGAAAGAGCCCGACTTTTTTATGTGTCCGTCACAGATGACCACAGGACGAAATCATAATCTATCAAATATGAATACTAAATACTGCTAAAATACAAATTAGCTGTCTCGAAAACGAGCCGATATCCAACTATCACGGAGGAATAATCCAACAACCCTCTGCGATAAATGAATATTCTAATTGGCTGTCATCGCCTAACAACCCTCTTCTGTCGACCTTTATAATCTGTCAACTTTAACCTCATTCTACAGTATATAGTACCTTTATCATCACCTAACTTGGATTTCTAGCTAATATAAGGGCATGTAGTAAACCAACTCATCCCTTCTATAAAATTAAAGGGAGGCGAAGAGTTGGAAAAATTACATGACAGAGTTCAAAAAAAGACTAGTGGTCCGAGAGTCCAACGGAAAGGGTGAGATGGAGCAAAATCACGCCTAAAATTCATGAAAATATGGAATCTGGTCTAAGGTTCGGAAACCATATCGCGGACCATTCGCACGCCTAATAAGTGGCACCAAGGTGCCTTCCATATGGTTCGGCGAGATAGCAGAATAGACCGATGGTACTGCAGAGGGCATGGGCCAAAAATGCCAAATGGTTGATATACAATCGTTTACGGGATAAGCCCGAAACCTATAAAATCCGGGCAACGAAGACGAGGGAGAGCAAATGTGGAATTGCTACGGGTAGTATATCTATCAATTCCGACGACACACTCGCACTGTTATGGAAAGAAAATACTCCTGCCTATACCCTATCTTCAAAAGATATTTTCCAATTTACGAAAGGCCCTCCGTGTATACCATTTCGGTGACCCGGATACCCCTAATGAGTGCAGAGACTGCAAAAGGCGTTTCTCCCCAAGAAACAAACTAAAGAGGCATGTCACCCTGGGGCACATAGGCGCGTACACTATTTTTGTGGAAGACAAGACAAGACAGCGACCGGTTACTAGGACTATCACAGTCCGGCAACCAGATAAGACCAAGGGTCTCGCCTATATTCCCTACCACTTTGCGAAAGCGAAGGGGCGCCTACACGGGTCTGCAAAACAAAATTGATATGGTGCCCCTTGAGTATGCATGTGGGTTAATTTTTCGGGGATCTCGATGGTCATTACTCCCAGATCTTCGAACACAGGGAGGGACCAATAGTCTAGGTCAAATTGATAGCTTCTGGGAGTGTCAACTATAAATATTATATCAACTTGGCGCCAGCTCAACACCGTCTCGATGTACATCGTAGATACATATATACTGGATTGATACATGTTGAGCACATATACCCACAAAAATGAGCCGGAGCTGGCACAGATGAGAAAGGACAAAAGGACGGTATGTCGTCATAAGTGTTCGCACAGCCTTCCCATCCCACCTCTTCCATCAAATCCTTGAATCGGCGACAAAAAGGTTGGAATAGATATTGCCGAATCTGTCTAAAATCTATGGGGAGATAGCGGTAGGTCGAGCTTAAGGGATGCCATACCCCCCAGATGTTTCTGTTGAGGTCAGAGTCAAGAAATATAGATGAATTTTTGAGTGCGCAACGAAAGAAGCGCTAAGATACAAATCGCACATGAATCACCCGGCTAGATTCTAGTCGGAGATGGATTATGTATCTCTTACGAATACAGTATACCATCGAGCTCTACCCTATATATCATCTCGGGATTTAAAGAAGGGTCATGTCACCCGAACCTTTCTTTATTTTCTTCTTTTCTCTTATACCTCAACCACCAGCACTATAATACCAGGGCAGATATCCTCAGGCTCAAAAATGGTATTAGTGGATCAATGGACCTGGCGCCCATTGCTAGTCCGAATGTTCGGGCCCATGAGAATACACCTCACAAAGTCCCGCGGAATTATCGTTTTATATATTAATTAAATGATCGAAGCGGTAGCAAATTGCCCGACGAACTCTAAACAGAATGAGACAGAAAAGAAAGAGAAAGAGAAAGAAAAAGAGTTGAAAACAGCAACAAAAAGAAAAGAGAGAAACCCATCAAAAATATAAGGCTTGATTAAGGCTCTAAATATTGAGATCTTCGACAAGTTTCTGATACAAGTCTGGAAGTGCTCGGATATAAATGCAGCCCGGACATAACTACTGATTATGGCCGGTCCAAATAAGAGGACTTATAAAAGCTTTGGATCTAAAAATTACAGGCCGATTTGAGGTAGAGCTCAGGTGGCTGGTTTTATTAAAGAAATGGCGTCCGTCCTAGGGCCGCATGCGAAGACCCCACTTAGACTTCTTACGGAGGATGAATTCGAAAGGATTTCTCGGGAACGACAGGTTCTTCCAGCTGTGGATGAATACAAGGTGAAATATCTTCGTTGGGCCCTCTTTATACCCAAGATCGAAGAACAAATTATATGCGATCGCTAAGATTAGAACTGAAGAACGAACCGGCACTTCGAGGAGACACATAGTATGTGCAAAGTACTACTCCGGAGCGACTAAACTCTTAAGATACAAACTTGGGTGGTCGGAGAGGCAGAATGGTTATCGCTCCTATGTCTCGCTCGCCCACATACTCATGATATTAATGAGATAACAGGCTCAAAATCAGAGTATCGAACAACCGGCAAGACTCCTCAGTATGGAACAACAATATTTCCAACAGCTTGTCTATTTCGCAGTAGAGAAAAGATAGCTTCAGAGCTTAATGAGTTAGACTAATAGACGGGGGTCATCATAATATCTCGATCAAAACTCGAGAGGATTGAGATCCGCACCGTTGCGTTTCTCGAGTTGATGGACC